CTCTGTCCGCCCACCCAGACGGGCCGTGAGTTCCGTGACCTCGTGGTGGGCCACTGCCTCCTGAACCGCACGCGCCGCGAGCCGCGCGCCCCCTCCACCTTCCTGGCCGCGCGGGACGCCGTGGCGCCGGCCAGCGTGGACTGGAGGGACAGCGGCTACGTGACCGGGGTCAAGGACCAGGGCCAGTGCGGCTCCTGCTGGGCCTTCAGCGCCGTGAGTGGACAGCGCCCGTCGCCCTGAATCCGCACCGCGTGTCAACTCGCGTGTCTCTCCACCTTGTCTCCACGTGTGTCTCCACCTTATCTCTCCACGTGTGTCTCCACCTTGTCTCTCCACCTGTGTCTCCACCTTGTCTCTCCCCGCGTCTCTCCTCGTGTCTCTCCACGTGTCTCTCCACGTGTCTCTCCCCGTGTGCCTCCACGTGTGTCTCCACGTGTCTCTCCACGTGTCTCTCCACGTGTGTCTCCACCTTGTCTCTCCACGTGTCTCTCCACGTGTGTCTCCACCTTGTCTCTCCACGTGTCTCTCCACGTGTCTCTCCCCGTGTGCCTCCACGTGTGTCTCCACGTGTCTCTCCGTGTCTCCACCTTGTCTCTCCACGCGTGTCTCCACCTTGTCTCTCCACGTGTCTCTCCACGCGTGTCTCCTCGTGTCTCTCCACGTGTGTCTCCACGTGTCTCCACCTTGTTTCTCCACCTGTGTCTCCACTTTGTCTCTCCACCTTGTCTCTCCTCGTGTCTCTCCACGTGTCTCGCCTGAGATGAGCGGCACAGGCGCGAGGCGTGGGGGTGGCCCCGGGCTGCGCGACCGCCGTGAGAGCCTCGTGTCCGTGTGCTGCCCCCCCCCCCCCCCCCACCGGGACAGACGGGCTCGCTGGAGGGGCAGCACTTCGCCGCGACGGGGAAGCTGGTGCCGCTGAGCGAGCAGCAGCTGGTGGACTGCTCGGGCAGCTTCGGCAACAACGGCTGCGAAGGAGGCCTCATGGACAACGCCTTCCAGTACATCATCGCCAACAAGGGCATCGACACGGAGGAGTGCTACCCCTACACCGCCATGGTGCGTGCGTGTTGGCACGGGAGGGGGCACGGGTGGTGCATCGGGCAGCGGTCGTCTCGGTCGGTCGACCCGTGGCACCTGCTGGGTCTGCCCCGTGACCTCCTGCCGGCGGGCGTTCCGACAACTTCACGTGGCCTCACCATGCACCTAGCCTGGCACGAGCGCCGTGGTGTCGTCACCGCCACTTAGTGGCGAATGGCGGCGGTTGTACGCGTGCGAGTGTCCGTCGGTGTGTGCGTGTCGAGGACTCCCCAGATCTTCATCCTGACATCCAGAGAGCCTCGTCCTGACGACATTTGATGTGGTTTTGATTCCTCGATGATTGATGTCGCCGCCGTGACGATTGGTGCCGTGCGGTCCGGCGTGCCTCCCACGCAGGACGGAGTCTGCAAGTTCAAGCCGGGCTGCATCGGGGCGACGACCACGGGCTTCGTGGACATCCCCTCGGGCGACGAGGCCCAGCTGAAACAGGCCGTGGCGTCCGTGGGTCCCGTCTCCGTGGGCATCGACGCCAGCAATCCCTCCTTCCAGCTGTACGCCTCCGGTGAGCAGCGCGCCGGCTCCGTGCCGTCGTTTTGATGAACCGAGTGGACGTTCCGGATGCCCGGGTACCGGCGGCGTCAAGATCGGCCTCTGTGGAGGAGGAGGCTCGTGAAGGACGCTGCTGCTGCCGCTGATGGGCATTTGGCGGTGCGAGTCGCCCTCCCAACAACCACAACGGAGGGCGGCGGTGCGATGCCCACAACAACGAGCGGAGCGCCGGGTGGCTAAAACACAGCGAGTTGGCACAGTAGTGGGGGAGACACGATGATTGGTTGGCGTGGTTCTGGCCCCACACCACTTGCGTGACGTTGTGGCCTTAATAGATGGTAAATAACAGCACTTAACACAACGCTACGCAGGTTACACGGAGGATATTTGTATTATTCTTGAATGTGTGTACTTATATGCACAGGATGTGCGGCACAGCTGGTGCATCTTCCAGTCATCTCAGTCAGTCAACCCATGGCACCTGGGTCCATCCCACTGCGCTCCGAACACGGCGAGCCGAGTTCAATTCCTGCTCAGTCCTGGGCCTCGCCTAGGTCGACTCAGCCTCCAATTAGTACCAGATGTGATGTGTGAACATTGTCACGAGGGGAGACAAAGACGTCCGGGCGTGGTGCTGTCCACCCACCCCCTCGTGTGCCACAGTGCCGGCCTTCATAGGCGCTGCTCGCTAACAGCACTTGCCCCAACAGCCTGTGACAGGCTACACGGGGGGGGATCTCTGTGTGTGTGTGTACGCCGTATGTGTGTGTACACCGTGTGTGTGTCTACCCCTCACCACCCACCTGCCCAGGCGTCTACGACGAGCCGATGTGCAGCAGCCAGCAGCTGGACCACGGAGTGCTCGCCGTGGGCTACGGCACCCAGGACAGCGCCGACTTCTGGCTCGTCAAGAACAGGCGAGGGCCCCGCGTCTCGTCCGTCTCCACGTTTCCCCCTCCGCCCCCCCCCCCCCACCACGTGCCCTCTCCACACGCTGTCCCGCATTTCCCCCGTGGCTCTCTTATACCCAATCGTCTCGCCCTCCCCTCTATACACAGGGTGCTTAAAAAAATGCTAACACTTATATGGGACTATCGTTGTAACATGATAACAAGTGGATGTTGATGAGCTTCAAAAAGTCAGTCTCCACTTGTTCGCCATCGTTGTCAATGCGTGCCTGGAATCTTCTCCAGGTGGTCTCCAGAGCCCAGAGGAGGCAGCACTTTTGTTCATGGTATTGTCGCACACTCTGAGAAGTGTTCACATCTTTTTGAAGCACCCCCCTGTGTTTCCCCGTGAAACAGAACTGATTCAAATGGTGCTGCTGCGTTGACAGTGGTGCTCAAGCACAATTGACAATAAACAACCTCCCAAGACATCCGCTCATTAAAACGAAACGCTCAAACAGTTGCCATTCGAAGGTGGAGTGTTATTGGCGAATGTGTTCAATCATTATTTATCCCGCTGTTAACCCCCCTTCGACCTGTCTCCCCGTGTCCCTCCGTCCCCGCGAGCAGCTGGGGCGCGGACTGGGGCAGCAAGGGCTACATCCTGATGAGCCGCAACAAGAACAACCAGTGCGGCATCGCCACCGCCGCCAGCTACCCCTTGGTGTAAGCGACGAGGTGAGGCGGAGACGCACGCTCCGTAGCCACGGGGAGTGGGGAGGCCTGTTGGTCGTTGCGCCTCTGGGTCTGCCCCTTGACCTACTCCTGCCAGCAGCGAGCCGTGCGCACTTCACGTGACGGCCTCAAAGTGCACCTAGCCTGGCACGAGCGCCGTGGCGACGTCACCACCACTTAGTGGCGGTGTGGGGTCTGTGTGTGCGAGTCTGTGTGGTGCAGCTGCCAAAAAACAGTGGGGAGCGGTAGTGTAGCGGTCAGCGCGCTGCGCTACGAACCCGGCAACCCGAGTTCAATTCCATGACCAACATCGGTGACGAATATATGACCCGGTCCTGGGCCTCCCCGAGGTCGGCTCAGCCTTAAATGAGTACCTGGTGCGGTGTGCAAACATCGCCACTGGGGAGACAAAGGCAGCCGGGCGTGGCACTGGCCACCCACCCCCTCGTGTGCCGTTCCGGCTTTCATAGGTGCTCCCTAACAGCACTTGCCCCAACAGTCGGTCAAGGCTATATGGGGAGTCTTTGTCTTTGGTGCATCTATCAGTCATCTTGGTCAGGCAATCCATGGCACCGGAGTCAGTTCCGACACATCACGTGGCGTCGGAGTGCACCTGACCTGGCACAGGCGGCATGGTGACGTCACTGGCGCTTAGTGGCGAATGGTGGCAAGTGTATTGGAATGGTATTGTTTTGACACTGGGAAGACAAAGGCGGCCAGGCGTGATGCCGACCACACCACCTACTTTTGTGCCATGCTGGCCTTCATAGGTGCTCGCTAACAGTACTTGCTCCAACAGCATGCAAGGCTAAATGGGGATCTTGGTGTGTGTGTGTTCGTCAATATAGACACAAATGTATGTTGAGTATAAAAAAAGCGCATGTCATTATTTTGTTTCAGATGAACCCAGCCAACAAATGCCTCCTGACCAGACACATCCAGAAGATTACACCAACACCTACACACATGTAACCCTCAATGAACATTCCATCACCATCAAGTCACCCCTATCCCCAACCTTTGAAAAGACCTATATATCCTTACGTGCTACCGAAGTGAATTGCTTTCGCCTGTAATGTGAAATAAAAAAAATTCAAACAGATGAACTGTGCAGCCATGTGCGTTACTCGGAGCTCGTCAAGGTACACACACATTCATGCTGAAGGCCTCGATGTAATCTTCTACACCGAGAAAACACCCAGCACTTGCGGTTCATCTTGAGTGAGGAATGGACCGTGCCCAACCTCATCGCACGTCAGGCTAAGCAGGCTTTTGAGCCTGGTTGGTGCTTGGGACGGGTGACCACCAGGGCTTGCCAGGTGTTGGAGGCGTGGGGCTGCGATATGACCAGGAGTTGGCGGTGTTCTTCAGGGTGGGGACTAAAGCCTTGGGACATCGATGATGATGATGGACCAAGAGTATTTCACTTCAACGGGAACGTGTATGAATATAACGTAGTCTAACCATGTCATCATCAGCTATGGACGAAGGCCTCTCCATGCCACTACCACCACCTCTCACGAATCTTGCATTTCAATAATCAGTCGAGCACTTTCGCACGAACTGATTTCATCGCTGCATCTCCTTCAGTGTACGGCCCTCTCAGACGCGTTCTGTTTCTTGGCTGCCACGCTAACCAGGTCACCCATCGCTTGCTTTGTTCAGACAGACTTTTCAACAACCCTCCAACATTCAAGTACATTCACATCAACGCAATGATATCCATTGCAGGTATATTTACCAAAAAGAAATGTATTTGATTCACATTCAGGAATGAAGCAAAAATTCCAGTTTGACAATTACATTTATTGTTATGCTCACTCATTGGCAATATAGCACAACAGCATTACACTCTTTAAAACATCGCCTTCTTTTTGCAATACCACACGAATGGGAAGCTCTGGATTCGAAGCCAGGAACTCGGTGGCTTTGACGCGGCCATTACGATTCCTCTGAAACCACCGAGAATGGGGAAGATGTTTTGGGTTGGCGTCACTTCAGATGACATCCCAGGTGTCCTTAGCTCTCAGAAGGCTCTCCTCCTCCGTAGCTCCTCTCTCTACGAGCTGCCACGTCGCGGATGATCGCTGCGAAGAACGAGAACAACCCAGGCTTGTGAGCGCTTCCGAAAATGTGTGGAAGTCTCTCCAGACTCTGAGCTCAAGAGGGCGTGCTGCCATCGCGGGCTTCAACATCCCCTACCCTCTATGCACTGAGATCCACAGACTAAATAAGTACCAACTTGGTCCTGACAAACGCAGCAAACTGAGAGAATGTACATGTGTATGTAGGGTGTTCATGTGTATATGTTTAATGCACGTAACTTGTGGATATACCGTGTGTATAAGTACCGAATGTGTATGTATATATACGTGTGTATGCCTGCGTGTATGTGGGTTCACGTGGTGTATCGGCCAGTCATCTCAAGTCAGTCAACCCATGGCACCTGGGTCGGTCCTGTGACCTCCTGCCAGCGGGCGCTTGACACTTCAAGTCACTGCCGCTTAGTGGCAAATGGCGATTATTGTGTTGTTGTTGTGTGCACGTTGTTTGTAGATTTGTATTGATGTATTGTAGGTGTTTGGCTGCTCACAGTCCAGGAGAGCTCGGGCCTCCAGTGCTTTATGGAGCTCTGCCTCCACGGTGTTCATCAGCCAGGGCATGAACGCATTCTCCACATCTAGGGACACACGGGGAAACGTGGGGTCATCACACAGGGCAGTACAAAGAGCCCCGTATAACCTGTAGCAGTCCGTTGGGGCAAGCCCTGTTCGCGAGTAGCATCTATGAGGGCACTCGAGGGGGTGGGTGGCCAGCACCACGCCCGGCCGCCTTTATCTCCCGAGTGGCGATGCCTACACATCGCACCAAGTACTCATTTCAGGCCTAGTTGACCTATGGGAGGTCCAGGACCGGTTTCAGATAATCGTCACCGGTGTCGACCGTGAGCGGGAATCGAACCCGGGTCCCCACGCCGCAGGGCGGTACAACGACAGACGGATGGATGTATGGGGAGGCACAAGGGAACGCACACGAGGGAGACGTGTGGACGGAGGCACCGCAACAGAATGAATTGCGACTGCCAAACCCGTTGCTAAAGTGGCGGCGCCACCTCTCCTCACGGCGCACGGGGGGAGGGAAGGGGGGGGGGGGGGGCGGTTAATTGATTGGGCGGTGCCGCCACGACGGTCGGACGCGCGGTGTCGCGCTCCGCCGCGGTCATCCGCGCACCCCTCTCGACGGGGTCGTAGAAGTATCCCGTGTCGCGCAGCGTGCTGAACACGGCCGGGATGAGGTCGCCCAGGTAGCGCTTGGCGAACGCCCGCGCCGCCACCTTGTCCGCCACCTCCTTCTCCTGCGCCACCACCTCCTGCTGCTGCCGCCGCCGGCGATCCTGCAAGGGGCCGCCGGGGGGGGGGGGTTTGGGTGACAGAGCTGTGGGTTAGAGTTCTCCCGTATGGGTGCCAGGCTGCAGTTGATTACTCTGGCCGGGCGGCATGGGGCGCGAGGCCGCGTCACCTTCTCGGCGCGCAGCCTCCGGTCCTGCTCGTGGAGCCGCTGGGCCTCGGCGCGCTCGGCGTTGCGCAGCTCCAGGAAGGCGCGCTGCTGGGCACGCAGCGACGCCAGCTCCTCCTCCTCCATCACCTCCAGCAGCGACTGCTCCACCGTCTTGCCCACGAGCACCTCCACCAGGGGCCGTACCTCCACCTCAAAGTCAAACAGCTACGGTGCGAGGGAATCAGCCATACGTACAAACATATATATATATAAACATGTATAAACAAATATAATACAGGGTGCTTCAAACAAATGTTAACACTTCTGAGAATTTGCAAACAATACCACAAGAAATGTGCCTCCGGGCTCTGGAGACCACCTGGAAAATATTCCAGGTGTGCGTTGACAACGATGGCGAACGAGTGGAGACGCTTTGCCTTTCTGAAGCTATTAACATACATTTGTTATCACATTACAGTCTATTATCCGTTCTATTTTTCCAACAAAACGATAGTCCCATATAAGTGTTAACATTTTTTTTAAGCACCCTGTATAACCGTACACACAGGATGCTAAATTATTAAGCGTTGCACCTCATTCGCATATCTGTCCTTCCACACAGGGGTGCAACTATGGCGGAGTGGGGAGGCTTTGTGGCAGCAGCGACACGCACAGGGGCCCAGTCGGCCGCAAGGGGGCCCCAAATCAAACAGGGAAACAAGTAATTAAATGTAAATAAATATTAAATAAACTTTTATAACAAGAATAATATATATATAGTTGTAGCCTACAAATTATTGTCTACGAGTTGAAAACATCCGCAGCTATTTCAGTTAAAAGTGAGTCGGAAGAAAGGGAGAGGGCCCACGGTGGTATCTTGCATAGCCCCCCCCCCTCCCCCCCTGGGCCTGCCCCGTGACCTCCTCCTGCCAGCAGCGGCGAGCCGTCCGCACTTCGCGTGACGGCCTCAAAGTGCACCTAGCCTGGCACGAACCACCGTCGCGACGTCACGTCCACCTAACGGCGAATGCTTGGTTGTGGCAAATGCACGTATATCGAGGTGTCAGTGTGGTGTCAAATGCGGAAGTATTTTTTTACACATCTCAAGTCAGCAACACGGCCTTGCTGGGAGTGCATCATTTCAGCAGCACTGGACTAGTTTTGACACACGGTGTATCACCAGCAGAGGAGCCATTGCTTGCTTAAACGCAAATTGTGGTGAACCACGAGATATCTGCAGACAAGGACGCTTGCTGCCAGACATATATATATTGGGTGGAGTGGTGATACAGTGGTTGGTGCGATGCGTTGTGAAGCTGTCTAACACGTAGTAGTAGGGTTTTCGCCACCAATATCCATAAGAGGTTTTATTTTCGTTAGATCGCGTAAATATAAATGTGTCGTTAAACCCTTCACTGCCAGACACAGCCAATTAGTAAGGTTTGACACTTAATAAAACGTGCCAATTAGGCAGTAGTTCAGCACACCGGTGTATTGGAGGGTAAACCCACAACATTTACAATTTGAGTACGATGTTTCGCCGGTAGTTACAACTAGTCTCATCAGGCGACAGCCTATACGTCGTTCTCACGGCCAACACCAGTGACGATTATCTGAACCGCTCGGTCCTGGGCCTTCCCTAGGTCGACTCAGCCTCAAATGAGTACCTGGTACGGTGTGTAAACATCGCCACTGGGGAAGGGAGACAAAGACGGCCGGGCATGATGCAGACCACTCGCCCCCTCGTGTGCCATGCAAGCCTTGCCCCAACAGTCTGTGAAAGGCTGTGTGTGCGTGTGAGTGGGCGTAAGTCGGCGTGCCTCGCCCGGCAGGATCTGCGTGGTGGCGTCGCGCCCGCTCTTAGCGGGGATGAAGAGAGGGCTAGCGGGGCGGTCGAGGAAGGCGTCCGTCTGACAGCCCCAGTCGCGCTCCTGCACACGGCCACTCAGCTCCTCCAGGTACAACTCTGCGTGCGAACGCAAAACACATACACGGTGCGTACACACGTCAATTTCCACCCGGGTGGGCAGTCCGGCGTGGCTCAGGCGCCAGGTTGTTTATCCGCTGCGTCCACGGTGCGGAGAATGAGGCCGCATGCGATGACCGCATCGTGAGCCCCCCCCCCCCACTGCCCGTGGCCGTGCTTGGCCCCCGAGCCACATTCAGATTGTCAGAGCGCAGCGAGGCGCAGCGGAGCGTCGCAGTTTGGTTCCGGCTCGGCTCGGTAGGTAAATGGACAGCGGAAAAACACACCCGTGCCGCGAGGTGCCCCCCCGCGCTGGCCCTGCTCGTGCTGTGTCAGCGGAGAAGGGGGTCAAGAGGCTGCGAGAGAGAGAGACAACGCGCCCTCCCACCCCCCACCGTGCCCACCGGTCTGTACGTCGACGTGCTTGCGGCCCTCCACGGGCTCGGGGGAGAAGGGGCGCAGCGCGGCCTTGGCTCTCTTGCGCGCGAGGGCGCGCCGCCGCGACTCCTGCTGCCTCTGCAGCTCCACGGGGTCTGGCCCTGCCGACTGGATTCACAGGCAAAGACGAAGATCAACTCCCACCTTGTAGCCTTAACAGGCTGTTGGAGCAAACGCCGCTGGCGAGTAGCGCCGATGAAGGCAGGCGCGGCGCACGAGGGGGTAGGTGGCCAGAACCACGGCCGGCCGCCTTTGTCTCTCCAGTAGATTGTTTTTAAACACCGCACCAGGCTGAGTCGACCTAGGGGAGGCCTAGGACCGGTTAAGATAATCTTCACTGGTGTTAGCCGTGAGCGGAAATCGAACTCGGGTCACCACGTTCGGAGCGCAGCGCGCTAATCACTGAGCCACCACCCCATCCACTAGTTTACCCAGGAGAGCCTCGCTGAGTCTATTAGACTATGCCAAGTTTGTCGCAGTCGGGGTCGCGATGTTACTGTGAAAACTCCCAATTGAGTCATTTGCAATTCATTTTTCAGCATTGGGATGTTTTGACAAATGAACGTATTGGCGGTACACCGGTGGTGCACGGCATAAAAATAAATCAAATTTCTTGTAATAATTATTTATTTTCCCGCGATTAGCAACCCCGGTCAGAAAATCTTGCGGGGTGATGGTGGTGCATCAACATCGGTTCTCGTGATGTCGAAGCGGTCGTAAGACGGAACGTTTATACGAGCGGCTGCTCACGAAGAAGCTTCACAGTCTGTTGCCGTATAGCAGCACCCAGCCTGGTGACTATTGGCTTGCTCTGTGTTCCCAAGGCAGATTTGACTCACGCCATAGACTTGTTCGGACGGTTCCTCGATTCAATTCCAGAATAATTTCTTGGCGGACGGTGGTTTCAAAAGATGATGCCTCAAGTCACACGTTCGAAATGGGAAAGCAGCTGCTGAATCGAAGTGCAACTTCTGATGGAGAAGTCTGCGGCTCACTCAAGGGGCAACAGCGACATAGTCAGACTGTTTGATGAAGACCGGCGTGTTGTTATGCTTTACCGGTGTACCACCAATACGTCCAAATACAGTACCAGTTACATTGTGTTTTGTTTAGCTATGGGAGGCATGCGGTTGATGGCAGTAGTCTAGCGGTGGTTGCAATATTGATGATGATGCTGACGATGTTGCCGCTGATTTATGATGGAAACGATCAGGGGCCGGCAAACCAAAATAACAAGGAGAGGCATTTTCTTCGGATTCGGAATATTTAAAAAAACCCTCCATATTTCCAGAGCCGCCAATGCGGTGTGAATAACGTCACGGAGCAGCAGTCCTTTAAGAGGCACCACATGCGGCTCCGGAGCCGCAGGTTGCAGACCCCCTGGTGATGATGATCAGCACGGCACTGTTGTCGGCACTTCCGCTCTCGGTGATTGGCAATGATGGTGATGTTGAATGGGAGTGCGGGTATCATCGATGGCCTCACCGTGGGCTGCAAGTGCTGCGCGTACGTGTTCCCACGCACAACGCGCCGGTCGTACATGATGTTGCCAAAGCGATCCAAGCCATCGTCCCTGCAACGTCACCACCACCACCGTCGTCATCATCATCATCCTCTCCCCAACACGGGGCAACACAAAACAATACCTTACATCGCATTGTTTTATCAAAAGCCAAAAGTGTCTCCCAGTTCAAAGGAACGACGCATCATGTCCGGCACTGCCAATTGTCAACGTAGCGTCCGACGTTGACAGCGGCCGACGTTCACCGCCAAGTAGCTGTCACCACGGCGCTTGTGCCAGGCTAGGTGTACGTCTAGACCGTCGCCAGAGGCGTGGATCACGGACGGCTCCCGCTGCTGCTGGAAGAATGTCACCGGACAGACCCAGGTGTTGTGGGTTGACCCATGTGCCAGGCTAGGTGCACGGTTGCCTTCACCCCGGTGAGAAACTTAGTTCGACATACACACACGCAAGAGGTCACGGGAGGGAGCCGTGCGTTATGGGTCACTTGATACGACTGGCAGATGCGCCGCCTGTGCTGTCCACTCTGCCACCTCGCTGCGAATTGCCTGTCCGGCGATGTTGGGACGGCGACCGCCTCCAACTTGCCCAGCAGCTCTCGAATAATCCACCAAGACGGTGGCACTTGACCAGCAGCGTTCATTCACGAGCCTCCTCGTCCAGGGAGGCCAAACTTAACATCGCTGGTGCCGGTCACGGGTGACGGAATACAGAGATGGGGACTCACGGCTGGCATCAGTCAAGGATTTAGTCAAGGAGTGATGAGAGAGACTCACGGCTGCCTGTAGTGAAGTAGTGAAGCAGTGATGATAGAGACACACGTCTGCCTGTAGTGAAGCAGTGATGAGACTCACGTCTGCCTGTAGTGAAGTAGTGAAGCAGTGATGATAGAGACTCACGTCTGCCTGTAGTGAAGTAGTGATGACAGAGACTAACGGCTGCCTGTAGTGAAGCAGTGAAGCAGTGATGAGACTCACGGCTGCCTGTAGTGAAGCAGTGGATAGAGACTCACGGCTGCCTGTAGTGAAGCGGTGACAATAGAGACTCACGGCTGCCTGTAGTGAAGTAGTGATGATAGAGACTCACGTCTGCCTGTAGTGAAGTAGTGATGATAGAGACTCACGGCTGCCTGTAGTGAAGCAGTGATAGAGACTCACGTCTGCCTGTAGTGAAGTAGTGATGATAGAGACTCACGGCTGTCTGTAGTGAAGTAGTGATGATAGAGACTCACGGCTGCCTGTAGTGAAGCAGTGATGATAGAGACTCACGGCTGTCTGATAGTGAAGTAGTGATGATAGAGACTCACGGCTGCCTGTAGTGAAGCAGTGATGATAGAGACTCACGGCTGTCTGTAGTGAAGCAGTGAAGTAGTGATGATAGAGACTCACGTCTGCCTGTAGTGAAGCAGTGATGATAGAGACTCACGTCTGCCTGTAGTGAAGCAGTGATGATAGAGACTCACGGCTGCCTGTAGTGAAGTAGTAATGAGACTTACGGCTGCCTGTAGTGAAGTAGTGATGAGACTCACGTCTGCCTGTAGTGAAGTAGTGAAGCAGTGATGATAGAGACTCACGGTTGCCTGTAGTGAAGTAGTGATGAGACTCACGTCTGCCTGTAGTGAAGCAGTGATGATAGAGACTCACGGCTGCCTGTAGTGAAGTAGTGAAGTAGTGATGATAGAGACTCACGTCTGCCTGTAGTGAAGTAGTGATGAGACTCACGGCTGCCTGTAGTGAAGTAGTGAAGTAGTGATGATAGAGACTCACGTCTGCCTGTAGTGAAGTAGTGAAGAGACTCACGTCTGCCTGTAGTGAAGTAGTGAAGCAGTGATGATAGAGACTCACGTCTGCCTGTAGTGAAGTAGTGAAGCAGTGATGATAGAGACTCACGGTTGCCTGTAGTGAAGTAGTGATGAGACTCACGTCTGCCTGTAGTGAAGCAGTGATGATAGAGACTCACGGTTGCCTGTAGTGAAGTAGTGATGAGACTCACGTCTGCCTGTAGTGAAGCAGTGATGATAGAGACTCACGGCTGCCTGTAGTGAAGCAGTGAAGTAGTGATGAGACTCACGTCTGCCTGTAGTGAAGCAGTGATGATAGAGACTCACGTCTGCCTGTAGTGAAGCAGTGATGATAGAGACTCACGGCTGCCTGTAGTGAAGTAGTGAAGCAGTGATGATAGAGACTCACGTCTGCCTGTAGTGAAGTAGTGAAGCAGTGATGATAGAGACTCACGGCTGCCTGTAGTGAAGTAGTGAAGTAGTGATGAGACTCACGTCTGCCTGTAGTGAAGCAGTGATGATAGAGACTCACGGCTGCCTGTAGTGAAGTAATGATGAGACTCACGGCTGTCTGTAGGGGGCCCGCAGCGGCACGGGTCGCGGGCGGCTCGTGAAGGTGTAGTAGGCCTCGCTCTGGGGCTGCTGCGCTAGGAACGCCGCCATCTCCCCGCTGGGCGAGCGACTCGGAGCTCCACCAGAGAAGCGGAGCGACAGAGGAGATGAGAGAGGTGAGGGAGATGAGAGAGGTGAGGGAGATGAGAGAGGTGAGGGAGATGAGAGAGGTGAGAGAGGGGATGAGAGAGGTGAAGGAGAGAGAGATGAGTGAGATGAGAGGTGAGATGAGAGATGAGTGAGAGACGGAGATGAGAGGGAGATGAGATGAGGGAGATATGAGAGAGATGACAAGAGAGATGAGAGAGGGGATGAGAGAGATGAGAGAGATGAGAGGGAGATGAGAGGTGAGTGAGAGATGTAGGAGACAGCTTCTGGGGGTTGGATTCTTCAAAAAAGTTAAATTCTCAGTTGGGCCGCGGCCTTCCCGTCTCCATGGAGACCGACTGACGCACCGCTCCGCCGCAGGTAAATATAGCGCGCGCGCAAACCGCGGGTTTATATTAAAGTTTACTAACTTGCACTACTAAATGCTGCCGCATGCATTTCTTCGTTCGTTTTGTTGTTGATTTTAAATGAATTATGTTTTAGTTTTCTCTCGGTTGTCCGCAACGGAGCCGCCTTCCCGCGTATCGCTGCGCGCCGTCCCCGCGGTCTCAATCGGCCGGCGCTACTTCTGTGTACACAAGCCCCTTGTTGCCAGGGGCGACGCGGGGACGTCAACAACAAAAACCGAAGCGGCGCGTTCGGTGGTTGCCCCGCGCTGATTCGCGCCCCGCAGCAGCCCAACTACATTGGGGCGGCAGCCGCCGGTCTCCCGAATGCACATTCGGGAATTGTTGATCAATTGAAATGCGTTGTTAAAACAATGATGATTGTGACTTTGTTTTTTACCCTTTCTGGCAATAAAACAGGAGGTGTGTTTATATGTTCAAACACCAAATTGATGATACATTTTGCAGGTCTGCTTTAACCACACGTTACCTGTGGGAAAACATGCACACCAACATGCTCTGATAAGAATGGCGGGATGCATTGTTTATTAAACTGATCGTCCTCCACGAGAGACGGCAGACTTCTTGATGGCCAAGTCTCTGTCTCTGTGCCAGACCAGAGAACAGCAAACGGCGAACAGCACAAAGACAATGCAATTATTGAGCAGGAATATCTATGGGACCTTTTTTCCAGTCTCAAAATGATGAAACTTTAGAAGCTAATCCCCTCTTCCTGATGACGAACGCTTGTGTTGCGATCGAAACGTCGTAGTTTTTTTGAAAGTTTTTGTAATTTTCTTTGAACATATCTACGTGACTTTACCGAAAGACCCAAAGAATATGATGACACAGTGATAGGTTTTACCTATAAATGCTCTGCCACGCTGCAGTGTCTTTGTCCCGTTCGCCTTGTGCTGTCCTCTGGTCTAACACTGGCGGTGAGACTGGGCCTTAAAGAAAGCTGTCCCTGGTGGTGTAGACCAATCAGTTCCAAAGACAATGCGTATAACATGATCAGAGCATGTTTATTTGCATGTGTTGCCACAAATAACGTGCGTGGTCGATGCAGACTTGATGCCTTGCAAGAGGTATCATCTCTTTAGTGCTTGAACATCTAAACACAACTCCTGCCAGAAAGGGTAAACACCGGTTCATGTTTCATCATTTTTGATACTGGCAAAACAAGGACCCATCGATATTGCGTCGTTGTTGTTAAGTAAATCTTGATTTGTTGTTAAGTAACGTTTGTTATTTGACAGTGAAGTTGATCGTTTTATTGTTCAGTTAATTCGGCCCACCGAAGACTCGTGCCCCCTTCCGTCGTATCCCGTCTGTGGATATCAAAACAAACCTTGGGCGCTGCGTCTTATCATTCGGTAACTCGTTATTTTTTGCACGTGCTATGAAGAAAAGGGCCATTGACCGAAACGTTGCCTATTATATATTTCCTTTTAAGGCTGACTGTGTTGGTGTTTAAAAATATATATACAGGGACTCCCCTACTTACGGACGAGTTAGGTTCCTGAAGGCTGTTCGTAAGTCCATTCGTTCGTAAGTCCAACTTCACTCCTGTCGATTCCAAACGTGTTGTACGGCGTGTACACTTAGCACGGGGAGTGGCTTTAAAAGTTGTATAATCTCCTGTAGATGCCACTGGTTCTTCATGTTCTGCAGATGTAGATGCCACTGGTTCTTCACGTTCTGTAGATGTAGATGCCACTGGGTCTTCATGTTCTGCAGACTTAGATGCCACTGGTTCTTCATGTTCTGCAGATGTAGATGCCACTGGTTCTTCATGTTCTGCAGATGTAGATGTCACTGATTCTTCATGTTCTGTAGATGTAGATGCCACTGGGTCTTCATGTTCTGCAGATGTAGATGCCACTGGTTCTTCACGTTCTGTAGATGTAGATGCCACTGGGTCTTCATGTTCTGCAGACTTAGATGCCACTGGTTCTTCATGTTCTGCAGATGTAGATGCCACTGGTTCTTCATGTTCTGCAGATGTAGATGTCACTGATTTTTCATGTTCTGTAGATGTAGATGCCACTGGGTCTTCATGTTCTGCAGATGTAGATGCCACCACCGCCATCTATTGCGCGGCGGTTGAACTTACGACTCTCGATCTAAACATGCTACTGGACATACGTACAGGTTTGTTCGTATCTCTGAAAGTTCGTAAGTCTAATATTCGTAAGTGGAGGAGTGCCTGTATTTTACAATCCGAAAGGTGAGTGTGTTGACCGTATTCGTGTGAAGTTGCTGCGTGTTACTCTCCGGCGCATCTTATATTTGGGACAATAAACACGGCGACTAGAAACACTGCGAAGTTACGTGCGGAGTGATTGTTTAACAACAACAACACAACACGGTATGTATGGAGATGGTTACTGTGAGTACATTTTTCTTTTATTTCGGTACTGCTAACAAAGTGTGAAAAACAACCAGAGCGAATGCGAGCAATCTATTAATCGAGCTGTGGGTTAAATGTTAAACGCACTCTGCGAGTGGGTAAACTATCAAAGCATGATGAATATTTAAATAAAACAATAGTTTAGTGTATGGTTTCACTTATTTGGCCGCTATAAATGTCCACATGATGATACGCCACTTCGTTGAGCTATCATTTGTGACAGCCACGTCGCTTCTGAAGAAAAGCGATATAGCCCTCACCTGGAAAAAATAGTTCAGTTTTAGTTGTTTTTTTGCTTAAATGAAAGCAATATAAAGTAATTAAAAACATGCCCCCTCTTATCGCATGTGTGTCCACATTGTTCAGGAAGATCACTAGGAGTAGAATGATGATAATAACGATAATGTAGAGACAAGGCCACCACATGGAACTCAACGCGCTGGGTGAAGTGGGAAATGTACAAAATGCACCTCTCACATTACACCCCTCGAAAACACCGGTCGTGTCAGCATCGAACCGACCGCATCACGGAATCAACAGGCCGGTGCGGACGCCTCCTTCATGAATGATAAATTAGAGACAATCCAGCTACACAGGAATAAAGGAACGATAGATGTTAGGATAGTTTAGATGATGCTGTTGGTTGTGACAGGCTGTTGTGATGACAGTTGTTGGTTGTGACAGCCTGTTGTGATGACAGCTGTTGGTTGTGACACGCTGTTGTGATGCCAGCCTGTTGTGACAGGCTGTTGTGATGACAGTTGTTGGTTGCGACAGCCTGTTGTGATGGCAGCTGTTGGTTGTGACAGGCTGTTGTGATGCCAGCTGTTGTGACAGCCTGTTGTGATGACAGTTGTTGGTTGTGACAGGCTGTTGTGATGACAGCCTGTTGTGACAGGCTGTTGTGATGACAGTTGTTGGTTGCGACAGCCTGTTGTGATGACAGTTGTTGGTTGTGACAGGCTGTTGTGATGACAGCCTGTTGTGATGACAGCTGTTGGTTGTGACACGCTGTTGTGATGCCAGCTTTTGTTTGAGACGCGCTGTGTGGAGCTCTGTCAGTCCGCCTCTTGGTGGAACCTGAAGGCCGCCCGGTCCGGCCCCGCGCTGCAGTGGCGAGCGCAGCGTCGACGAACGCCCTCGCACAGGGCGTGGGGCCCGCACGCGAACACTCCGACCTCCACCCTGCACACACAAAGACAAAGACCCCCCGTATAGTCTGTAACAGACTGCTGGGGAAAGTGCTGTAAGCGAGCACCTATCGAAGTCGAAACGGCACGCAAGGGCACCACGCCTGGCCGCCTTTGTCTCCCCAGTAGCGATGTTTACACAACGCACCAGATTACTCAGTTGAGGCTGAGGGGTGGCCCCGAACCGGTTCAGGGAACCTTCACTGGCGAACCAGGGATCGAACCCAGATCGTCAGGTTCGTAGCGCAGCGTGCCGACTGATACGCCACTGCTCCGCGCTTCCACCCTGCACACAGGCAGAGGTGCCCAGGCATGGGGGGGGGGAGGGGCTTCTTGCTGGTATCAACATGATGGACATCTAACACCTGAACGTCTTGGGGCACTGCGGTGGCGAGATATGATCTCCCTCGTCTGATATGCAAGAGGTCGTGGGTTCGATCCTGATCTAGACACACAGTTGTATATTTGGACTTTCGTGAGCAATATCATCCATAATAGAGGTTTTTTGGGTAAGATCGCTTAAATATATAAATGTGTCGTTAAGTTCAAAGGGCTCGCATAATGTGCGTTGACTCAGTAATCCCCCCCACTTTGCATAAGAGCGCAGAAGCGTGGTCACCACATCTACGTCTCTATATAAGGAACGAAACAGGTGGACTTCTCCACAAATCTGACTGTCGCCTGATGAAGCTGGTTGTAATAACAGGCGAAGCGTCGTACTCAAATTGTAAATGTTGTGGCTTGGCTCTCCAACACACCGGTGTGCTGTACTAGTGACGAATTGGCACGTTGTGTTTACGTGACAACCCTAACTAGTTGGCTGTGTCGGGTGGTGGTGGGTTTAACGACACATTTATATTTACGCGATCTAACAAAAAATCCCTCTATTATGGATGTATACTTGGAGTTTGCATGTCTCTGTTTTCCCGTAGTCGCATGAATTTTTATCCGGGTCCTCTGGTTTTTCCACACGATGAGCCACTACATTGAGCTATCATTAGTGGCCAGGTCGCTTCTGAAAAATATTCTAATAGCTCAGTGGGCATTAACTGGTAAAATAAAAAAAAATGGTCGAGTTGGGTTTATTATCGCACAGATAGCCTTTAACAGTCAGGCCCATTGCTGTTAGCGATCACAATGTGATCACTGGTACGGCACACGAGGGAGTGGTGTAGCCAGCAACACCGCCTTTGTCTCCACAACAGTGCTGATGTTTACACACCGCACCAGGCACTCATTTATGGCTGAGTCGATCTAGGAGAGGCCCAGCACAGATTCAGATATCGCAGAATGTTAGCCGTGGCCCAGAATCGAACCCAGGTGGCCGGGTTCGTAGTGCAGTGTGCGGCCCACCGTAACATCGCTCCCCGCACACAACACACCATGAGTAATAAATTAGATCTTTAAAAAAAAACGGATTTAAACACGGCCAGCTCAATAAAGGTTTGAACACAGTGTGGTGTCAGTATCCTAATCTCTGAGCCACCAGTCAATCTCTGCTACTATACACCCACTACTAGACACTCCATATCTGTCAACCCCTTATCAGTGCCCTACCTTATTACAGACCAACTCAGACCTTATTGGTCACCCCGTGCCCCTTATACATCTCAACGTTCATCCTACAAAGTCCCATCACAAGGGAGAAACTCAAATAGACAACAAAAAAATGGCCGTATTGAAACGGCTGTACGCCGTATGGATCTGAAAACTCAATTTCCCTGTACGAGAATACGGGGTAAGCCGTGTGGGTTGACGCGGAATGGGATTCATCTTGAGGAGCCTTGAGAGTGGACGGGCAGTCCGACTGGAGAGTTTGGCGAGCTCCGATCCCGGTCGCAAGGCCCTCACCCCGGGTGCGCGCGGGCAATCTGGTCCAGCTCGACGCTCCAGTTCGGACGTCCGAACCACGTCTTCTGCCTCAGCCCCGTGATGGTGTCATCTGCCTCGTCCCAGTGAAGGGCGATGTGGACGGCCTGTGCGCGGTGGGGATGAGAGGGGTGAGAGGGGGTTAAACATTTCTCAACACGGCGGCGAGGTGTCAAGGGGCACTGGGCTGGACTTGCAGGCCACGAATTCACCCGTCTCCAAGTCCATCTCCGGACGCGACAATTCAAACAATGGGGGGAGGGGGGGCGAGTTTCTTAAATCCAACCGCCTTTGTTCGCCCCGCAGTATCAATGTGTTTTTACACCGCAGTTAAAATTGATCGGCAGCTCGAGAGAGGTGGGGTAAAGCGTGGGTTTTGCTGCCTCTGGCCAGCGGGGTAGACGAGTATAGTAGTGTATAGTGTAGTGTATAATAGTTTAGTGCATAGTAGTGTATAGTTGTTTGTAGTATGTAGTAATGTAGTGTATAGTGTATAGTGTAGTGTATATATTGTAGTGCAGTGTTTCTTAACCTGGGTTGCACGCAACTCCTTGTGCCGTGGCTGGGGTTGCGAGATATGGACAGATTGTTTTGAAGGTAAAATAATCCAGAACGCAAATTAAGTACGGGCACGTACGTTACAACTTACTTGTTTCACCAAACCCTGCGTAGTTATTCACATAACACGGTTAGCCATTGAGAACCACAGGGATGCAAGAGTGGCTCTCTGAAGCTTCCTCGAGTGGAGGCACGAGTGAGACATTGCAGGGCTTCACCTTTACCTTCTCGTAACACAAGGAGGTCGATTAATCTGCACAAGTGTGTTGCGAATTATCTGCGGGAGACAGGATGGTCATGATCGATGAGATCGGGTTGCAGGATCGGCGTTTTGAGAATGGGATTAAGGAGCGGTGTCTTCAGTTGGGGCTGATTAATTGTCAGGTTCGGCGTGGCAGAAATCGTGCCGTTGGGTGCACCTAGCCTGGCACGGCCTGGCCACCTGTGTCTCGTCCCAGCGGGTGAGGTAGAGTTTGTAGCGGAGCTGGTGGCTGCACCCGGTCTCCATGAGATGTCTCTCCAGAGATCGCAGGGGCTCGCAGAGCCAGGCGAAGGAAGACGGCTCCCGGCATATCCAGTACAGGTACACCTGTATCAGAGACATAGATCCCCCTTCACAGGCTGTTGGGGCAAGTGCTGTTAGCGAGTAGCATCAATGAAGACGGGCACGGCACACAAGGGGGGGGGGGGGGGGGGGCAGCACCACGCACGGCACAATTTTGTCTCTCCAGTGACGATGCTTACTATTCACCGGGTACTAATTTGAGGCTGAGTCGACCTAGGTGAGGCCCAGGACCGGTTCAGATGATCGTCGCTGGTGTCCACCGTGAGCGGGAATCGAACTCGGGTCGCCGGGTTCGTAGCGCAGCGCACTAACCACTACACTACCATGTCCCACTCACACCACCACGACGTGCGGACACACACATAACCTGTACCCACTTACACACACACACAGCCTGTACCCACTTACACACACACACAGCCTGTACCACTTACACACACACAGCCTTTACCCACTTACACACACACACAGCATGTACCCACTTACACACACACACACAGCCTGTACCCACTTACACACACACACACAGCCTGTACCCACTTACACACACGCAGCCTGTACCCACTTACACATACACAGCCTGTACCCACTTACACACACACACACAGCCTGTACCCACTTACACACACACGCAGTCTGTACCCACTTACACACACACACAGCATGTACCCACTTACACACACACAGCCTGTACCCACTTACACACACACAGCCTGTACCCACTTACACACACACACACAGCCTGTACCCACTTACACACACACACAGCCTGCACCCACTTACACACACACACACAGCCTGTACCCACTTACACACACACACACACACAGCCTGTACCCACTTACACACACACGCAGTCTGTACCCACTTACACACACACACACAGCATGTACCCACTTATACACACACAGCCTGTACCCACTTACACACACACAGCCTGTACCCACTTACACACACACAGCCTGTACCCACTTACACACACACACAGCCTGCACCCACTTAAACACACACACACAGCCTGTACCCACTTACACACACACAGTCTGTACCCACTTACACACATAGCCTGCTCCTACTTACATACACACATAGCCTGCTCCCACTTACACACACACACACAACTGTACCCACTTACACACACACACAGCCTGTAGCCACTTACACACACACAGTCTGTACCCACTTACACACATAGCCTGCTCCCACTTACACACACACATAGCTTGCACCTACTTACACACACACAGAGCCTGTACCACCAAGTATTAAGGCCTACACACACAGGTACGTAATTATTCCACGTCTACCACCTACTTATCTGTGGCCAGGTGCGCTATTGTTTTTGACACTAATTGTCTCAATAAATCTTGACTTAAAGCTTTCGTGACTGCAGCCATTCATATTATTTGGATCTTTCGGTAAAATCACGTAGATATGTTCAAAGAAAATAACAAAAATAATAAAAGTGGGTGTAATGGTTACTTTACCGAAAGACCCAAAGAGTATGTCTCAATAAATTCAACCGCATGGCGTCACTGGTAGCGGCCAGTCTATGTTTGTGCCGTAAGCCCCTTTCCACCCGACACAGCCAACGAACAAAGTTTGTCACGTGATGAACAATCATCCCACGTGCTACTCCAGCAGCGCTAACGCCGCCTTGTTGGCGCAGAACGATGCGCACGCATTTACCGATCGGGAAGACCGACGTTTCGTCGGTAAGTCACAGCCAGTATCGTCAGGCAGTTGCCAGAAACGTGCAATAATGTCCTCCCGACTCGGGCCGTGGCAACTTCACGAGTTGGCTGTGTCGGGTCGAGGGTTTCTGACGTATTTCACGACTTTGCCCTCCGGTCGTGTTTTTTGGACTGTGATCGTTGTTGTTGTAACGTTCTTAGCCCGTGCTCTTACTGGACTCTGTGAAAAAAAGAGCTTTATAGCTCATCGGATATTCTCCAGTATCAATAAATATTCTGAATCTAAACCAAAGAAACGTAACCATTACACCGAGTCGCGACAGCGCACATCTCAAATCCAACGCTTAAATGTGTAACCACCGTGGTGTGCCGGGTTGCCCCCGCAAGCCAGGAGCCCAGGTAGGCCGCGAAGGGGGTGATGCCGATCCCCGCGGCAATGAGCACGCTCACGGGGTAGCGATCCACGTCCCGGGAGGACCCCACGAAGGGGCCATCCACGCAGAGCCTGGGGGGGGGGGGGGGGGCCGCATAATGTGAGCCGTCGGGCGTGTCAGGAGTCTCACCACGCAGACTGCCCCGCGCGTGGCTATGATCAGGGTGGGCCAACCTGCCCAGGGTTGGCACCCCAAGACGGGAATTGGCATCTGTGTTCGGGGTGGTCGTGGGGTTTGCTGTGCTGAGATGTGTTACCTGTCAAAGTATAAACAACTAAAACGTGTTTTTAATAGTATCAGGTAAGGCCCACTCATCTATGTGGCTCCTTTAAAGAAGCGTCCTGGCCACAATCGGTAGCCCCACGAGGTGGCCTATCGCGTAGAAATGTATCGCAGCCAAACGCTCTGAACGCGTGACGGTGATTCTAAATGTGGAGGGAAAAGCCGAAGGACCCGGAGACAAATCCACGCGACCACAGGGAGAGAGACACCGCAAACTCCAAATATACAGCAGCAGGCGTCAGGGTCGGGATCGAACCCACTACCTCCTGTACACCAGGCGAGGGAGTTAACATCTCCTGGTCACCGTGGTGCCCCATGTGACATCTGACAAGTCGCTTTCGTTTGGCTGCTGGGAATCTTTGGCATTTGGACTCTGCCCGTGGTCTGGTGTCTCTTTCGAAACTTGCAGCGACTCACAATTATTAAACTCGCCAATGTATAAAGGGAATGTTATATTGTCTATGTTAGCGTTGAGATATGTTTTTTTATGTAAATGGTATTTTACATGTCAGTGTTGATTTTGATATCGTTGACTCTAACTGTTATTACCCATGTTGTCTATCCTTGATGCTGTTGTCGATGTTGACGCTCCTAAGTTATCCTCTTGTTGTTGTTGGTGTCGTCAGGGTTTATGTTAACGGTTGTTGTTGTTATGCCCTTATCAACACTTGCGATCATTTGGGATGTTGTTAACCTCCAGTGATAACTCTCAATGTGGTTTGTCGTTGTTTATTGTGGTTGTTCTTTGTGACGTAATCAACCTGGGAGGCTCGCTGCCCCCAGCGCGCGCGCACCGCCTCAGCAACGCGCGCGTCCAGTCGCCATCCGCGTGCACGTGCAGGCTCCCCGCCCCCTCCCCTGCCCCGGCCCCCACCGCCCCGCCCCGCCCCACCCACGTGAGCGTGAGCGCGTGCCACTGTGCGCGCGACACGGAGGCGCAGCGCACGAGCACGTGGTCGCCGGGGCGCGCGCGCGCCGGGCAGCCCAGCACGCGCACCTCCAGCACGTGACCCGGGTGCTCGCGCACCTGGGGGGGGGGTGAAGTGGGTGGGGCTGTCACGTGATGGCTCAGTCCCGACCCGGGTTGTTGGGATCCTGCTGGTGCTGCTGTTAACTGCTGTGGGGTGACCAATACGATCTGAATTGGTCTGTAACGAGGTAGGTTGACAGCTCTGCTTCAATGATACTGCTCCTCCTGCCGCTTGGCCTAGAGGCGGCTTCGTGGTGGCACATCCACACAGCTCGTCGCAGAGCCACGGCCACTCCGCTGGTGGTGCTGTGTTTGTGTGTTACCCGCGGCAGCGATGCCCCTGACGTTGTTTACAAGAGTAAACTCTGAATATTTGTGTTCATCTTACCATGTAAGAAGCGACCTGGCTATCACGAATGATTGACACACCATCGTGTGGAAATGTAGAGCAGGCACATACTCGAGACGCGTGCTGTTGATTCTAAATCTGGAGGGAAAACCGGAGGATCCGAAGAAAAATCCACGCGACCACGGGGAGAGAGAGAGACACGGGGAGAGAGAGACACGGGGAGAGAGAGAGAGAGACGTGGAGAGAGAGAAACACCACAAACTCCAAATATACAGCAGCAGGCGTCAGGGTCGGGATCGAACCCACGACCTCCTGTACACCAGGCGAGGTAGTTAACAGGTACAGCACACTTCCAAAGTGCACATACACCACACCTGTACAACACAGGCACAGCACACCTTGCACACCACAGGTACAACACACGTGGTGTCGTGGGAGGTATAGCAGCGATGCTTCTGAAGGGCAGGCGCACGGGGAACGAGAGGGCAACTTGTTACCTTGGTCACGACCGTCGGGTGACAGCAGCAATAGCAGCGTAACAGCTGCTCACCCGCGTACAACAGCAGCGGGAGCAGCAGCCAGCGCCACGTCTGTGGGGCACAACAACAACAACGCAGCAGCAGCAGCAGCCAGCGTCACGTCTGTGGGGCACAACAACAACAACGCAGCAGCAGCAGCCAGCGCCTCTGATGTGATGTGGGTGGGCACCGCACGTGCTGACCGGGAGCCGAGGTGGTTTGGTGGTGATGATGGTGGTGGTGATGATGGTGGTGATGATGGTGGTGGTGATGGTGGTGATGATGGTGGGGAGCGGTGGTGTAGTGGTTAGCACGCGGCTGCGCTACGAACCCGGCGACCCGAGTTCGATTCCCGCTCACGGTCAACTGCCAGTGACGATTGTCTGAACCGGTACTGGGCCTCCCCTAGGTCGACTCGGCCTCAAGTGAGTAACCTGGTGCGGTGTATAGTAAACATCGCCATTGGGGAGACAAAGGCGGCCGGGCGTGGTGTTGGCCGCCCACGCCCCTCGTGCCGTGCCGGCCTTCATAGGTGGCGCTACTCGCTAACAGCACTTGCCCCAACAGCCTGTGAAGGTTATACGGGGATCTTTATCTTTGATGGCGATGACTGAGGCAATGCTGATGGTGTTCACTGATAGGAATACTGTAGTGGTTTGTTTCTGCTGCTGCTGCAAGCGGATGCTGGTGATTATTGCACTGATCCTGCTTTTGCTGATGATTCTGATGGTGGTGCTGATGATGACACTGACGATGATGCTGACGACCAAGCTGATGATGACACTGATGGTGCTAGTGCTGATGATACTGCTGATGATACTGACGATTATATTGATTGTGATGGGGATCAAACTGATGATGACACTGATCGTGCTGCTGTTGCTGCTGATGACACTGACGATGATGGCGAAGCTGCTGATGCTGCTGGCTGCGTCACCACGGGAGGGTTGCCGCTGAACTGCGGTGTGGGACACGCGGCCTCGCGCCCGCCCCACTGCTCGTGCCGGGCGTAGCACCACGTGATGTTGTGTTCCCGCAGGCTGGCCTCCGTCTGGCCACGCACCACTCGCCTGCAACAGCAGCACCAGCAGGAACAACAGCAGCAGCAGCACCAGCAGCACCAGCAGCACCAGCAGTTAGCAGCACCAGCAGGACCAGCAGCCGCACCAGCAGCAGCACCAGCAGCAGGAGCAGCACCAGCAGCTGAATGACCAGCAGCACCAGCAGCAGGAGCAGCAGCAGAATTCCCTCCAGGTCACTCTTGTAAATGAGACTCATCCTGGTCGCTCCTGAATTCTCACCTGGCTGAGAATTTGCAACAACACCACAAGCAATGAGCCCCCGGGCTCTGGAGACCACCTGGAGAAGATTCCAGGCACGCGTTGACAATGATGGCGAATAAGTAGAGCAGGCCGGCCATCTGGCCATCTGGCCGGCCTGCTCTAGACCAATTCCTCGACCACATCCTACCAATTCCTTGACCAATTCCTCGACCACATCAATTCCATACACCCAGCCATCAAATTTACCATGGAAGTCGAAAAAGATGGCAAGCTTCCTTTTTTGGATGTCCTAATAAAAAAGAGACCTGAAGGTTCAATGAGCCACTCTGTCTACAGGAAAGCTACCCATATGGATGGCGTCTACAAACTAAGTTGCCTCTGTGGTAACAGTTACATTGGAGAAACCAAACGATGTCTCGGACCGCATCCGTGAACATAAAGCAGACCTGAAACACGGTAGGACCAACACCTCAGCCTTGGCAGATCACTGTTATAATTCAGTGGGCTCACATGACATTGACTTCTCCAAGACGGAGGTTCTCTGCAAGCCATCCGGGCTACCATGAGAGATTCGTTCATGAGGCCATCCACATATACAAACACAGAGACAATTTCAACTGAGAAGATGGATTCTGGCTCAGCAATCATTGGAAGGACGTGATCAACCATTTCGGCTCTTGATTGATTGTGTTCACGTTTACGGTGACTTTCAGACCGCATTCCATTAGCTGGCATTGACTATATAGCTTTTGTATTTTCCTCACAGATCGGAGTTTTTTGCTCCACTGCAAGTTTCCTGCTACCACCCTCCCATTGACATATTTATTTGCTCCCTCTTAATACCTTTAGTAAAATTTTCCTCTCTTTATTACTGCTAATCCTGCATAATACACGAGCATAATGACTTTGAGACCCCCACCCCCACCGCCTACACATTCCACAAGGAGTGACTCACCCCATATCTGCATTTGTCATCAACATGCTAAATTCCTCTGTTGATATGTAAACTCCTTTGTCAAGGCGCTCTCCTCCTCCCACCCAGCTTAAAATACGCTGCCAAGCTTAGCAGTGTTCATTAGGATGCTGTCTTTCAGACAGCTCTGTTTCTTCACCTGAGGACGGCTCCTTGCAGTGTGGCCGAAACGTCGTGAGAACTTTATTATGTTTTATTTTGTATTATTTTATTATTTCCCTTCTACGTGACTTTACCGAAGGAACCAAGAATATGAATCCCTGCAGTCACAAAAGCTTTAAATCGAAATTTAACATCCATTTGTTATCATGTCACAGCGTATTATTCGTTTTTTCCCATTAAAAACGATAGTCCCATATAAGTGTTAACATTTATTGAAGCATCCTGTATGTGTATATAGAGAGCATAAGATAGCACAGCTGTCATCACATCTACGGACAGGGGTGGGGATGTGTCAGGAGGAGGAGGAGGCGAGGAGGGACGAGTTGAGAGGAGGGGCCAGGGGGAGAATGAGGAGGACAAACTGGCGGCCGAGACTGTGACTCAAGAGAGCCCCTCACCATGTGTTGAGCCTCTGTGCTCCTCCTCACAATAATACTGACGAAGCGTATTTATTAACTTTTCCTGCATAGCTGGCGCTCTAACTGCACGACAGTCACATGTCACAAAGCATTTGCTCAATACATTGTTATTATCTAGTCGGGGTTAAAGACGGGGTCAAGGTTCGGGTCGCGGTGAGCGCCAGGGTTAACGGTCAGAGTCCGGACTCGCCGGCCGACGAGCGCTCACCCGAGCCCGTGGACGAGGAGGCCCGCGTACATCACGGGGGCGAGCAGGTGAGTGAACCAGAATATCTCGTAGTTGGCCCGGCGCACGCTCTCCCGCGACGAGGTGGCGACGAGCACGAGGCACGTCGTCATGAGCATCCCCGACAAGCCCGGAACGCCCGACAGGGACTCGCGCAGGGGACTCTTGGGGGGTGGAGCAAGGGGGGGGGGGGGGGATGAGGCATTCGTCAATTAGCGTAGTCGGTGGTACACCGGTGGTGCCATGGTCTTTAAAAACGATATTTTCGCAATAATAATTTTCCTGCGATTCGCAACCCCGATCAGAAAGTCTTGCGGGACGGTGGTGGTGCGTCCACATCATGGTGTCGAACCGGTCGGATGACGGAACGTTCACACGAGCGGCTGAACACGAAGAAGCTTCTTCACAGGCTGCTGCCGTAGAGCAGCACCCAGCCTGGTGACGATTTGCTGGCTCCGTGTTTCAAACGCAACTTTGACTCCTCGTGCTCTAGACTTGGTCGGACGGTTCATCGATGCAAAGAGACCCCAAATCAACGGCCAATATTGACCCTTTTTTAGCAAGTCTCAGTTGACTGAATAAGCCTTCGAATCGCGTCAAACTTGGCGAACCAGTCGATTCAAGACTGATAAAAACTGATTTGCCGATTCAAATTTTGATTTTAGAACTGTGTTATGAGGACCGGTTGTGTTATGCTGCACCGGGGTACCGCCAATACGCCAAAATATGGGAATTGACAACGGAGTTGAGGGAATTGTTAGACGTGTAAGTGGGGATTGTATGTGGATGAGAAATAGGGATTAGGTTCGGAATAGGAGATTATGATCATAATGGGTTGGAAAATGAAATAGCATTGAGACTTTATTTTTAATTGAGATTGGTGAAATTTGTAATTTACTTTATTGCTGCTGGCGATTAATTGAATCAGAATATTTGTGAGGAATCCGGGCTCCGCCAGTGGCGAGAACAAGCGGCGTGCGACGCCCTCTCTTCCATCAGAGCCGCACGCTCAGTCTTGAACGTTAGTCGGGGGTCAATCTTAAGAAAGCTCCGACCGAATGCACTGGTGAGTACGTAACATCGTTGTAATGTCGTCGTTAAAAGTTGTTTTTTTTTAATTTATAAATTGCTTGAAGACATTTATCATGTGGACAGTATCAATGACGGAATGTGGACACCTACAGGGTATCTGCCCATGGGTCATGATGATGATTATGACAGTATCATTATTAAGGCTACCAACAATGAAGCTCTCATATATCCCTCATAGGTAAAACAATATATAGCGCTCTCGGTAACGCATCTCTATTGGAACCACGTTATAATGACCTATAGCGCTGATTCGTACAGTGCTGTGGGTAACGCATCTCCTTTGGAACCACGTTATTGTGACCTCTTATAGCGCTGTTTAGTATAGCAATGTAGGTAACGCATCTCCATTGGAAGCATGTTATAGTGACCTCCTATAGCGCTGTTTCCTATAGCGCACCGTTTACCAAGAACGCATCCTGAGCACGATAAGCGTTATGCCTGTATGTTAGTCTTGCATGTGTCAATATGTTCAGGCGCTAGATGCCACTGACGTTGAGGTCTGCTGGATACGACGAGAGGACTTCAGCAGAGAGTTTGTAGTTTTGATAATTCCTCCTCCACTGAAGGGGCACGGATTATAGTGGCTTGCTGTGTGGTCCAGAGTTTGAAATGCGTGGCCACAATTGCATAACCTGTGGCTTATCTTTAATGTATCTCTATGGGTCTCTATAGTTCTGTATGCAACTCTATATATCTCTGTGTCTCTATTGGTTATTTGTTCGGTCAATAGTTTGGGTTGCATGGCCGCAAACACACTACGATTGGCTTGCCTTAAATTTTTAGTGTATAAAGGAGATGTGCACATTGGCCTGTTGATGATGTGTCTTTTTTTTACAAAAGTCCAGAATGCTGACGGCTACACCATGCCACGGCGTCTCATGTTAAAATGTAACGCGGCACGGTTATTGTGATATCGCAAAAGAATAATCGTGAGCTGAGTGCCGAGTGTGTGGTCTTGGTGAGGGGGCCCCGCGGTGGCTAGAAGATGTTAACTACCTCGCCCGGTATACAGGAGGTCGGGAGTTCGATCCCGACCCTGACGCCTGTCGCATATTTGGAGTTTGTGAGTTGGCTTGTTCTCCCCGTGGTTGCGTGGATTTTTTTTCCCTCCAGGTTCCACCAGGTTGTTCCTGACACATTTTTTTATCGACATCCTGCGTTCATAGTTGTGTAATGTGAGGTTATATCCGGGTCGTTAACGGATTACAACTCGTCACGACGATTGGCTCTGCCGGTCCTGGTTCATAGCCAATGGGGGGAAGCCTAAGGGCGTGGCCCTGACGTAATGGAAAGGTGACAGTTGGTTGTAGAGGATTGGTTCTGCTGGCTTTAGCCACAGCCAATGGGGAAACGAGTCAGGGGCGTGGTCCCGGGAGCCTCTGGAATATTCCATAGAGGCTAACCAGGATTGGTGGAAGCGTACCATGTGACCCGGGTATTAAATAGGGGTGGAGACGAACGACAAGGGGTCAGAACGGGAACAAACAGAGGAAGGGGGCCACGCGGGAGCGGGGCTCCGGGTTGCCACGTGGCAGTGGGTCTCTATCTATCCCTCTCACGCTGCCTGTCAGCAGCGTGAAGGAAAGCGGTAATGCAAAGTTGAATAAAAGACCGGATTCCAGAAGTCGCCTCAACGACCTTTATTACAGTTGTATGGCTGCGGTACATTTCCACACGACGACGATGATGACGACGAGCTACTTCGTTGAGCTGTCATTTGTGGCCAGGTCGCTTCTGAAAAAGAGCTCCACGTTATGGCTCAGTGGGGCCTTACCTGGTAAAATAAATACAAATAGGTTGGTTTAGTTGACGTGCGGGTGTGTTGGGTGCGTAGCGGTTGGGGTTCAGGGGGAGTCACCACCGTGTTTGCGCGCCAGACTGGGTTCAGCCGCGTCTCGTTGGGATTCGTCCCCAGCGCAGAGAGCCGGGCGAGGAGGGAGTTGTCGTGAGCTCGGCTCGCCGCGCAGAATCGCTCGGATCCGAGGATGTGGGCCACGACGTGCACCGCTACAAAGACAAAGACCCCCGTGTAGCCTGAACAGACTGTTGGGGCAAGTGGTGTCAGCGAGCTACCTATGAAGGCCAGCACGGCACACGAGAGGGTGGGGGGTCAGCACCACGCCCGGCCGCCTTTGTCTCCCCCGGTAGCGATGTTTACACACCACACCAGGTACTCATTTGAGGCTGAGTCGACCTAGGGGAGACCCAGGACCGGTTCAAATGATTGTCACTGGTGTTGCCCGTGAGCGGGAATCGAACTTAATCGCCGGGTTCGTAGCGCAGCGCGCTAACCACTACACCACCGCTCCCCCCACACACACACATAGACACACAGACAGCGCGATAACCACTACACCACCGCTCCCCCCACACAGACACACAGCGCGTTCACCGCTACACTACCGCTCCCCCCACACACGCACACAGACAGCGCGCTAACCACTACACCACCGCTCCCCCCACACAGACACACAGACAGCGCGCGAGACGTTACGCTACCACACAGACGCACAAACACAAACCGATTCCCCCATTTAGCCTTTTGTCTTTCAAATCACTGTGGCGTTCTATGCCATACCGTGATGTTTTGCTGAGTAAAAGGCAGGGGTGGGGAACGTCCGGCCCGCGGGCCGTGTAAGGCCCGCGAACTCATTTGGTGTGGCCCTGCCAAGGCAACCGCAGGCGGGACTCGAAATTCAATAAATCTAGGAGCAAACCTGGAAAAGCAGTTGCGAGCAGCAACATCATCAATACCAACTCACATCACATGCCTCGCCAAAGAGAAGCAGTTCCAGCCATCGCATTAGGGGTGAGTTAATGAAATGTTTGACCAAATATAACAGGCTAATTTTTAAGTTGATAATTTTGTATGGCCCGCGAATGATATTATACATATCAAAATGGCCCTTGGCGGAAAAAAAGGTTCCCCACCCCTGCTTTAAGGCTACACCGGCATTTTATCGCGGCTTCTGAAGGCTATACTGGGTTGTAGATTTACCTACCTGTGAGTAGTACTATGGTATAGGCGATAGTCCGATGAAAATAACCACAGTGATCCATCTGCCTGCGAATTGCGGGTCTGCAGTGCTGAAACACACACGCACACGGCAGTCCATTTATTATAGGTTATCATCAGCCATGGTCGATCTCCTGCTGAATGAACCGAACGAAAGCTTCCCCAAGCCGTCACCACATATCTCCCGATCTTGCAATGTAATAAGCGGCATAGCACGTGAACTGATTTCATCGCTCCATCGCCCCGGTGGATGTGCTCTCGTTGCTTCGGTCTAATACACACACACACATGCACCCAATTATATACACGTAAGACAACAAAGACAATGATCCCCCGTATAGCCTGAACAGGCTGTTGGGGCAAGTCAGCACCTATGAAGGCCGAAACGGCACACGAGGGGGTGGGTGGCCAACACTACGCCCGGCCGCCTTTGTCTCCCGAGTGGTGATGTTTATACATCGCACCAGGTACTCATTTGCGGCTGAGTCGACCTAGGGGATGCCCAGGACTGGTTCAGATCATCGTCACCGGTTTTGGCCATGAGCGGGAATCGAACCCAGGTCGTTAGGTTCGTAGCACAGCGTAGCGCTAACCGCAACACCACCGCTCCCCACATGTATATGAACGCGCGCACACGCACGCAGATGCACCCACGTGCGAGAGTCACGTGACAGTTACCCAGCATGCAGCGCGGACACGTGACATGAGGTGACGGCACGTGGGCAGCAGGACCATGGTGCAGTTGAGGTTGAGGCACGCGGCTGAGGCGCGGGCCCACGACAGGGCGTCCTGCATCGCGCACAGAGTGGCGGCAGTGCGAAGGCAGAGGGGGGAGGGACACTTTAGCTCCCCCCCAAGGTAGCTCAAAGGGATGAAAAATAAGAATCGCTTTTTACCCTTTCTGGCGATAAAACAGGAGGTGTGTTAAGATGTTCGTTCAAACGCCAAATAGATGATACATTGTTCAGGTCTGCATTAACCACACACGTTACTTGTGGCAAAACATGCAAACGAACATGCTCTGACGATAATAATGTCATGCATTGTCTGTCAAACTGATTGGCCTACACCAGGGACAGCTTTCTTTATGGCCTTGTCTCACCACCAGTGTCAGACCAGAGAACAGCGATAGGCGAACAGCACAAAGACACTGCAAGCCTCAGAGTATTATTATCTCAGGTTGAGCAGTTGTATCTATGGGATGTTTTTGCCAGTATCGCAAATGATGAATCAATAAGAATACGTTTTTTTCCCGTTCTGAAAATATGCAAACAAACAGAACATATTTGTTGACATGTTTTGCCACAAGTGCCGTGTGGCTAATGCAGACTTGATGCTTTGCAAAATGTAAAATCTATTTGGTGTTTGAACATCTTAAGCACCTCCTGTTACATTGCCAGAAAGGATAAACGCCCATTCTTCATTCTCATCATTTTGAATACCGGCAGGCAAAAAGGTCACGTGGATAAAAGCTCAAGGGTAGTGCATCCTCCTCGTCCACACCTCGTAGCTGGAAATCACGGAGGACGTTTATCTACCCAGCAAATGGACACTTCAGGGCCAGTCGCCACCGGACTGGAGGACAATTCTTGAATTGGGTGACGAAAAAAAAAAACGAAACAAAAATCTGAGCCGGTGGTGATATCACGCAAGGCCGGCAACGCCACAGTTCCCCGCGGTTTATTCCATTCCGGTCCTTCCTAAAAAACCATCTCGTCTTGCCGAGACCAAGCCTGCTACTCCACGCCCCAAGCTACGACCTGGCCTACCCCTATCACTACCCCAACCTCATTCACTACCCCTATCACTACCCCTATTACTACCCCAACCCCCTATTACTACCCCTATCAATACCCCATCACTACGCCTATCACTAACCCAACCCCGTATCGCTACCCCAACCTCAATCACTATTACTACCCCTATCACTACCCTAACCCCTATCACTACCCCAACCCCTATCACTATCCCTATAATTTCCCCAACCCCTATCACGACCCCTGACCAAACCCCTCCTTAACCACTCCGCCTGCCCTCCCGTCACCAGCATCTACACCACCCCCTGTTAATAACAACCCCACTCTTTATTTTAACCGCTGTCATCTAAATGTACAATTTTATCTTTGTTGTAAAGCCCCATACATTAAGGCGCTTTATGAATCAATATATAAGACAATACAACAGTGGCATTCTCAGCCATGGTGAAAAAACGCACACACAGATACTCAAGACAAGGACGACTCGCACACACGCACGTGCACATGGACACACAACACGGAGACAAATATGTACAGCGGCAAGCACGTGCATATGCCAAACAGACAGACACGCACAGACACAGACGGACACGTACACAACCAAAACATTGGGGCTTGATTTCTCACTCCACGTTCACCAGAACGCTGCTTAGGCTAGCGCTGAGTAGTGATTGTTGGCGTAAGGCACTACCACGAGAGTAACCGGGCGCTACAATAATGATCGTACACATCATGTGAGGGCAGAGTAATGCGAGGTGGCTGAAGGCAGAGTACTGGCGGCGATGGAGTATGAGGAAGATTTGACTCACCCCCACGAGAGCACGGGTGTAGAAGTAGCGGTCGGAGCGAGAGAATTTGGCGTAGGAAAATCCGAGCATCAGCAAGTTCACGAGCAGCCATGCGGCCTGCAAGCAGCGTCAGCAGCAAGGGCAGCAGCAGCGGCATCATCATCGGCAGTGGCAGTATCAGCATCGGCAGTATCATCATCATCATCGGCAGTGGCAGTATCAGCAGTGGCAGTATCATCATCATCATCATCGGCAGTATCATGGGCGGCAGTGGCAGTATCAGCAGCAGCGGCAGGATCATCATCAGCAGCAATGGTACGATCATCAGTATCAGCGGCAGTATCAGCAGCAGCGGCAGTGTCATCAGCAGCGGCGGCAGGATCATCATCGGCAGCAGTGGCACGATCATCAGTAGCAGCGGCAGTATCATCATCAGCAGCAGTATCATCATCAGCAGTATTATCATCAACAGCTGCATTATCATTATCAATATCTACAGCAGTAGTAATAACAGCATCATCAGTATCATCAGTGACTCGAATAGCATCGGCAGCAGTGGAATACTCATCTACACGTAGTCGTCAGGAGCACCAGCAGCGGCACATTAAGAGGCAGCAGCAGTGGCATCATGTTGAGCATTTTTCGTAAATCACGAAACAATCAGGACGCACCAATTATCGGCTCGGATTCAGAGCCTAACAAACTTAAAATCAATTGACGTAGCGAATGTAACACCTCCCATCTTGTCTATGCGGGTATCCCTCGATATACGAAAGGGATGCGCTCTTCAAAAGATCCCGCGCTAAGCGACATTTCGCAAATTGGAACGGCTTCTCGTTCCCCACTCATTTAACACCAAAAGTACGGGCTGCGCTTCGGACAGTCATTTCAACTGGAACTCCCAACCCCAAAAAAATTACAATACACCCACAATCACATTTCACAAAATAATAATAATTAGCAATCGCGAATGACACACAAACAATTGAAACGATTGAATAATAATGACTCTAAAACAAAACAAACCTCACCAAGAGGAAAACTGCTGCGCTTTGCAATGTCATGGCAAAGGTGACGCGGAGACGCCATTGCAATGCCGGGGGGGGGGGGGGTGGCATTATGACGTCAGTCGCGGATGCACGAGGCAGCCCCCCGCCCCCCACTTTGGTGGCTTCTCATGCGGTGATTTTTGTTCTCTCGTTGCGCGTGCCCGTTTCGCCCGTGGTGTGGTGGGTTTGCGCGAGGGCAAACTCAACTGTCCGCTCGTCCGAAAAATCGCCGAAATTTGAGCGTTTCTTTTTTTTGTGTTCGCGCGAAAAAAAAACATTTATTCCGCAAAGCCGCACGTTCGTGTGAAGTCTGAGGGACACCCATCTGCCTGTTTCATCAGCTCACTGACATTGGCCGTCCCTTGCCCACGTCGCTCATTGACTGCTTGGCACCTCGATATCTTCCGTCTCGAAGAGCCCGCGGCGTCTCCCGTCTCTTGTCGCACCTCTGCTGCTGGCCCGCGTTGCCCGCACCACCGTGACCACATCTCTGTGTCTCTCTGTGTGCATCTCTCCCGTCATCTCGCGAGGAGTTGCACATCGGAAGGAGCGGAGGTCAAAGGAATCCGTGCCGAGGAACCTCCAGCGGGGCCAGCAACCCGAACTATGGGTGTGCGTCGCGCTGCGAACCCGAGATCGACTCGGCCTCAAATGAGTACCTGGTTCGGTGCGTAAACATCGCCACTAGGGAGACAAAGGCGGCCGGGCATGGTGCTGGCCACTCACCCCCTCGTGTGCCGTGCTGGCCTTCATAGGTGCTCGCTAACAGCACTTGCCCCTACAGTCTGTTAAGGCTACACAGGCAAGATCTTTGTCTTTGTGTGCGCCCTGACGATTTTTCAACCGGTCCTGGGCCTCCTCTAGATCGACTCAGCCTCAAACAAGTACCTGTTGCGGTGTACAGTATAAACATCGTCACGAGGGAGACAAAGGCAGCTCGGCGTGGTGCTGGCCACTCACCCGCTCGTGTGTCATTCCGGCCATCATGGTGCTACTCGCCCCAACACAGTGTGTTACAGGCGACACGGGACTGGATGTGTTGTGGGTTTGCTGGTGGTGGACACTCACCGGTAGCAGCGTCCTGGTGTCCCGCAAGAAGACCCGAAGCCTCATTGTTGGGGATCGAACGCCGGGGCAAAGCCAGTCTTGAGACCAATGGTATAAGCCGCCGGCGAAATGTGTTGAGCAGCACCTGCGCTTTGCGTGTGGATATGGCGACGTGCGCGCGTGCGCGCGCGCGCTTGTGGGGCTACGTGTGAGATACGAGCGCCGACTCAACATAATGAAGCTTTGTGACGTCACGAGTCCGATGAGATTAGGGCCACGTTGGACCTGAGGCGGTGAAGAGAGATGCCGAATGATCTTGGCGGGTGTGCCAGCAGGTGTCTGTGTGTGTGTGGGTCTGTATGCGTGTCTCTGCGTGTACATGTCTTTGTGATGATGTGTATTTGTGCGCGTGTGTATATATAAAAGTACCCCCGTATAGCCTTAACAGAATGTAGGGGCAAGTGCTGTTAGCGAGCACCTATGAAGGCCTGAACGGTACACCAGGGGGTGGGTGGCCAGCATCACGCTCGACGGCCTTTGTCTCCCCAGTGACGATGTTTACAGACCGCACCAGGTACTCATTTTAGGCTGAGTCGACCTAAGGGAGGCCCAGGTCCGGTTCAGATACTCGTGACTGCTGTTGGCCGTGAGCGGGAATCGAACCCGGGTCGCCAGGTTCATAGCGCAGCGCACTAACCGCTACACCACCGCTTCTCACACACGCGCGGGTTCATGTCTGTGTAGTGGCATTCACGACATGTGTATTTGTTTTGTTTTCGTGTGCCCTTGTGTGTGTAACGGTCAGCGTGCTGCGCGACGAACCCGGCGACTCCTAGGTCGACTCAGCCTCAAATGAGTACCTGGTGTGGTCTGCAAACATCACCACTGGTGGAGACAAAGGCTGAACACCCACCGCCTCGTGTGCCTGGCCTTCATAGGTGCTCGCTAACAGCACTTGCCCCAATAGTCTGTTCAGTCGCTGTGTGTCTGAGGGATCTGGAATGCTATTGTGTGTTAACCCGTCTTGGGCCTCCCCTAGGTTGACTCGGCCTGGCGGGCAACCACTCACGAGTGAACACGCAGCTCGGGAATTTCTTGGTGTAAAACATTCCCATCGAGTACCCGATTCGTTTGGCTTATTCCACCTTTGCCACTGCCACTTGCGAGCCAGCGTTGGAACCTCACACGTACGGGTGGGTTTTCCACTGGTTGTTTTTCCATGCCGAGCCAGAACCAAACCGTGCTGCGCTGACCTCACAAGACGGTGCTTGAATCCGGCTTGTCGCCAACCAGCGCCAGTGGCGCGGCTAATGACTCGTTCATTTTGTGCGACGTCAACAGCGGCACTGCTCGGCTCTGCAGTGGAAAAAAAACGTGGCGCCTCCCGAGTTCGTGCCAGGCTGGTCTGGCTCGATACGGCTCTGATGTGGCTTGGCGCGCAGTTGAAAAGAGGTGTCGTCGGACATATCGCAGCGACGAATTGATGTCGTTTGTGGGGCCATTTCGACGGCGGCAGGTCCCGTGTAGCCGCGGGTCATGTGACGAGAAGTTGCAGGCCATATGAAGCGAAGCTGCGCGACACCATCTGTCCCGAGCTGGAGGTTCGCCCACCCTCGTGGCAGAGTGACACGGACATTACTCGCGCCTCTCGAACACAGCACAGGAGGACCCGCGCCTCTTATCCCGGCTCATACAGGTGCGCACGACCACAAAGAACCTTTGTAACCACTATAGCCTAGATAGCGGCCGTTTTCATTAATACATGAACCCCTGTACCCGACGCCAAAAGAAAACCGCGGAAGCCGCGCGTTATCGCTTTGGTATAATTATAGAGGGTCTAAATGTAAAGTGCCTTCCAGCCCAAATGAGCGACAGCGTGGCACTCTTAACTATGTGGTCCTGAGCAGGTGTATGAAAGTCCACGTTCCGCTGAAAATGTTGTTTCGGGAAGGGGAGAGCTGGAGGTGCAGAGTCGGAGTGGCTGAGCTGGTCGTGGGAGTCCAGCCTGGGCAGACGTCGGGCTGCTGCGTCACGGTCGGAGTGTGCGTCTCGTGCGCACGTACACGCCACTGCAGTCCAACATAAACCCATCCAGTGGTCCAGACTGGTATAATGATGTCATATAGGGCAGTCTGCACACAAACGCCACCCTCCCTAAGCAGTTCGCTTGGGAGATCATCTCTGCCCAGCGCTTTGGGTTGACTACAAATATTTGAGGCAATGCAGCCTGAGCAGGGTCATCCCCACCTTTCCCCTCCCCCAAGACCTCACAAATGCTCAGCAAATCTGCAAACCTGCTCCTGGGGGTCAAATCGGATCACCTTTCTTTCCCATAATGATGGTGGTAGGTGTGCCTGCACATTCATGCTCACGCAATCTGCACCGCACACAGAGTCTGTTGGTCTCTGTGAGTCTGTGGGTCTCTGTGTGAGTCCGTGGGTCTCTGTGTGAATCTGTGGGTCTCTGTGCGAGTCTGTGGGCCTCTGTGTGCGTCTGCGGGTGTCGGTATGAGCCTCTGGGTGACGGTATGAGTCTGTGGGTCTCTGCGTGTGTCTGTGGGCCTCTGTGTGTATTTTATAGAGCAACAGCCAGTGATAGGCAGAGACCTGTGATCATAGCCAACATTGGGTATGAAGATCGACAGCACGGACTGACGATCCGATACCTGACTCCTCAAAGGCTCGAATACAAAATAGATCCATTGTACACACAGCCTGCACCACACACACACAGCCTGACCACACACACAGCCTGTACCACACTAGTACCACACTAACGCAATCTGCACCACACGCTTACACTGCCTGAGTCGCACTGTACACACTGTAGTACACCACTAGACAAGGCACAGTACATCAAACACAGATACACAAACACAGATACACAGATACACACATACACAAATACATAAACACAGATACACAAACACAGATACACAGTCACACAGATACACAAACACACAGATACACAAACACAGATACACAGAAAGACGAAAAATCACGTGCCGAAGAGAAGATAAAATATTATACATACACACCCAGTCACTCACCCACTCACATGCCCAGTTACTGACCTACCTACACACTCACCCAGTCACCCACTCACACACCCAGTCACTCACCCACTCACTTTCCCAGTCACCCACTCACCCATTCACGTGTGTATAAATGCGTGTGTAAATGTGTGCGCATGTTTCTACATATGCGCGCACATGTGCACACGCCTGTACACACACGTGCACATACACATGCACACATTTACACGTGCATTTACACACATGTACATACACATGCGCGCACACGCATATACATGCGTACACGTGTACATACACGCACACATGTACATTCACACACGCACGTGTACATACACATGTGCACATGCGTGTACACAGACGAGTAGATACACATGCACATACGCATGTGTACACACGCACGTGCACACGGCACGTGATAATCTCGCGAGACGTGACGTTACTCGAGCACGTGACCAGGTCGGCGCCGCTGCTGTCGTCACAGCTTTCGCTCTATCGTGGGCTCTACGTCATCGCTGACGTCACCGGAAACGAGCGCAAGTCCACGCTGAGAATCTGCGGCAGGAGGAGCTTTGCATCGCGCCCAGCGCCTCGCAGTTTCACCACCAGCAGCAGCACCACCATCACCACCACCACCATCACCACCAGCAGCAGCAGCAGCAAGACAGAGAGAGGGCAGACGTCTACCCCGCTGTGAGTCGCAGCGGTGGCCACGACGTTCCAACCACAGCGCCATCTTGTGGTTGCGAGGCACGCCGCGCGTGCGGCTCAACCTGGGCTTTGGGTGTCTGTGTGTCTGTGTGTCTCTGTGTCTGTGTGTCTGTGTGTGTCTGTGTCTGTGTGTCTGTGTGTCTCTGTGTCTGTGTGTGTCTATGTCTGTGTGTCTGTGTGTCTATGTCTGTGTGTCTGTGTGTCTCTGTGTCAATGAAAATAGTTGTTACGAAAAGTAAAAAAGTAATCAAATCAAATATAAATGATTTTTCCACTGATCTGTGTTATAAATGTCATTTCTGTACGATTACAATCATTTTTATAGTCAAAATCGCCAAATTTGCGGAGCTCCGCTGCAAATACAGGAAGAGAGGAGAGGTGAGGCAGCGACAAGCTCAGCCTCCACTCTGATTGCGCAACCCCTCAGTAACTGGATGGAGCGCAGGCAATAAGCGCGTGCCTGTTACTATCTCAGTATGTCACCAATGTAATGTTTGTAGACCCCTTCATTTCATGTCCCTCGCCTTCCATAGTCCAGGTAACTTATTTCACGTATGTGTATAAAGATATTTAGGCTCGCTGGTCTCGTCATGAAACTGCAATGAAAAAGCACCAGGGGAGGCAGCTATCACATCTGCCTCACTGAGGGGGACGTGTCTAACACGCCCCCTCAGTGTGTGAATTTGGCTCTGATACTAGCCAGTGCCTCCCCAGTCATTGGCCTCACCGCACGTCACTGATATACACTACACAGATGTCTTTGTGTGTCTACGTATGCGTGTTGTGCATCTCTCTGTGTTAGTGTGTCTGTATTTGTGTATGTCTCGGTGTATCCATCTCTGTTATACGGAGATAAAGAGAGGTGCACGTGTCTTTGTGTGTCTCCCTCTGTGTGTTGTCCGTCTCTGTGCCTCTCCGTGTTTGTGGTATGTCTGTATTTGTGTGTCTCTATATCTCCGTCTCTGATGCTTATTAGTAAATACAGAGAGACGTGTCTCGCTCTGTGTATCTCCGTGCGTGTCCGTGTGTCTTTGTACTTCCACGACACGTGTCTCTGAGACAACACGTGATTGTGTGCGCGTGGTGCTTCAATGGCCTTGGCTGAGCTTGACAAACTCAGATTTTTGCGAGTTAGAAGAATGTTGTGTTTACCCCCTACCCTGCATCTGTTTGTGTTGTGTGTCTGTGGTGTTTCGTCATTTGCATAAAAAATTTGGCTCACAATGTCCAGTATTTGCAAAAATGACGAGATATATTTACAGTCCTACGCAGATTTCTCTTCCCCACTTTCATGTCGTTTAACAAATACATTGTCACTTTATTGATACCACTGCCTAATTTGCATCGCCTCAACCCACAATTACGTCGCTGACAGCATCGTCCGTATTTTTGTCGTGTCCATCACCTCGGCCTCCTCCTCCGCCTACTCTGTAAATCGCTTCGATTCACGTCATTTCGATATTCGGTGTCGCACCTTTCAGGAACACATATCCAACGTATAATGGGGTATTACTGTATATAACATTCATTATTTTAGCACGTAGGCTTTCCCGATCAATATCCATAATACAGGCTTTTTGGGTTAGATTGCGTAAATATATAAATTGATGAATGCATATAAATGAACAATGGACGTGCATAATGTGCATGCATAATGTACGTTGATTACATGTAAATAACCCAACCGCCAATGGACACCCTCCCCCACCACATTGTTCACGAAGTGCTCAAAAGTGATGCCATCACATCTACCCCTCTATTTAAGGAAATAAACATGAGGATTTCTCCACAAATCTGGCTGTCGCCTGATGAAGCTAGTTGTAATTACTGGCGAAACGTCATACTCAGATTGTAAATGTTGTGGCTTTGCTCTCCAACACACCGGTTAGTGCTGTACTAGTGACGAATTGGCACGTTCTGTTTACATGACAAACCTTACTAGTTGGCTATCGGGTGAGGGCGGGTTTAATGACACATTTATGCGATCTAACCCAAAACCTGTATTATGAACACCAATTAGTATTTCTATTTAAGGCAGCTCTCTCTACGCCATGTGCTACTCGTGCACGCTAACCCCTTGGCCGATCGCACGCAGGAGATGGAGTGCGGAGCGCCTGGCAGCGGAAGGAGCCTCGCCAGCCCAGACGTGAGAGCTTCGACTCAAGGAGCCGACTTCGCCCGGGGGACGCGACTGCCACGACTCGTGATCACCGCGCAGTCACCGCGACTCTTGCCACAACAACGCAATGATGCGAGTCTGATGGTACGACGTGTGAAGGAGGAGGAGGTGTGTCACCTGATAGGTTATCGGGTCGCACTCTTCATAACGACGTCACGGAGTATGTTGCGTCGTGTGTAGAGAGAGAGAGAGAACGCGCAACCAAGATCCGGCCAGGTGGTTCTGCAGTTGAGCAGCGGTTCGCAATTGGAGTTCACGTCCTGGTTTGAGTCAAGGGGGGGGGGGGGGGGCGGTGGAGGTGGCGGTTGACGTAGCTCATCAATCATCCCTTTGGGGTCTGTTAAATAAGTAAGACTTTTTGGAAAGATCCGCACTGGTGTTACTGTGGATAGACTCGCCTCCATCATAGGAATGGGGAATGTTCATCACTCGCCAAATGTATGTATATATGTGTATTATCTTGGAGGAGGCTCATGAAGGACACTACTGGGCAGTTGGAGACAGTCGCCCTCCAGCAACAACGGAGGGCAGAGGAGCGACGCTCACAACAATGAGCGGAGCGTTTGGCGGCTAAAGCACAATTTGGCACAGTAGGGGGCACAGGTGGTGCATTGGCCAGTCATCTCAGTCTGTCGACCCATAAAACCTGGGTCTGCCCCGTGACCTCCTGCCGACGGGCATTCGACACTTCACGTGGCCTTGGCGTGCACATAGCATGGTACAAGCGCCGTGGTGATGTCACCGCCACTTAGTGGCGAAAAGCAGTTGTTGTATGTTGAACATTGAGATGATAATTTGAGTGGAAAATCTATTTAATAGTTTCACAATTCGATTTTTAACTTGCGTGACTCACGCATCCTCCCTGCCTGCCTGACACAGAGGCCGCCATGGAACATAGCCAAGAGGGGCCAGGTCAGGATCCCAGCACGAGGGACCATTGCTGCCTCCCTGATGTCCAGTAGTTCGCTGTTTCAGAGGTTCATGGTTCGAATCCAGCGGCCACCCTTATTGCTGAGGTGTTGGTTCTGTACTCACCACAGTAACACTGGATTCACAGTAGACAATAAAGATGCCCTGATGTCCTTCGCAAGAGTAGGCCATCGTCAGATGATCTCAGGGTCCAAATTAAAAATTGACGCTCAAATTACTCAATGCCCCAGGTTACTCTTGCGAATGGGACTCTATTCTGGCCTCCTGATCTCTCACCTGATTCGACAAAATCAACTTAACCTGGCCATCCCTCCCACAGAGGGATGCGTACTTACGAATCGATGGCGTGGCCCTGGCCCTGAAGCCGAACCCCCATGCGGTACGTGATCACGGCGTCTCGCAGGGCACCACGGGGATGAGGCTTTGGAAATTGAACGAATCCATCAGCACCGGCAGCAGCAGCACTGACACCAAGGAGGTGATGTCTCACTTCATTGTGAGTGCCTGTGTGGTAATGGGCACTATAATGCTTACAGTGCAAGGCTGTCATAATTGAAGGTGCTGCTGTGCCTCTCACGAAACCCATGCAGAACAGAGGGAGAACATACAAACTCCACCCAGACACACGGTCACTCACACACTCGTGTACACTCATACTCTCACGGTCACTCTCTTATGCAAATTCTGCAGAACAGGGGCAGAACATAAAATATCTACACAAAAAGGTACCCGAGTAGAAAATCTAATCTCGGCCCTTTTTGCTGAGCTGAGGCACGTGCTTTAGCATTATATTAACACACCACACCAGCTACTCATTTGAGGTTGAGTCGACCTCGCGGAGGCCCATGACAAGCTCAAATATTTGCCACTGTTTTTGATCGTGAGCAGGTAGTGTTCTCATGTCGCCGGCTTCTTCGTAGCTTTGCCTGCTAACCGTTGCACCACCGCCCCCGCAGTGAGACACACACACGTGTCCACACAGACACACAACAACAGCTGCAACTCACCCCTCCCTCCCTGACACAGAGACCGCCACGGAACGTGGCCACGAGGGCCCAAGCCAGGGCCCCGGCGCCAACGCGTTGGATCACTGCCGGCTCACTGAGGCCCACCCCGAGTCTGCCTACCATCGCCATTGGTGGAAGCAGCAAGAGCAGAAAGAGCAGCAAGAAGAGCATCAGGGCATGGGCAATAGCGGCTAAGTGCTGTCTAAAGTCATATCACGAGGAGGTGAGGGCGATACAAAGCAGAGGGGGCACTGCTCTTCAAAATGACCGTTTATCTGTTTTTTCTCAATTGTTTAAAAAATCCTGACAGATGTCGGCAGCGTCACACGGCAAATAATCCATTCAGAACCCGCGTAGCATGTCGCATCATGCCTGTGTGTTAAGACGATGGCACGTGAAAGTGGATATCACAGATCTACATCTGACATCTCTTCTTAACGTGACCTCCTAGTACTTTTCCACTCGGCCTGCCACTTCGAGCATAATGTTTGACACGTGATAATCAATCTGATATATTTGTTATTTCGCAGAGCAGGAATTTAGCCACATTAAGTGCGGAGTGAAATGCCGTGCGGTTACGTTTTGTCGAGTCGCAGGTAAACCAGACGTAGCGGTAGCAAGTAAACCACGTTGCAGAGGTTCACAGTTCGAATCCAGCGGCCACCCTGGTTATTACTGCGGTGGTGGTACTGTACTCACTACGGTAACACTCGACTCACAGTGGACAATAAAGAGGCCCTGATGCCATTCGCAAGAGTCGGCCATCGTGGGCTGACGTGAGGGTCCACATTTGCCAAGTTAAAAAGTTGACCCTCAAATTTTTCAATGCCCCAGGTCATCCTTGCGAATGAGACTATTCTGGCCCAACATAATCAACTTCTTGGTTCTTTCGGTAAAGTCACGTAGAAGGGAAGTAATAAAATAATAAAAATAAAACATAATAAAATAAAATAATTCTCACGACGTTTCGGCTACAACGCAAGCAGCCGTCTTCAGGTGAAGAATGAGACACTACCAAGCTAGGAGCTTATATATAAGCTGCGTTGGAGGTGGAAGAAGAGCGCCTTAACAAGAAGAATGTGCATATGAAGAGGAATTTAGCATATTCATGGAAAATGCGTAGGAGGTGGGCGGGGGGGTTTCAAAGTCATATTATGCCCATGCATTATGCAGGATCAGCAGCACCAAGGGGGGGTGCAGGGAGTAGCAGTAACAAAGGAAAGGAATGTTAATGATATGTAGCTGCAGTTACTCAACAACCACGTAGAAAACTCAAGTATAAACTACATAAAAAACTAAAGTATAAACTGCATAGCACCATCAGTATACTTACTATACTCTACAATAAGCTGAGTTACTAACAGCAAGTAATACATTACAATTCTACGTCGTAAAAATTATATAATATGCTTCCATCTAAACTTTATTCTCTTACATCACACGAGCATATACCGTACTATATACTGCCATAGATAAACCCAACATTAAAATATCTATGGCAGTATATAGTACGGTATATGCTCGTGTGATGTAAGAGAATAAAGTTTAGATGGAAGCATATTATATAATTTTTACGACGTAGAATTGTAATGTATTACTTGCTGTTAGTAACTCAGCTTATTGTAGAGTATAGTAAGTATACTGATGGTGTTATGCAGTTTATACTTTAGTTTTTTATGTAGTTTATACTTTAGTTTTCTACGTGGTTGTTGAGTAACTGCAGCTACATATCATTAACATTCCTTTCCTTTGTTACTGCTACTCCCTGCACCCCCCCTTGGTGCTGCTGATCCTGCATAATGCATGGGCATAATATGACTTTGAAACCCCCCCGCCCACCTCCTACGCATTTTCCATGAATATGCTAAATTCCTCTTCATATGCACATTCTTTTTGTTAAGGCGCTCTTCCACCTCCAACGCAGCTTATATATAAGCTCCTAGCTTGGTAGTGTCTCATTCTTCACCTGAAGACGGCTGCTTGCGTTGTAGCCGAAACGTCGTGAGAATTATTTTATTTTATTATGTTTTATTTTTATTATTTTATTACTTCCCTTCTACGTGACTTTACCGAAAGAACCAAGAAGATGAATCCCTGCAGTCACGAAAGATTTAAATCGAAATTCAACATAATCAACTTTACTTGTTTTCAATCAGCAATGGTTATTTGGATAAAGGGATAGGTGTCTTTTTTATTTGAAATTACACAATATGCCTGAAATACCAATATTTACCAGTTCACATTGGTAATATTTATTAGATGACCATCAGCATCCCTGTGTTGCCGCTTGGCATAAATCATAGGTTAATTTTTAGTTGCTAAATGACAGTAAAGCCGCCACACTGCCCGTAGTCTGATTACTAACTCCATGGAGTAATGGACTATCCATGTTATTTAACAAATATAACCACTTTATATTGGCAAAATAATTTCCGAAAACACTTTCTTTATATTCTGCATATGAAGCATTAACAAGCATGCTTTGGTTACAAAAATAGTATTTGGAATTGGCAGCACAGCCTTTGTTAATACAACAGAAAAACTAATGTTTAAAATGACCCTGTGTCAAGAATGGCTCCCTTATGAAGAACTACAGTAGATCATTGATAATTATCTGGCGTGCGATTATTGGCTTCCAACATTATCTGGCGATCCCGGGCTGATCCGGCAATACTGCTCCTACCAAGGCAGTAACCAGTCCGGCGTTTTTGGAAATCGGGCAACCCACTCCCCCGCCGAATAATCGACGATTGACCGCATTGATGTGAACGAGGCCTTCATGGCACCAACACTCCAATACAGCAAGAGTCCCTGTGACACTTTCCCTTTGTCTCCCTCCCTCCCTCCTGCAGCAACAGCCCCAGGACGCGTCGTTGAAAATCAACGGCGTGGCAATGGTCCTGAGGCCGACCCCCCGTGCAGCGCGTGGGCACAGCCTTTCTCAGGTGACCGTGAGGACGATGACGTCGTCGGTTTTTAATTCAGAGCCGGAGTCCACGTGCCCGACAGCGGTTTTGCCACTGGCGTCGACGCTGTCGTTTTCGTTCATGTCCGTGGTGCAGAAACTACCCTGGGAGGCAAGCGACCCGCCCAGCCGTCAGGAAGCGAAGGAGCTGAAGAGAGATGTCTCCTTCGCTCGGCGTGCGGCCACCGAGGCCCTTCGGCTCTCGGGACATAGCCGTGGCGATGAAGACTGCGACCAAGACGGCGACGGCTTCCACAAACGTGTGAGTGCTGCCACGCGCGAAGCGCCGGGGCGTTCAGTTGGAAGTGGCGTGCACGACGCACGTCTAAGAGCGACGGATCTCGTCAGATCAGATTTTTTCAGGGATGCCTCTCACATGTCCCCCTTCGTTCTACAATGCTAGTAACAGAATCGCCGCTGTTTGGCCGTGCTTAGGGATGGCAAGTTGGCACCGCACGTAGTATCCTTGCCCATATTCACCCTCTACTGAGTGAAAGCCTCTCCATGCCATGTGGGTTGTGAAGGTTACTTGACCTTACTTCACCTCACTGGTTATTACGGGTTGTTTAAGGGAGGGAGCATAGCAATGGATGTTGCTACCCTGCCCTCTGGGCGGGTTGGAAGGGGGGCTAGACCTGGTAAAAGCCCAGACATCTCTCTGCATTGAACTTAGTGCACTACGCCGTGAACCCGTGCTAACCACTACGCCCCCTCTCTGCAAACCAGGACGTGTAGCGTCAGCTCCTGCTCCGTGTTGCGTGGCTTTGGTGAGTAATTGTATTGTTGTATTGTGTACTGGGAGTAAATCCCTGCACGTTCACACGGTGGCCTGAAGGGGGTGTTCTGTGCCTTGGCATTGCAGGTGGGATCCACTGAAGAGAATGGGCCGGGTCCAAACAATGACCCGTCCGTGGATTCACTCGAAGAGGCCTGAAGCAGTGGGACACGGATGCATATGCACACACACACACACCCACGCACACACACCCACGCACACACACCCACGCACACACCCGCACACACACCCACGCACACACCCACGCGCACACACACCCCCACGCACACACACCCACGCACACTCCCATGCACACACACGGTCATACATACGTACACATACACATACTCACACATACACGCACGCATACACATACTACGCACATACATGTAAATTTGTTCTTAACTTTGTAACTGTGCAATACAAATGGAACTACTGTATATAAATATGTATCAACTACTTTAATAACTTTTAATAAAGCCCCAGGGGTTAAAATAAGCACTTGTATGGCATCAATAACTGTACAAACAAAGAAACTCTGCTTGGCCATTGAAGATACGAATCGTCAAGATCACGGGCATCAACGCGAACGTCAACAACACTAACATCGATGACTTCAATGCCATCGACGCGACTGGTGTAGATGGTCCCCCGTAGGGCAGTGTTCGCTATGGACTCAGGTTCCAGTGTCAGCACGTGTCCCAGCCACCCGAGTCTTCTCTCTGTTGTGTCCCGTGTTATGCATCTTGAATTTGTCTCGATGTACAGGTCCCGGTTTGAAACCTTGTTCGGCCAGAAGATACGATATCTTTTTTTCAGACAGTTGTTGTGGAAGGTTGATAGGGGGTTCATCATGCCTCTATCTTGGTGGTTCTCCAACTTGCACTATTGTATAGCAACATTGATTTTTACATTGCTGTTATAGATTCGTATCTTTGTTGCAGATATCTATACACGTATAAATTATCTGAATTAATGATAGACGTGACTTAGGGAGGTTCACATCACGCAATAAAAAAAAACCCTTGGAATTAAATTGAGATGCCGAAAGAGAAACGCGTGGGTTGGGGAACATCTGCAGATCACGAGCGTCAGCCGGACTGTCCGAGAGGGCGAGTGGGTCGGGGCAGCAGCGAAGCCGTCAGCGGCACGGCGGAGACCCACGACGGACGAGGGAGCGTGAGGAGCTCCCGTGCAGGAGCCAGACGCAGGGCCGCATCGCTTGAACAACCGTGCGAGATGATGGCGGCTCTTGGCTTCGTTTTGTTTCGACGTTTTTGCTGGGTAACGAGCAGCACTACGCCCGCCATGAGAACGAGCCATGCCAGGCAGGCCGAGGATTGTGCGGGCTGTGTGCTGGATACACATTGCCCTACGGGGCTAGTCTCCGTACGTTATTGTTCAGCACACGTATGTGTTGGTTATGTTTGCTGGCTTAGAATTTTGTTTCCGTGCGATCAGTTTCTTCATTATCTACCGATATGAATTGTAATTTGTAATCTAGACAGTCCCTGACTTACGAACACAATTAGTTCCAGAGCAAACCCAGATGTGCGAGAAGGCAACACTTAGTGCCATTTTTTGCCATCCCGACTTCTGGCGAGCCAGGATACGGCTTCACTTCTCGATGCTCACGCGCAGTAAGTTGTAACAGACGGATGTTAGTCAACATTGCTGCACCGCCTTCTCCAGGCGAGCCTGGGTACAGCCCCCCCCACCACCGCCTCGACGCGCAGGAACGGCAATGGAGTTGCTCGCCATCCGCGTGTGGTCCACCAACCCGCGCGGCGGAGTCCGCAGCGCCGGGTCACAGGCAGCCCCCGCACGACGCAGCCGCCACCGCCACCGCGGCTCCACTCCGTATCCTCGGCAGAGGACAGCCTCTCCCCTTCCGTTCACGGGGTTCTCGGTTTGTTGAACAAGATCAAGTCAAGCGGTAAACCATTTGCAAAATAGGTTACCGGTTTCGATAAGTCAAGAAGCAGTAACCGTTACCGGTGGGAATGTTTGTGATGAACGTACCGGCTGGCGCCCGGCCCGTACGAACAAGCCGCACGGCGGTATAGGTCACCGTTAGGGTCAAGGCGACGTCCTGAATTTGTGTTATTGAACGTGGAGGCCACTGCCCGCCTCAAGAGGGAGGCGTGGGGGATATTGTTGGCCTTTTGAAGAGGCGCGAGTGCTGACACCGCCACACGTCACGTACCGATCGTTGATTCTACTGCGGTGAACCCATGCCCACTGCTGCTGGGGGACAGAGGCGGTGATGGTGGGGGGATTTACAGACACGTGACATGGACGTTTCAGCGCGTATGAAGCGAAGCTGCGGGGCGCCATCTGATTTTTAGGTTCGGCCACTCACGCGCCAGTGACACCGGGTCCCTGAACGCAGCACAGGAACACCCGCGCCCCTCATCACGGCTCACACAGGTGCACAGGTACACAGGTACACAGGTGCGCACGAGCACAAGGAACCCCTGTCACCCCTGCAACAGAGAGGCCGTTTTCATTAACACACGACGCCCTGGAAGCCGACGGCGGAAGATATCCGCGGAAGCCCCGCGCGTTACCACCTTGGTCCATGGAGGGTTTAAATGTAAAGCGTCTTCCAGCTCAAATGAGCAAATAGGGTGGGCGCTCGTGACCGTTTGTGGTCCTGAACCAGTGATGGAAATTCCACATTGCCATGCTGGGTGCCAGTCCAGCCATATGACCAAAACACGCAGATTTTGGAAGCTCTGCATATTCGCAGGGCTCATTTCAAATTAACGAAAAACTATTTACAGTATGGCTACAGAGGTCATGTGAATTGTGAAAAGCTCGCTGGCAGGTGGTCATGGGACAGGGCCAGCTGTTAACCGAGATGACTGGCTGATACCAGTTTGTATGGTGACTGAAGGTGAATTGTGTTGCAGTTTCTTTTTTTTATTGGCGATTTAAATATCTCGGTTATGCTAAAGTCCGAGCCATCTCACTTGGTACCAAAACAAGAAAAATAATTGGCTTGGGCCCCATAGTGGGTACACCCATCTCTGCCACCCACATCCCAGCATCGGTTAAATCACCCAATGCTCTAGTGCTGAACGAGACAAAAATAACTCTTAAAAAATAATGCGATGTTAGCAAGGCGTGCGTTTCACTGTTGTGGTCGTGTTTTGTTAGCAAGGCATTCATTTCACGTTGGTGGTGTTCGTGTGTTGTGTTAGTAGGGTGATTGTTTCATCTCTCCCAAGACATCAAATACCCGAGAGCAAATGCCCTCTGGTGGAGGTTCATCTGCCAGCAGTCGCCTGACCCAGCAATGCAGAGCTGCACCACTACCTTTCACAACGCAAACTCGGGTCATGCAGAATTTTAGCACACCAAAAACACGCGTATGTGGACACACCTTTTATTTTTTATGACTGACAAACATTGTCCTGTTCCAGCACACACGAAGCCAAGCCCAAACTCCAAGTCCATGACAGATAAACTTCCGTGCGAGCGCTCATTTAATAACATGGTGTGGATTTATTATGGTGTGGATTAGCCTCTGCGTTGGCGAGTGATACACGCACATATGCATGCGCACACACGAACACTAAACACTCCATTATATTACACTATACACTAAACATGTGTGCATGCATATCGTGTGAACATTAACTTTCACCACTTATATTGTGGAGCATCAATTGACATTTAACCTCTTAAAAACGGCCAAATTGCAATGGTGTAGCGCTCAAGCATTTTCGGTTTGTACCACATTGCATTCGATTGGCACATGTCCAACGTTATGTGCCACGTGCTGGCGCAAGTTAAACACTCGATTGAATGTTCAGTTCCCACAAGCTACCGGCGCGTGGAGCAAAACGTCAGACGTCGCGTGCAACGACCCAGAAAACACATCGAGAGCTGCGCAGCACAACCACGAAGACCTCCGCAGTAGTCATAGTTTGGAGTTTAATTGAGGTTGCTGGGGGGGGAAAAAAATGAAGCTACAACCGTGGGTCTTCTAAACAATTAAAAATGCTTAACGGAAGATATGTGCGCGTGTCAGCATATAATGCCGCGCTAAATGTTAACCATTCGCGATTTAAAAACGGTCTTATGGAGGGACAGTGCAGTTGCAGACATTAACAAACACAAACACCGCAAATGTTTTCAAAACGTCATTCCTGCGTCGTAACAAGCCAGGCTTTGTGCATTTTTATTGAAAGAAAATCAATTTGTGTGTGAAAATTATTGATTTATTCCTACAAACCGTTGCCAGAATGAGTTTCCGCTTAAGATTTAGTTTTCGGGGAGGGGAGGGGAGGAGAGTTGGAGGTGTAGAGTCGGAGTGGCTGAGCCGGTCTTGGGAGTAGAATCTGGGCAGACGTCGGCGTTGGGCTGTGACGACCGGAGTGTGTCTGGCTCGCGCGTGCACCGAGACCCCACAGCAGCTACACGCGAACCCACGTGCGTCTTATTGCTGCTTCAGGGCCTTCTCCTTCTGCATGCTGCGGGTCACACGCGAGGGGAGAGACACGAGACTTGATGCGAGAAAGAACCCGAAGAGGACGAGGGAGACGGATGAGAGGCGGACAAGGAACGCACAGCCAAAAAAGGCACACGTGGGAGACGTGGGAGAGACGTAGAGGGGATGTACACAGACACAAGTGGGTCAAAGAAAACAAGGACTACGCAGACAAGCAGGAGACACGGAAAGAAAAGAGACTGTGGACATAGTTAAAGCGACTGGTTATCTGCTAATCATGGTAGCTGACAATGGTCCAAGTTGCTTAACTCCCCATGTCTGTCGACCAGCAGCATAAATGGGTATGGCACAGTTAGTGGATCTGCAAGTTGTGTGTGGTGGAGTAAGGTGTGGGAGCTCCCACCCCTTCCAGGCCGTCGAGAGGGGATCTCGAGCCCCCTCGAGTGAAAATCCTTCTGCTTGCAGTAGCATTAGCAAGTAATTGCAGGGCTGCACCTTTACCTGTACCTACCTGGGTGCCTCAGTAGCGAGATGTTATCTGCCTCACCTGGTATGCAGGAGGGTGTGGATTCAATCCCAACCTGGATTGCCTGCATTTTTGGAGTTTGCGTGTTCTCCCCATGGTCGTGAGAGTTTTTTTTAACCAGCTCCTCCGGTTATTCCCTCAACATTTAGGAACATGCATTTATAGTATATGGCTGCTATAAATGCCCACACGATAAGCCATTTCGTCGAACCATCATTTGTGATAACCCGATCGCTTCTGAAAAAGAGCTATGTAGCTCAGTGGGCCTTAGCTGGTAAAATGAAAGCGAGTTTACCTACATGCCAAGCAACCAATCCGGTTACACGCGTAGCCGAGTTAGCCAAAGTGGGGAGTTACTCACTTGTGTTGGATGAGGCGGCCACCCTGAATGAGCTGGCACGACTCGTTGGTTAAGTGGCAGGCGAAGAGCAGCCAGTTCCGCGGCTGCACCTTGTACGCGAAGCGCATGAACAGCAGCGAGTACAAGCACAGGGCTGCAACACACGCACGCACCACACCGTCATCAATAACACCATCGTGCGTCATCAACTTCATTAACATCGGGGGCCATCATCATCGCCGTTGGTAACTTCGTGACCTTCACCAGCAGCATCGGTCACTCACCATCACCGCCATGATCATCATCATCCACTCAGATCGTCCTCTACACAATGCAAGTGGATAACACCATGTCCCGCAAATATTAAGGGTTTTTATTTTGGAATAAAAGTTATTTTGGGTTAGATTGAGTAAATATCAATGTGTCGTCAACCTCGCCATGGCGAATCAGTCAGGTTTGTCACGTAAATAAATGTGACAATTAGTTACTACTTCAACACACCAGTTGTGTTGGAGAGCAAACCCACAACATTTACAATTCGAGTACCATGATGTTTCGCCGGTAATCACAACAACCAGCTTCAAGAAAAGCGGGTGAATTGAGCCAGCACATTTATTTTTTGTGAATAACATTGGGTTGCGAATGCCTGCGTGTTAAATTGTTTTTGTTGTTGTAAAAAACCCCTTAAAAATTTAACCAGCGTGCAAAACGAGGCGGACTTGTGGCTTTAGCCACGTCTCCACGCTGGGCGGAAACGCACCAGCCCCAGCAGAATGTTTGCACTGCACAGCCCGGGTTTCAAATGGTCCCTTTACAGTGCTCGTACACATTTAGCACGACCCTGTTATTTTCCACAAAGACTAGGCCTTATCCCATTTGCAACATGTAATGCTATTGAATACCACTTTTGTCTCTGATGATATTAAAAACAGTGTTTTGCCACAAGTACGTGTGGTTAATGCAGACTTGATGCCTTGCAAAATGTATCTATTTGGCGTTTGAACATCTTAACACCTGTTTTATTGCCAAAAAGGGTAAAAAACCAATTCTTATCTTTCATCAAGATAAATAACATTGCAATCAATACATAATCTAAAAATTAAATAACAAGGTTTTAGTAAGAGGACAGATTATACCGGGGCACCCCACCCCTTGAATTTATTCTGGGTGCCGGACAAGATCCTGGCCCACGTTGCTTCAGGACTTGGAGCGAGGGACGAGGTGACCCTCACCAAAGGTCATGCGTCCACTGATGATCTCTGGGCTCTTTTTCATGTCATTGATGGCTGCCAGAGGGAGACCCCAGTTCACAACAGGCCCCCAGAAGTGCTGCATTCACACGCAAAGAATACAGAGGAGTGTGCATCACAGTTAGAGATCGTCATGAAAGCCACGGCCAGCCTCGTACCATCCCCAACAGCCTCAAATTTACAAGCTTTGTGTAATTTTTTTTGGAAAAAATCGCCCGATGACACCGAATGCAATTGCAAGTAAAACGTCGTACTCAAATTGTAAATGTTGTGTATTTTCTCCCACACACCGGTGTGCTCAACTAGTAACTGGCACGTTTTGTTTCCATGACAAACCTTACTAATGGTCTGTCGGGCGGTGGCGGGTTAACGACACATTTATATTTACGCGATCTAACCCATAAAACCTCTTGTGGATAATATTGGTCGCGGAAACCTACTGTGTGTTAAACTGGTTGTTGTTACGGTTGCTCCGATTTCTATTTGCATCGCTACAATACAGTACAGTAGTTTCTTTTATTGTTTTTTTTGCTTTCGTCATTTTGGTGACCCCAACAAAGCCAACGTTCACCTCGCAGAAGATCGCGAAATTGGCTGTCGGGTAGTGGCGGGTTAATGACACATTTACGACTTGCGCGATCCAACCCATAAAACCTTTATTCCGAATGAGGGCCTCCCCACGCCGTATCGGCTATAGGGGGTTACAGGACCATACTTCACGGCACTGGTTTAGTGGGCGCGTAGGTGACGTGGGAAGGGGCCCCAGGACTGGATCGCACAGCGCCTCGCCACTCATTAGTCACAGCTAGGAATCAAACTCTGGATATGCTGGGTTTAGTGCAGTGCGAGAACCACAGACCAAACATTTACGTGCGAGGCAGGACCTCACACCTGACGCATCATATCCACGCCGTGACCCACACTGCAGTGGGGAGGCCCTCATCCAGCAGTGGATTGACAAGACGGCTGTGCATCCTTATAGCGCAAAGGGGACTGCCGCAGCACTCCAGTAACATTTCAATCAATAAAACGTTAATTTCCGCACCACCACTGGAGCGCAAACCATGTACTTGACCGGGACCAAGTCTCTCTCTGTTCATTCACGACTTCCAAGCAGAATGGGCTGGAAAAGTGATGCCCTCTACCTGAAGTGATCTCAGAAGTAGCTCCCGTGGTATCTCCTCTCCAGTAGGTCGTTCTCTAACGACAAAGTTTAGCACTGCTGTGCGATTGAGGGCAGTGCTCAGCTCTTGTTTAAAAGCCCTCAGCCAGTGGTGGAATTTCCACATTCATATGGCGTGGGCGAGTCTATCCCCAGGACCCCTGTTGACTTCCCCGCAAGGTGGTACTCACTTTCAAATCGACCCCGGAGAGATGGGACGAGTTAATCCTCAACTGTGGATTTTAAATCGCAACCTTCGATTGCCGAGCCACCTGGCCAGATTTATAGACTGCTGGGGCAAAATAAAAAAAACGTTTGTTTGGTCATGGAAAAAAATGTGGAGGCAAGGGAACACACAACCCTGGTGCCGACGAGAGTCGTTTGCATTGCGGCTAGCGTCGAAGGCGACGGGGAACAGAAAACACGCCAGTCTCACATTTCAACTCGCATCCACCCGCTTTTAAAAATAGCAAGGTTCTCTTACCGTGCTGGAGCGGCGGTAGTCATGTGTCGGAGGCAGTCAGGCGCCCGGCGGGGGAGGTCAACCGGGGGAGAGAGACGAAACAAGAGAGAGCGTTAACAAGAATCGAACGTCATTTCTTGATGTACAACCTACAGGCAAATCGAGCGATGAAATCCACCTGTGTGCCGGTGCTAAAGAGAGGGAACCATTTCGTCACAGGATCGATGTGGCTTTCATCCAGCAGTGGATTGCCATGGTCGACGATGACCAAAATCTCCCAGCAATGCACCCACTCATAAAATCTCGGGAAGCCAAGCAGTGTCGAGGCCGGTTAAGCGCTTGGATGGGCGACCATGAATGCACGGCGTGTTGTCATAGGTGGCAGTGGGGGCGGCTACTTGAGGGTAGCAGACTGTGATGCAGCAGACGCCGCTGCTGTGCTGCTCAGTAATGCTTCCACATCCACGCTCCGTGCCTTCACCAACCTTGCACCGAGCAATGCCAAGTGCAGTAGACTTCTCGATTATCAGAGGCTAATGACGCGGAGGATGGCCGCAGATTATTCAAAACCGCAGAAAATCCAAAAATAACTATTATTCGATTAGAATGAATACTAACGATCGACCGATGGACATGCGTGGTCAGCGAAAACACTTTTCTGCTCCCGCGCAGAAGACTTTGCCAACTAAGTGGGTTTCAGAGCCACGCTATTTCAACATCAAACTCCGCCCACTGTTGTCATGCAACTACTGTACTATAGCGGCGACCGTGTGGATTTCGGATCAACCGGAGCGCATATTTGTTCGGTTTAAGCATGTGACTTGTAATAAACATTTGCAAGAATAACAATACGTAACTGTTTTTAGAGTATTAATTTTAGCATAAAGTAAAATCCACGAGTTATTAATTTGTCAAAATCTCAGGTGCGCGGTTAATCCGCAAACCGGATAAACCGCACGCGGATAATCGAGAGCCTACCATCTTCTTGGTTCTTTCGGTAAAGTCACGTAGAATGGAAATAATAAAAATAAAACAATCAAATAATTCTCACGACGTTTCGGCCACAACGCAAGTAGCCGTCCTCAGGTGGAGAGCAGATCTGAATGACTCAGACAGAGTCTTCTTCTTCAGAGTCTGAGTCATTCAGACTGTCTCCTCGACAGACCTGCTCTCCACCCGAGGACGGATACTTGCGTTGTGGCCGAAACGTCGTGAGAATTATTTTATTATGTTTTATTTTTATTATTTTATTATTTCCATTCTACGTGACTTACCGAAAGAACCAAGAAGATGAATCCCTGCAGTCACGAAAGCTTTAAATCGAAATTGAGCCTACCATCTTGCGAGACAACCCACATGGCATGGGGGAGACCTTCATCCAGCAGTAGAGATTGACAACCTGTACACTTTAGGCGTGCGTGCGGAAACAAGAGTGCCTGGAGATAAGCCCCACGAATCTGAATCTTCACCTCGCAATGCTGCTCCGCAAACATTCTAAACGACATTTGAGCACCAACGCTGCACCACAAGGTTTGAGTTTTTTTTCCCCCAACAGATCGTTTGCAAAGTGGTTAGGCTCACTCGCTGAATTGGTTTCAGGAGAACGTGTAAAGTAATGAAGGGGTGAATGCAGGCTAGAGGGGAAAGGGGGGGGGAGAATGTGACATTGCCAAGTTTTTCCAGTTGAGGGCATACCCATGAGGCTCATTTACTGGTTTGGCTCACTCCGTTCGTTTTCAAAGGGGAAAAAAAAATGAAAACCATATTGCTCAATTGACACTGGACGCAAGTATGTTCCAACTGTGGCACCACATTGTCTAAAAGTCAGGACACAGAGTAACCAGACTTATCACAACTTGCATCATAAATGTAAAGTGTATGTGGATCGCTGTGTGCATCAGTATCTGCGTGTATGTACATGTGCACACATTTATACGTGTGTCCATATGTAGCTGTGGTTCGGGGTCTGTGGTTAGTGCACTGCACTTTGATAAAATTTGTTTGCATAAGGCTTGGCAGTGCACATAACTAGTGTCGTTGTTGATCGATTTCTTTCCAACCCAGCTGCATTTTATATTCTTAGTTGTTTTGACGATTTCTTATCCTGGGGCAGAATTTCTGTTTATGTTTGAGTCAAATCTCAAAAAGTGTCTCTCACTGCACAAACGAATGTGGGGTGATGCTCGTCCCTACTGGTGGCTCCAAGCCAGCAGTAGAAATTCCACATTCCCATGGTAGAGGCCACTCCATATAATAACTGCCATTGGCTTCCTGAAAAGCTGTTTGACCAAATTAATGAACTCGGTGATGATGGCTCTGCATCAACCACAAACCAGGATTCCAACCTATTGTCTTCGCGTCACGAGCCCACATCGAAAAGGTTAGAGGGCCTTCATACCGATTCAAACTGACCGAACCGGCGACAAATTCTTCCATGAACGTCACGGTTCAAAAAAAACAAATCAATTCTTGCCGTGACCTGCCGTTACCAGAACGTCCACAGACCCGGGTTGAACCCATTACAGAATGTCCCCTGACTGGGGCGGCCGCCCACCCGCCTGGCCTCCCCTGACCCTGCATACGCGAGCGTTCCCCCTTTTTGAGATCTGGCCGCGATTATAAAAATCGCACCAGCCTCGCGAGCCGATGGAACGCACGGCGACCTCCGCGCGTCCCTTTCGCCAAGGTCAGATGCGGCATACCAACCTGGGGCCTGCACGAGCACCGGTACCGACGATGCTCTCTAGGGAAACAACTTCCGTGCCCTCAAATTTCACACTTTTTTATCACGGTTACTGAACATAGGCAAAGGTTTAGAGTGGTCCAAGCGACCAGCAACAAACTGCACTTGGAGAGGTGTAATAGATAAGTGCGAGGACGTTTCTGCAATTGAGAAATGTTGTTTTGAGAGTGTGCAGATAAGGTGCGGTGGGGTAGGTGGGATTATAAAGTTGAGCTTTACAACTGCTTTTGGCGTTTGGTTTGTGGTTCTTCCCCCGCAGCTCCGATGAGCATGGTTGGCTACGTACGGTGCAAATGAAGTTCAACATGCATACATACAGAAAAGTTTTTTTAACACCACCGCCATTAAACAGTAATATGTTCACCATCAACACCACTATGAGCACAACCACTATCACCACCATCTGATTCACTATTAACACCATCAACACCATCACCACACCAACACGGTCATACATCACCATCACTCAATAATATAAATCAACACAACCATCAACCCAAACACACATATGTGGTGCAGACTGCAGTCTGAAACCTTTGTTTTTACTCTCTCCGATCACTGTGCTGTTAAGGACTACTAGCCAATGTCACCTTTTACATATTTTTTGTATCCTTTTAAGGTCACAATATTCGTGGTTGTTATTTGTGATAGCGCACCACCGACAATGTAGCACCAAATGTCTAAAGACTCGTTGACCTTTCCCCCCCTTTAACAAAGCTGTTTATGGAGGCCAGCACAGAACTGACAACTACAGTGGACTGCTTGTTTTTAAGTCATTGCTCAAAGTGTTTTTTGGGAGTGAACTCGCAAACAAGTCATGCAGCATTCTACGCAACTTAACATGCTGTGAAGTTGCAGTCTGCCTGCATATGTGTCTTTTATAGACAATCAGTTAAGATCTTTGCTATAAATCGCAACGATTTAGCAAATCATCTCCATTCCAAAACTGTGAATCGCATGGGCAACATTGGCAGGGTGAGTTGTGAAACGTAGCCTCCGACCACTGATTACGTAAAGTATCAGATCACTAAATAACAGAGGTTTAAAATTTACTTAAACCCAAATATTGTATGTTTTTTATATAATATAATTTAAGTAACGCGATTACTGTAGAAGAGATGCGTTCTTGGAATTACATTGCAGAGAGGCAGAGCGAGGGACATGGATCATAGAATACGCACGCAAGCTCGTGTCGTCATCCAAACCCGTTTGGAAAAGTGCGCGTGGGCCTCAGGCCAGGGACACGCCATGGCGAGAAAGGGCGATGGGGAGATGGTTAGGAATAACAAATGGAGCGATGTCCGAGGGATGAAATTGCTCCCGAGAGGAGTCAACAGTGGGCAGCTGCCGGGGGGGATTATTACGGCGCAGGATTGTGAAAAGGTGGCGGCAGCTTGGAGAGGCCTTCATCCAGCGTTGGAATAATCTTCGGCCGACGATGATTTTAATGAATTATCACGAATAAGGGTTGAAAATGATCAACTTGCTCATCCACTCAACCTCGCACATACTTAGCAATAGACCCCTAGAATAACCTATAGAAGACTATTGGGGCAAGTGCAGTCTGCGAGCACCTACTAAGGCCAGCAGGGCAAATGATGGGGTGGTATGGCTGGCTCCAAACACGCCTGGCTACCTTTTCCTCATTAGTACCGGTGTACACACTGCACCAGATACTCATTTGATGCCGAGTCAACCTACGCGAGGCCCACAACCGGTTCAGATATTCAATCACAGATGTTGGCTGTGAGTGGGAATCGAACTCGGGTATCGCCATATTAAGAGTAGTGCACCAACCACAATGCCACTACTTCCTTACCTCACACGGACACACAAAAGCAAACATGCATGAACACACACATACGTACGTGCCGGTCTCTATAGAGACGACTTACCAATCTACACACCAAGGTCAAAACCCAACCGATTTTCCATTGCACACACATCTATTTCATGCGTGCATATCTAGACGCACGAACACACACACAAATATATCACACACACGAATGTAAGCATCCATGTAGAGAGTGCTGTTAGCGAGCTTCTAATTCGGTAGGCAAGACACAGGAGGGGGGGGGGGGGGTGGTCAGCACCACACCAGTCCACCTTTGCCTCCCCAGTGCTGATCTTCACACACACACAAACACGAAGCAGTTATTTCGGGTTGAGTTGACCTAGGGGAGGCCAACACAGATTTAGATACCACACGACACGGATGTTTTCAGTGGCGGGGAATCGAACGCAGGCAAACGGGATAATGATGCAGGGTGCTATCCACCTCACCACTGCTCACAAACCAACTCACTTACCGGACACATACATGAGATAAAACAATAGACAAAGATCCCCCGTATAGTCATAGAAGATTGTTTGGGCAGGCAAGTGCTGTTAGCGTGCACCTATTAAGGCCGCACAGCATACGAGGGGGTGGGTGGTCAGCACCTTGGTCTCCATAGTGGCGATGTTTACACATCGCACCAGGTACTCATTTAAGGCTGAGTCGACCTAGAGGACCAGGACCGGTTCAGATAATCGTCACTCGGGTGACCAGGGTTCGTAGCGCAGCGCTAATCGCTACACTATCGCTCCCCATACATGAAACAGACACGTGGACACAAACACAATCACTCCTACTCTGTGTCTTTCGATAAAGTCACGTAGATCGAAAAAAAAAAATCACGACGTTTCGATCGCAACACAAGCAATTGTCCTCAAGTGAAAAAATATATATTGCTTGTGTTGCGATCGAAATGTCGCGATTAATTTTCCATCTCCGTGACTTGACCGAAAGACACAAAGAGTACGAATTCCTGCAGTCACGAAAGCTTTAAGACAATCATTCCTCCCAACACACAGACAAACACTTTCACACGCCGACTTGCGCAAACACCCATCGTTGGTTTAACCTTCGCGTGCACAAGGTCATGCTTTCAAGAAGGTGGCCTCGTTTAATCTGGCGTGGTCTCGTCTGGCCTCCTCTGAAAAAAATGTTTTTGTTTTGTTTCAACGGGCCCCTAACTTCTACAGTTCGATGTTATTTTGGGGGTTAGATCGCGTAAATATGAATGTTTCGTTAAACCCGCCACCACCCGACACAGCCAATCAGTAAGGTTTGTCACGTAAACAGAACGTGCCAATCCGTTACTAGTACAGCACTAACCGGTGTGTTGGAGAGCCAAGCCACAACATTTACAATCAAAGTACGACGTTTCGGCAGCAATGACAACTCGCTTCATCAGGTGTCAGCCAGATTAGTGGGAGAGTCCTCCGGGTCCGTTCTTAAACAGAGGGACAGATGCGATGACGTCACGTGCGAAGGCCAGAGGGGGGGTAATGAATGCATATTAATTACAACGGGCATCCATTTAATGACATTTATATTTACACGATCTAACCCACAAAAAAAGCCTACGACGTGTTAAACTTCTACAAGTCTCTTGTCAACACACACCGCTGGACAAAAAGATAAATACATATTTCCCGTGTAGCCTTAACAGATTGTAGGGGCAAGTGCTGTTAGCGAGCACCTATGATGGCCGGCAGGGCACACGAGGGGATGGGTGGCCAGCACCACGCCCGGGCGCCTTTGTCTCCCCCGGTGGCAATGTTTACACACCGCACCAGGTACTCATTTTAGGCCGAGTCGACCTAGGAGAGGCCCAGGACGGGTTCCGACAATTGTCACCGGTGCTGGCCATGAGCGGGAATCGAACTCGGGTCGCCGGGTTCGTAGCGCAGCGTAGCGCTGACCGCTGCGCCACCGCTCCCCACAAAGGCCTCGCACACAGAGGGGGGGGGGGGGGTCAAGGAAGTCGTTCTTTGCCGCACCGCTCGGCTGCAAGTTGGCGAAACGGGGACCGAGTTGAGATGTCACCTCGCCAACTCTGCCATTTCAGGGTAGTGCCGATCTGCGACACTGGGTGTAAATTCCAGCCTCATGTCTGGAACCCATGAGGAAGGCATTACCATCATTTAATTTCACCACGCAGCCCTATATGTACCCATCATCCCTGGAAAGTGGTTAATGATCTCGGTAACCGAGTTGAACTGCAAACAGAAACTTTTTTTTTAACATCAACGCCATTAAAACCATTAAATGTCCACCATTAACACCCAACTTACCACAAACGCCATCACGACCATCACCACCACCTTGTTCACTATTAACGCCACCACCAAAGCAACACCATCAATGTCACCACACATCACCACAGCAACACCATAAACGTCACCACACATCACCACTACTCAATAATATAATCGACACAGCCATCAAGCCACACGCCATTACCAAACACCCACACGCAACGAACACACGAACACAGCATCGCCGTACAAATCTCACCCACCACATAGAAAAACAGCTCACCCGCAAGAGCCACGAATTAATAAACACCAACAACAAGTTAAACACACGCGGAGCCATCACCAATCCACTTACAACTCGGCACGGCGAACAATCCACCACTGCCGTGTTATGGCGGCCTACGCCACAATCCGTCACCCACTGCACATTCCAACACGGCCCCGAGAACAGAACCACAGCCGCCGCCAGTCAGGCCGCCATCACCTGCAGAAGTAGTCCCTCCATTCCTTGCTCCTGAACACGTCGCTGACTTTGCGCCCGATGATCCCGGCCATGGCTGTTGGTTCGTTAACGTCTCGCTAGCGCCGTCAAAGTCTTGCGGTTCGGGTCTCGTCCACCTCTGGCAGCTGAGCACGGAATTCCTCCCCGCGCGCCTCTTATGTAGCGAGTCCGCGCGTCCGATTGGCCCAGCCCGCTGGCACGTGGTCGGCCGGGTTCCCTCGCCGCCCATTGGTTGAGGGCCACCCCCCCCTCGTCCCCCCTCCATCCCCCCTCCTCCCTCCCCTCCCCCCTCCTCCCTCCCCTCCCCCCTCCTCCCTCCCCTCCCCCCTCCTCCCTCCCCTCCCCCCTCCTCCCTCCCCTCCCCCTCCTCCCTCCCCTCCCCCCTCCTCCCTCCCCTCCCCCTCCTCCCTCCCCTCCCCCCTCCTCCCTCCCCTCCTCCCTCCCCTCCCCCCTCCTCCCTCCCCTCCCCCCTCCTCCCTCCCCTCCTCCCTCCCCTCCCCCCTCCTCCCTCCCCTCCCCCCTCCTCCCTCCCCTCCCCCCTCCTCCCTCCCCTCCTCCCTCCCCTCCCCCCTCCTCCCTCCCCTCCCCCCTCCTCCCTCCATCCCCCCTCCTCCCCCGTTGTTGAAAGCCCCAAGGTCAATCGCGGGCAGCCAATGGTTGGTGGTGGTGAGGAGTGGGGTGTGGATAGCACTTGCCCCTACAGTCCTTTAAGGCTATACGGGGGATCTTTGGTGTGGAGAGGTGGCGTCTCAACTGCGCTACGAACCGGGTTCGATTCCCGCTCACGGCCACCAACACCAACACCGGTGACGATTATCTGAACCGGCGCTGGACCACCCCCCTCCTAGGTCGGCTCGGCCTCAAATGAGTACCCGGTACAGTGTAAAAAAACATCGGCCACTCGAGGAATACAAAGGCGGTCGGGCGAGATTATTGGCCACAGTGCCGGCCTTCATAGGTGCTGCTGACTCGCTAACAGCACTTGCCCCAAGTCTGTTACTAGGCTACACGGGGGATCTTTGTCTTTGTTTTTTTAGGGGGGGAGAGCGGTCGACGTATGCGGAAATCCCCGCTTCGCAATTGGCTGGCCGGATGACTTTCAACCCCCCCCTCCCTTTACCGAAGGGGCTCGCGATCCCATTGGACGGAGTGCGTCACGCGGTGCGGGCGGAGCGGCCGTCCCGTTGTGCCCCGCCCGGAGCTTCGCCCTGGGGGTCGCACGCGGCGGCCAAGGTCGACGCGCGGGCCCCCCCACCCCCCCGGTGGGGAGTTGGTCGCTCGATAACAAACTCCCATTGTGGAAGTTCGCATCGTGTCGGGAGGGGGGCCCCCATGTAACCAAGCAGAGGGGTGAATCTTCGCCGCCGATGAACATCTGGACAGCTTTGGTTTAAACTTGCGAGCCTGGGTCTGCTGATGCAAACCTGTCAACCTCCCTTATCAGTGACCCCGTGCCACTTACTGGACTTCCGTGAAAAAAGAGCTTTATAGCTCATCGGATTCCTCCTGCAGTATAAATCAATATTCTCACTGATTACTGTCAACTCGCCCTCTACAAATTGCAGCTGTTCAGTGATAACCCCGTCTGCTCCTGCTCCATACCTGACAACCCCTTCTTGCCTTCGTCATTACAGACCAATTCAGACCTTAGTGGTCACCCCCGTGCCCATTTTAAATCTCAACGTTCATCCTACAAAGTCCCATCACAAGGGAGAAACAAACAAATAGACAACACATTTTGGTTGTTGCCCTATTCAAGTTCAAGTTCATTTATTAGGTATAGCCCTGTGAGCCATTCAGCTCTTGAATCGGGTGCAACCGCAACAAACAAAAAACAAAAACATGAACAAAAAAACATCTTAAAGTGAATATGTGACTAAGTGCAAACAGAAAATCCAAGAAAAGACAGCAAAAATATTGCAGAAAAAACACCGTACACCAACGCTGTGTGCAAAAATCCCAAACTGAACTTTACCCAGGTAAGGCACACCTGGGCTATGTAGCTCTTTGTTGTTGTTGGAGAAGCGACGTGGCTGTCACAAATGAGAAGCTCAACGAAGTTCGGGCTCTCACCGTCGAGTGGACATTTATAGCAGCAGCCAAACAACCCGAAACGCGTGGTGACTTTGACTCCAAATTTGGGGAGGAAAAACCAGAGGGCCCGGAAATATACAGCAGCAGGCGTCATGGTCGGGATCGAACTCACGCCCTCCTGTATACCAGGAGACGTAGTTAACATCTCCTATGCACCGTGGGTTATTTACTCGGGGTTATAAACTTAAAAACAAAATATTTATATTGCCTTTAGAGTTCCCATGCAAAGATGGTGACGGTCCACGAGCGTACATCTTTGTAAGGGAGAGACTTTAAACAATGTACTGTATACACCAGGCGGTCAGGGTCAGGGATCCAACGGACGAACCTCCTGTAGACCAGGCGAGGTAGTTAACATCTCATAGCAACCGTGGGTTATTTACTCGGGGTATTAAAACTTAAAAAAACACATTTAGATTGGCTTGAGTTCCCTTACAAAGATGGCGACGGCCCACAGCGTACATCTTTGTAAGGGGGGGGGGCCTTTCACGTTGTGGCACGTGACGCCACAGCAACCAATCAGAGCGGCCCCCAGCTGCCGAATGTTCGATTGGAAGTTGTGGTGGTTGGGTTGGTGGACGCCGCCGGATTGTCTGGCACGCGACCCCGTCCCGCCAGCGCTGAGAGGGCCACGAGGTTGACGCACGTGGTGGCTACTATGGTGAGTTGAAGCAAGGGGGGTGGGGGACGCCTGGACCATAACTCGGTTACAGATACGGCGGGAGCCTTGTGAGTGGCGAACGGACGAACGAGCGAGTTAGACGATTTGAAGGGAACGCCGACATGGAAGTGGTGTGGCGGCGGTGTGGGGGTGGTGGCGGTGATGTGGGGGTGGTGGTGTGGGGGTTGTAGGGGTAGTGGCGGTGATGTGGGGGTGGTGGTGTGGATGTGGGGGTGGTGTGGGGGTGGGCGCGTTGCTGGCGACGCCACGCGTTGAAGTGTACAGTGCGGTAGTGTGGTGCAGAGTGGGGGAGGGGGGGGTGGTGCAGAGTGGGGGTGGTGCAGAGTGGGGGGGGGGGGGTGGTGCAGAGTGGGGGGGGGGGGGGTGGTGCAGAGTGGGGGTGGTGCAGAGTGGGGGGGGGGGGGTGGTGCAGAGTGGGGGTGGTGCAGAGTGGGGGGGGGGTGTGGTGCAGAGTGGGGGTGGTGCAGAGTGGGGGAGGTGGGAGTGGTGCAGAGTGGGGGGGGGGTGGTGCAGAGTGGGGGTGGTGCAGAGTGGGGGGGGGTGGTGCAGAGTGGGGGGGGGGTGGTGCAGAGTGGGGGGGGGGTGGTGCAGAGTGGGGGAGGTGGGAGTGGTGCAGAGTGGGGGGGGGGGTGGTGCAGAGTGGGGGTGGTGCAGAGTGGGGGGGGGGGGTGGTGCAGAGTGGGGGGGGGGGGGGTGGTGCAGAGTGGGGGGGGGTGGTGCAGAGTGGGGGGGGGGGTGCAGAGTTGGGGGGTGGTGCAGAGTGGGGGGGGGGTGTAGAGTGGGGGGGGGGTGGTGCAGAGTGGGGGGGTGCAGAGTGGGGGGGGTGGTGCAGAGTGGGGGGGGGGTGCAGAGTGTGGGGGGGGTGCAGAGTGGGGGGGGGGTGCAGAGTGGGGGGGGGTGGTGCAGAGTGGGGGGGGGGGCAGAGTGGGGGGGGGGGTGCAGAGTGGGGGGGGGGGTGCAGAGTGGCCAACACCGGTGACGATTACCTGAACCGGATCCTGGGCCTCCTCCCCTAGGTCGACTCGGCCTCAAATGTCTACCTGTCGCGGTTCATAAAAATATCGCCACTGGGGAGACAAAGGTGGCCCGGGCGTGGTGCTTGCTATCCACGTAAACACGCGCGCTCTGGGCAAATCAAAGCTCGTTGATTTGGAAGCAGAACTGTAAATACATTGGGCCGTAGTTTGTATCAGTCAGGGGACTCGTCGTACCTGTCAACCCATACGGTTTACTCCGTATTCTTGTACGGGTAATTTAGTTTTCAGGTCCAGACGGCGTACAGCCGTTTCAATTCGGGCAAATACATTTATTTGTGTTTCTCCCTTGTGATGGGACTGTCGGATGAACGTTGATATTTATAAGGGGCACAGGGTGACCAATAAGGTCTGAATTGGTGTGTAATAAGGTAGGGCATTGATAAAGGGTTGACAGGTATGTAAGAGAAGGCGGGGTTATCTCTGAACAGCTGGAAATGTTTTCTGTCGTAGAGGGTGAGTTGACGGTAATCAAGAGTCAGAACAGAGACAGCAGCCTTCTTTATGGCCTTGTCTCACCAATGTCAGACCACAGAACGCCAAATGGCGAACAGTACAAGGACAATGCACTATCAGGGCATTTATAGCTCGGGGTGAGCAGCTACAAAATGGGACCTTTTTGCCAGTATCAAATCATCGTTTTTATTCTTTCTGGCAATAAAAAAGGTGTTCAGATGTTAAGTAGTGTATAGCCTAACACAGCTCATCGGCCCCAAGGGAGTGCATAATTACAGGAGCTTTGGGTTCAACAAAGGCAACGCTCTCAACCGGATTTGACACGTGTCCCATCAGCATACCTGTCAACCCATATGGTTTACCCCATATCCTTGTACAGGGAAATTTAGTTTTCAGATCCATACGGCAAACAGCCATTTCAATGCATACCAAAACTTTTTTTGTCTATTTGTTTGTGTTTCTCTCTTGTGATGGGACTTTGTAGGATGAACGTTGGGATTTATAAGGGGCACGGGGTGACCAATAAAGTCTGAATTGGTCTGTAATAAGGTAGGGCACTGATTAGGGGTTGACAGGTATGGAAGGGAAGGCGGGGTCATCTCCGAACAGCTGGAAACTTTTATCTGTCGTAGAGGGCGAGTTGACAGTAATCTATTCATTTATACTGCAGGAGGAATCTGATGAGCTATAAAGTAAAAAAAAAAATTCACAGAAGTTGCTATCCTTAATATGTCATCAACTGAACAAAAATCGGCTCGATTATTCCACGTGACAGTTGTCAATTCCTGGTCTCTGACCTGAGTGGCCCATTTTAACAACGTGAGTTGCTCTCCCGGCCGTCCTCGCCCATGCTGGACATGCAACAAAATAGCTTTGTAGCTCCACGGATTCCTCCTGCAGTCCAAATCGAAGATTTTGAAAACACGCGCGATACTGCGTTGCCAGTACGGCACGAGCACAACGAACAAAAGATCAACACGCTCGTCATTAACTGCCGCAAAATGGGAAAGAAATGTTTTTTTTTTATAAAATCAGTTACATTTTGGCCAATGGCTTTTATCAAGTGAACAATGTCTTTCATTTAACAATTGAAAATACTGCTTTCCTTATCTAACGGAAGTTTTTATTTATTTAACCATGTGTCCAGTTAGGATGACAACGCACATTCGAGGTGCATTCCATACTTTAAAATATATAAATATATATTTCGGATCCTATTTTATATATATATTCATTATTGTTTTTTTATTATCCCCCACGGAGAGTTGCGTGTCACATTCCAGATTTATGGCAAATTTTTGTACATCTTTGTACTTTGCGTTATACTTTTACACTTTTATGAATTCTTGTAAACCCAGGGTGGTGGTTGAACACCTTGTGGTGGATGACCTGAAACAGTGAGTGTCTGGCAGAGACCGTGTCCTCAATACGGGTGGAGGAACCGATGACTGGAAGTTCGTGGAAACAGTCAAATCAAGACAGTAGCGATAGCAGAGTGATAAGGAGGCCGACTGACTGCCAGTGAGCGGGCTACTGGAGCGAATTGGTAAGTGCTGGATCATCAATGGAGCTGGCTGCTTTACGACCGAGCAAGCATTCCTCTTTGGTTGAAAAGGGTAGTTGTGGAATGAGCTCAGAGGTCCAAAAATGTGCTGGTGGATCCGCTTTAAATTAGAAGCTGCCAAGAACTTGAAAGAAGCAAGCGTCCAGAAATATTTCCTGTCGGTTGTTCTGGTCACCGCTCGCTCACGCGACATCGAGACGGAGAGGGGGACGCTGGTTTACCCGATACGGGTCAAGTGGGTAAGAATGCTATGACACCACCGCCACCACCATGATAATGACGACGGCGGTGATGATGAAATGAACTCCCTAAACGGCACGTTGCGGAGTGGAGCTGGTCGCAGCCATGCCGAGACAGGGATGACCTGGTATTGAGAATGAGAAGAAGAAACATTGGTTAAATTTAAACGCTGACTGAGCTAAACCCGACGCAGCCAGACCGCCCGTGTCAGGGCCGTGACCCCGTGTCAGGGCAACATGTGCCGGCAAGGTATGAGGGCCTGGGTTCGACCTCTGCGTCGGTGTGCACGGGCGCGCGTGTCTCTTGCGGGGTTGAGAATGGCTGTGCGGGAAGACACTGGATTGGTGCAGGCAGGAACCAATGCTGCTGCTGTGCCCCCTCCTACCCACCTACCCACCACAGAGCCCCGCTGCTCTGTGACCACCCGCTTGTTCTTTTTTCACGGTGGGTCATAATGGCCGTGTCTTCCTCTGTCGTACAGATTTAATAGCAGCAGATTAAGGATGCAATTTTAGATGTTATTGCTACTCAGGTGTCTGTTCAGAAGCAGAGTGGATCTCGTCCCTTCCCCGGTTAAAGGAGTGAAGACAGCAGCCAGCGGCGGAGTGTTTACGATGTGGCGGTCGATGGTTTGGGATTTGTGGCTGCACTACGCACATACCGCCGATTCTTTGATGGCGCCATTTGTGGCATCGGGTAGCCGCATCGGTCGCATGCCCTGTCCCCGATTCGGTTGATGGTCGACCATTTGCGGCGTGGTAGGTTGAAACCCGGAGGTTCGATGGTCGGGTGCTGTGTGAGATGTTTACTTTTGACGTTGGCCGCAGTCCAGACTTGCTTCCACCGATCCAGCAAACAACCTCCGAGGACCTGGGTTCAACCCCTGTAGTGGTATCTTCACCCACAGGTCCCCCTGTGAAGGCCTCTCAAGATCCGGGGATGCAGATCTTCTCTGCGGTCCCAGGTCATTGAGGCTTCAGTCTCTGGGCGACCGAGCTGTTCGTTGTGTCGCAGCCCGCAGACTCTGGAACTCTCCCCCATGACATCTCAGGATCTCTCAGTCTGTAGCCATTTTTAAACACGCGCCTTAAAATGCATCTGCACACTTCTATTTCGTCAACGTTTAGTTGAATTCGGCAAGCGGCTTTGAGCATTCATTTTATTATCTTGCCACGTCATTGTGTTTAGTTTTTTGAGTCGCTGTCATGCCGAGTGTCTGCTGCTGTGTCTTCTACAGCGCTTAGACATGCTTGATGAAAGGTGATTTATGCGTATAATTTTTGATTATCATCTCTCTTTTTGCTCTCCTTTCCCTGCCATAGGAATGTGGAATTTCAACTCCCTTGGGTCGGCATTGCCCGTGGCTCGTTTGAGCTGGGAGACACAAAATCTGAGTGTCGGCCGTTATTGAAAAAACGAGTTGGGGTGGGGGGAAATCACGCACCATGCATGGATTCCGTTCACGCTTTCCAACAGGGCACGTTTGTCCCCAGAAGTGTTTGACTAGCAGTAGAGCCTGACGAAACTGGTTGTTGTAATGACCGGCAAAACGTCGAATTGTAAATGTTGTAGTGGGTTTACTCTCCAACACACAACCGGTTAGTGCTGAACTAGTAACTAATTGTGCACGTTCTGTTTACGTGACAAACATTACTGACTGGCTGTGTCGGGGTGGTGGCAGATTTAACGACCACATTTATATACTTACGCGATCTCACCCTCCAAAAAAACCTCGTGGGTAATATTGGTCGCGAAAGCCTATTACGTGGGTTTAATTACACATTTATAATTGCGCGCTGTAACCCAAAAACCTCTTATGGATAATATTTGTCGCGAAAGCCTGCATGTTAAACTAACAGTAAAGAAGCGAAATATTCCTTTCAACTGCGGCTTGTGTCTCCGCGTTGTGGCGCAATGACCCTTGCTTCGGCACGGTTTCGTTTTTTGACCGGGTTCAAGTCCCACAGGGGCACCGCAGCTTCACGCTCGAGTTCGCCTCCCCCGCCCTTGGGTCGTCTCTAAGAGAGCCACCCGTGACCCCCCCCCCTACAGACGAGACCAGCAGCACCGGGCCTCGCTCGCGTTTGACGAGCGCGGTGCTTCCGTGGCCGTCATCTGGACAGGTCGCGTGCGGGGGACGTTGTGAGCCGGCGACGCGATGGCAGCCAGCGCCGGCCTGCGCCTACCGCCGCTGCCCACCATCGGCGAGATCATCCGCGTGTACAATCTGCGCGCGCAGAAGCAGCTCTCGCAGAACTTCCTGCTCAACCAGCGCCTGTCCGGTACGCGACTCCCCCCCCCCCACCGAGAAGGGGGTTAAACACGGACAGGGACCAATTGTGTGAGTGAGTGGGTGGATGAGTAATTGGGTGAGTGGATGATTGTGTGAGTGGGTGAGTGAGTGAGTGAGTGGGTGAGTGAGTGATTGGGTGAGTGGGTCATTGTGTGAGTGAGTGGGTGATTGTGTGAGTGAATGAGTGGGTGATTGTACGAGTAGGTGGGTGAGTAAGTGGGTGGGTGGATGATTGTGCGAGTGATTGTTTGATTGTGTGAGTGGGTGACTGAGTGTGTGTGTGTGATTGTGTGAGTGGGTCATTGTGTGAGTGAGTGGGTGATTGTATGAGTAGGTGGGTGAGTAAGTGGGTGGGTGGGTGAGTAAGTGGATGAGTAATTGGGTGAGTGGATGATTGTGTCAGTGGGTGATTGTGTGAGTGGGTGGGTGATTGTGTGAGTGGGTGATGGTGTGAGTGGGTGATGGTGTGAGTGAGTGAATGAGTGGGTGATTGTATGAGTAGGTTGGGTGAGTGGGTAATTGTGTGAGTGGGTGGGTGGGTGAGTGTTCATGTGTGATTAATATGAGGGAGATTACATTTCTGTAAATAATCCGCTTAATGTAACACCAAAATGAGCTGCGATAATCGCCATTTCAACAACGTTTTTGCCAAACATGGCTGCTGCGTCTATCGTGGCGAGCGGCTCCGGTCTGCGTGTATTTCTCCATTCCCCCCCCCCCCCGTGCCTCGACGTGCACCTCAGCCCCGGGTGGAGTGGGGGTCAGCAACCAAAACAACAAGAAGAGGCGTTTTTCAACGGTTTTACTTAACTTGATTCCTCTGTTTGTCGTGGTCAAATCTTGTAATCAAAATTTCGTCCACTTCCCGTTGTCCAATCAATTCCACATTTTGCACATGTACTCAGATTCGGTGACAATGCATGCCTCATCAATTAAATTAATTAGCTACTTTAAAGCAATTTACATTTTGTATGGACGCCTTATTATTTATATATATATTTGTGTTGGTCAAAAACGCCGCGGTCCCTCAACTGTGGAATCAGCTCGCACAAAAAGCAGGCGCCGTGTGTCTCAGGCGCCATTAACGTACTTCTCGACCGTGAGTTAAACGAAGTTGTTAATAAAATAGTTGTTTAAAAAAATATATTTTTTAAAGGAGTTTATTTTTAATTATAATTCGGTAAAAAAAACCGCTAAATATTTCAAGAGCCGCAATGCACCGTGGTGAATAGAAGCCGGAGGTTCTTAATAAATAACGGTCACGAAGCCGGTCACTTAAAGAGCCGCATGCGGCCGCGGAGCCGCAGGTTGCCGACCCCTGACCTAGATGGACAAAAGGCCGACGAGATAGGACGACAGAGCTTGGGCAGTTGTTGGCGCCAGTTCTGGCTCCCTTTTCGCTCACTCGCCCATCTGCTTTTCCGCGCCTCCGTGCCAAAACTGTTTATTACAATTTTTGCTGCGGTGTTTTGATCTGTGATTGGCGTGAACGACTGTTTACATTTAAATAATGATTACTATTATTCTCTTGCGTGGCACAAATGCTGTGCTGACATCAACGTGGTGTGCCTGCTGCTCCTGCTGCTGCTGTGACTGCTGCTGCTACTGCTGATCTACTGCTGTTTCTGCCACTGCTGATCCTGCTCCCAATGCTGTGGCTGCCACTGCTGCTGCTACTGCTGCTCTTTCTGCTGCTGCTGCTACTGCTGCTGATTTGCTGCTGCTGTTTCTGCCTCTGCTACTGCTCTGTCTACTGCTGCTGCTGTGACTGCTGTTGCTGTGTCTGCTGCTGCTGCGGCCACTGCTGCCGCCGCTGCCACTCAACAACAGACAAGATCGTGCGGCAGTCGGGCTCGCTGCGCGACGCCTACGTGTGCGAGGTGGGTCCCGGCCCGGGCAGCCTCACCCGCGCCATCCTGGAGCGTGGCGCCGCCCGCGTCCTGGCCATCGAGAAGGACCCTCGCTTCCTGCCCAGCCTGCGGGTGAGCGAGCCGCTGGGGGCGGGGGGAAGGGCGGGGCGATGGATTGCGCAGGGATGGGAGTCGGCGACGAGTGGAGCTGTCGACCAAGAAGCGGCACGAAACGTCGTGCCCAGATTGTAAAAGTTGTGGCTTTGCTCTCCAACACACTACTGGTGTGCTGTACTCTTAACCAATTGGCATGTTCTGTTCACGTGACAAACCTTACTAATTGGCCGTGTCAGGTGGTGGCGGATTTAACGACACATTTATATATTTACGCGATCTAACCCAAAAAAAACCTGGCAGGCTCACGGGCAGTGCGGCGAACGTAGAACTGTGACCTGGGAGAGTCTCAAGACTCTTATGCGTACCGTGTCAACCCGTACGGTTTACCCTGTATTCTTGTACAGGGAAATTGAGTAAATGGAGACCCACAGAGATACATCGAGACCCACAGAGATACATAGAGACCAATAGAGATACATAGAGACCCATAGAGATACATAGATATAGCATACCTGTCAACCCATACAGTTTACCCCGTATTCTTGTACAGGGAAATTGAGTTTTCACGTCCATATGGCGTACCGCCGTTTCAATATGGGCAACAAAAATGTTCTTGTCTGTGTGTTTGTGGTTCTCGCTCGTGATGGGACTTTGTAGGATGAACTTTGAGATGTATAAGTGGCATGGGGTGACCAATCAGGTCTGAGTTGGCCTGTAACAAGGCGGGCACTGATAAGGGGTTGACAGGTTTGCTTATGTCGGTGGGTGGGGGTTGGGGAGAGGGGGGTTACTGCCCAAGTGTTTGCAGCAGGGGGCGGTGTTTACCAGGGCCACAGTCACTCCGACATGAGATGTTGACTCCCTCGCCTGGTATGCAGGAGGCCGAGGGTTCGATCCCGACCCTGATGCCTGCTGTATATTTGGAGTTTGCGTGTCTCTCTCTCTCCCCTTGGTTGCGTGGATATTTCTCCAGGTCCGCTGGTTTTTCCCTCCACATTTAGAAACATGCTTTTAGAGTATTTGGCTGCTTTAAATGTCCACATGATAAGCCATTTTGTTGAGCTATCATTTGTGGCCAGTTTGCTTCTGAAAAAATCTATTTAGCTCAGTGGGCCTTACTTGGTAAAGTAAGATAGTTGATATTAGTAAATGTACGTTGGGCTTCTTTCGCACCGTACATAGCCAGCCGTGCTAATCGGAGGATGGGCGAGTGTGTGGGTGAGTGACTATGTGAGTGGGTGAGTGACTATGTGAGTCTATGTATGTTCGTTGAACTTATTTTGCACCGTACGTAGCCAACCGTGCTAATCAGAGGTGCTTGGAAAAGACAAAAAACTAAACACAAAAAGCAGTTCTGAAGAAACCTCCTTATAGAGAGACACCCAGACCTATGGCTCAAAACGACTCTCCCTGACAAAACCATTGAGACCTACAGACACCCAGACCCAGGGCTTGAACCTCTGGGGTCAGGAGCTCTGGTTTGGTATCTGTGTTGAACTTGTTTCGCACCGTACGTAGCCAAACGTGATAATCGCAGGATGGGTGAATGTGTGTACGGAACCAACCGTGCTTACATAGTCACTTACCCACACACCCATCCTCAGATTAGCACTGTTGGTTCAACATACGTACATGTACAAAGATGGTGACCGCGTCGCGCGCTTTCAGATGCACTTCTGCGGCCTCAGGAACGCTCTTCCTTCCGATATTGGGAAGCCACTGGAGCTTTGCACTTTTACATCATCATCGTCATCATCATCGAGATTGAAAACTATTTTTTTAACTGCCTTAAGTGTTTAGTTTGTTGTCCTTCCCCCCGCACCTCCAATTAGCGCTGTTGGCTACGTACGGTGCGAATCGAAGTTCAACGTGCACACAGACATACATCGTCATCCACGTTGGCTGTGACTGGCTGCTGCTGTGCCTCGCCTCGGTTGCTGATCGTCGGTGCTGTTGCCGTGTACCGCTTTTCCCTCATTTGTTTCCCCCCGTGTGTTTCCCCCCGTGTGTTTACCCCGTGTGCTTTCTCCCGTGTGTGTTTCCCCCCGTGTGTTTCCCCCCGTGTGTTTTCCCCGTGTGCTTTCTCCCGTGTGTGTGTTTCCTCCGCGTGTTTCCTCCCCTCAGCTGCTGTCGGAGGCGGCTCCCGGGCGGATGGAGGTGGTGTTGGGGGACATCCTCACATACCCCCTGGACAACTCCTTCCCAGAGTCCCTGAGACGCAGATGGGATGAGGGTGAGACGACACGGGGACCGCGGGAGAAACGGAAGGAGACGAGTCAGGGGGGGAAAGAGACACAGGAAGGAACGGGGAGACACGGGAAGGAACGGGGAGACACGGGAAGCAGCAGGTACACCACGTGGTAGTTGGGCTCGCTGGTGAGCAAAGTTAACAGGAACAGTAGCCATGGTAGTAGCATGGTAGTAGCATGGTAGTAGCATGGTAGTAGCGCTATAAGAGTGATTGGGAGGCGACTGACCGCCGGTGAGCGAGCGAGTGGAGTGAATCAGTGCTGGATCATCAGTCTTCGCCCTGACTGCTGCTGCCGTCACTCCGAATCCTCTGCGGTGAAGCAGTGAGGTGGGAGCTGGGCGCTCCACCCCACGTGGCAGCAGCAGCGGGAGTCCAACCGTGGTCGAGTGCGTGCCGTGCACAGCAGCAGTGACAGATTATTCGGTGTGAATGAGGCTTCGGCATGGAACACAAAACGGAGCTTCTTCGATGGTGGGGGTGGGGGACAGAAGTAGGCGAGGGTGGTGGTGGTGGCGGGGGCACACGAGATGTGAAGACGGCTTCCCTCTCTCTTCTACCTATCTCCCTCCCTCTCTCTTCCTCCCTCTCTCCCCCCTCTCTCCCCCCTCTCTCTTGTGCTGCACTCTTGACTTGGGCGTCTCAGTGGCTAGGAGATGTTACCTCCCTCGTGGATTCGATCCCAACCCTCACGCCTGCTGCGTCTCTCTCCCCGTGGTTGCGTGGATTTTTCTCCGGTTCCGGCAGTTTTTCCCTCATTTAGAATTTACACGCGTTTAGAGTATTTGGCTGCTATAGATGTCAACGTGATAAGCCACTTCGTTGAGCTATCATTTGTGATAGCCAGGTGGCATCTGAAAAAGCCATGTAGCTCAGTGGGCCTTACCTGGTAAAATAACAAAATTAGTTTAAGCAGCAACTTGCAAATGTGATTTCCAACTTTAATCCTTGCCCCCGTATTGATAGTTAAAGCTTAATGTGCGGTTTCATTCAGGGACTACTGTGTGGTGTGGGTCTGTTGTTGTTGTTCGGCTGCCTTGCCCATGCTTTGACAAATCGGCAGGAATGTATCGTGCAATTTGCACCTCGTATACTTTCTACATATTCGAGTGACTCGCTTTGCCGTTTATAATGTTGCACTTCTAGCGCGCTGTATTGTTTTTAACGTTCCGACCCTCCCGTGTGCCCCCTTGCTTGACATCCGTGATGAAAAACAAAGAGCGTCATCGCTCATCAGGAGATTCCGTCCTCCCGGGCCTAGAGAGAGGTTCTGCTCCTCTGACTTTGCTCGACCAAAATGTTAGCCGGGCAACTCTATCCGTTCGACTCTTTAAATCCTTTTTAACAATAGGTTGTACCCCTTTCTGGCAATAAAACAGGCGCTGAAATGTTAAAACACCAAACAGAATCCTTATTCATGGAATCCTGTCTGGATTAACCACACGCAGGACTTGTGGTGATCATGCAAACACAAAACATGCTCCGATAATATATGATGCACTGTCTTTGAAACTGATTGGTCCACACCAGAGACAGCTTTATTTTAAATCCTCAAACTTTTAAATCCTCAAAGTTTGATTCCCCGAGGGACTTAGAATCCCCCCACTCCTCCATTAGAAACGTGTGTTCAGATTATATTCCTGGAAAATAAAAGTTTCGTTTTATTTGCATATATATTTTTTGAGTGACTCGCTTACCTTTCCTATACCTTCCACTCCTATCGTGTTTGTTTTGCATTGTCGGTTGTTGCAAACTCGCTGACCCCATGGAGAGCTTCCGTAGCTCATGAGGACATTCCCTGCTCCTCCGCCCGGCCAAGAGAAAAAGATTCCGATCCTCCGACTTTTCCTAGATCCTCCCAACATCCACATCATCGGCAACCTGCCCTTCAGCGTCTCCACCGCGCTCGTCATCGATTGGCTCGAGTGCATGGCCAATCGCAGCGGGCCCTTCTCCTACGGCAGGACCCGACTCACGCTCACCTTCCAGAAAGAGGTGGCCGAGGTGGGGAGCTCCCTGGTTCTGTGCGACTGTTTTTTATTGTTTTTTTATGGTATTTATTTTATTGTATGTTTTTTATTGTATTTATTTTTACGTCAACGAAACAACTCGCAAGCCCGTCACAAACGCATCGCGGGCTTCATAGTTGCAACGCGTATGCTTCTATGTTAGCCGGCGTGCAGCCTGTAAGTTCTGCGAGGTCCGCGGATGCCTTCCGTGGGGCGTTATGAGGGTCAGGGGGAGGAGGTGTACGTCTGACATGGGAATGGGGGCATTTGTTTAGTTGCGTTTATTCAGCGTCTGGCAATGTCTAGAGTCTGCGCGAATTCCACGCTGTCCTCTGGCGAGCGTTTGCCTCTCCTTGGGCTGCCGTTCCCGCAGCAGTGCCGCCCATCGGCCATCATCCCCTTCTCACCGTGATGGCTTCTTGTCCAAGCCCACGTGCCTTCCTTCATCGTCCATGTGACCGTCTCCAATTTGCATGGGGTGGTGGAGGGGCGGCCGCGGTGACTAGGAGATGTTAACTCCTTCACCTGGTATGCAGGAGGTCGTGGGTTCGATCCCGACCCTGACGATACCTGCTGCTGTATATTTGGAGTTTGCATTTTTCTCTTTCGTCATCATCACCACGGTGTCTAGGAGATGTTAACTACCTCGCCTGGTATGCAGGAGGTCGTGGGTTCGATCCCGAGTTCGATTCCCGTTCAGCGGCCACCGTTGCTGGCAAATATCTCAACGGGTCCTGTGCCTCCCCTAGGTTTACTCGGCCTTTCATGAGTACCTGGTGCACGCGGTGTGTAAACATCGGCACCGGGGAGACGAAGGAGGCCGAGCGCGGTACTGGCCACCCATCCCCTCCGTGCGCCGTGTCGGCCTTCGTAGGTGCTGCTTCTCGCTAACTGCACTTGCCCCGACAGTCTGTTAAGGCTACACGGTGGGGTACCTTTGTATTTGTGTGATGCGCACAGCGGCTGGTGGCGAGCGTGCACAGCAGCCAGCGCTGCCGCCTGTCGGTGATGGCGCAGAGCCTGAGCTCGGTGAAGCTGCGCTTCGTCATCCCTGGCAGCGCGTTCGTCCCCGCGCCCAAGGTGAGCCCCAGGCTCCCCAGCTCCTGCTTACCGTCATCGCCGTCGTCGTCGTCGACATCAACACCATCAACATCGTAGTCATCGTCATTATTATCATCATCGGCGTGATTGTCATCATCATTGTCGTCAACGTCGTCATCATTGTCGTTGTCATCGTTGTCATCGTTGTCACCATCATCCTAGACCAGGGGTCCGCAACCAAAATAACAGAAGAGCCATTTGGAGAAAAAAAACTCTTACTGATTGGCTGTGTTGGGTGCAGGCATGCTAATGACACATTTCACGATCTAAACCAAAAGCCCTTTTTTCTGAATATTATGAAAATGACCTGGCAATCCCTGAATAGGGATCAAAAACAAAGATCCTCCGTATAGCCTGTAACAGACTGTTGGGGCAAGTGCTGTTAGCGAGCACCTATGAAGACCGCCACGGCCCACGAGGAGGTGGGTGGCCAGCACTACGCCCGGCTGCCTTTGCCTCCCCTTTGGCGATGTTTACACACTGCACCAGGTACTCAGTTGAGGCTGAGTCGACCTCGGAGAGGCCCATGACCATTTCAGAAAATCGCCACTGTTGTTGGCCGTGAGCGGGAACCGAACTCGGGTCGCCGGGTTCGTAGCGTATTGCGCCAACCACTTCACCACCGCTTCCCCGATCACACACACACACACGTGCGCAGCATCAACATCGCCCCCCCCCCCCCGCTAATGTGACAAACTTGCCAGGGACCCTGCCGTGAAAGGAAGGTTAGCGAGGCTCGGAGAGGCCTTCCCAGGTGAACCCTCGTAGCAGCAGCAGCGATGTCGCTGGCGCCGTGCCGCATGTGAACTGACGGGCGGTTCCCCCCCTCACCTCCTCTGCCGCCCCCGACTCCCCACCCCCAGGTGGACGTGGGGGTGGTGACACTGGAGCCGCTGGTGACCCCGCGGATCCAGCAGCCGTTCCCACTCGTGGAGAAGGTCGTGCGCAACCTCTTCCAGTTCCGCAGGAAGTACTGCCTGCGTGGCATCGAGTGAGTGAGAGACAGGAAGTACTGCCTGCGTGGCATCGAGTGAGAGACAGGAAGTACTGCCTGCGTGGCATCGAGTGAGTGAGAGACAGGAAGTACTGCCTGCGTGGCATCGAGTGAGAGACAGGAAGTACTGCCTGCGTGGCATCGAGTGAGAGACAGGAAGTACTGCCTGCGTGGCATCGAGTGAGAGACAGGAAGTACTGCCTGCGTGGCATCGAGTGAGTGACAGGAAGTACTGCCTGCGTGGCATCGAGTGAGTGAGAGACAGGGAGTACTGCCTGCGTGGCATCGAGTGAGAGACAGGAAGTACTGCCTGCGTGGCATCGAGTGAGAGACAGGAAGTACTGCCTGCGTGGCATCGAGTGAGAGACAGGAAGTACTGCCTGCGTGGCATCGAGTGAGAGACAGGAAGTACTGCCTGCGTGGCATCGAGTGAGTGACAGGAAGTACTGCCTGCGTGGCATCGAGTGAGTGAGAGACAGGGAGTACTGCCTGCGTGGCATCGAGTGAGAGACAGGAAGTACTGCCTGCGTGGCATCGAGTGAGAGACAGGAAGTACTGCCTGCGTGGCATCGAGTGAGTGAGAGACAGGGAGTACTGCCTGCGTGGCATCGAGTGAGAGACAGGAAGTACTGCCTGCGTGGCATCGAGTGAGAGACAGGAAGTACTGCCTGCGTGGCATCGAGTGAGTGAGAGACAGGAAGTACTGCCTGCGTGGCATCGAGTGAGAGACAGGAAGTACTGCCTGCGTGGTGTCTAGTGCGTGGTGTTGAGAGTGACAGAAAGTCCTGTCTGCGTGGTGTCTCGTGAGGGGCAGCGGTGGTCCGGCTAACTTCGATAACGATAAGTAACTTTTTTTTATGCATCTATGTATGTTTAACTTCTTTTGCACCGTACGTAGCCAACCGTGGTCATCGGAGGTGCCGTGGGGGAAGGACAAACTTAACTCAAAAGCAGTTCTAAAGAAATGAGTTTGTCAACCTAGATGAGCGTTCCAGACTGCCACAGAAACGCGTCTTGAGAACGCCACGCGACAATGCGGTGACCACCGCCGTCTTTGCGGTCTCCCTCTCCTCACCTCCCCCCCGCGTCCCCCCGCCAGGCTGCTGTTCCCGCAGGCGGAGCGCCTGTCGCTGTCCCAGCGCGTGCTGTGCGAGGGGGACGTGAGCCCGGTGCAGAGGCCCGCGGAGCTGAGCGTGCGCAGCGTGGGGCGGCTCTGCGGCGCCTACGCCGCCCTCTGCCTGGAGCGTCCCTCGCTCGTGGCCTACGACTACCGCCTGGAGCTGCGGGACGCGCGGCGGCGATCGCTAGCGCGCCGCCGCGGGGGGTTGGAGGGGGGAGGAGAGGAGGAGGAGGGGGAGGAGGAGGACAGGAAGAGGAAGGATGCAGATGACGGCAGCAGCGTGAACAGTGGTAGCAGTAGTAGTTGAAGCAACAGCAGGAGTGGTAACAACAGTGGTAGCAGTTGAAGCAGCAACAGCAGCAGCGGTAGTTGAAGCAACAACAGCAGCAGCAGCTTCCAAGAGGAGCAGGAGCATCACAGGCAGCAGCGTCAGTAGTAGCCATCGCAATAGCAACAGCAGCAGATGGAGCAGCAGCTTCCAACAGGAGCAGCAGCAGCAATAACACGGATAGCATCAGCAGCAGTAGCCATAGCAACAGCAGCAGCAACAGCAGTGGTGGCAGCAGCATTAATGGCACCAGCTGCAATAACGGAATCAGCAGTGGCGAAGACAACTTAATTTGAATAGGTCGGGTGATTGTGGTCATCATCACCATTAAAGATAAAGATCCCCTGTATAGCCTTAACTTACTGTTGGGGCAAGTGCTGTCAGCGGGTAGCACCTGTAAAAGGCCGCCACGGCACACGAGGAGGTGGGTGGCCAGCACCACGCCCGACCGTTTTCCCAGTGGCGATGTTTACACAACGCACCAGCTACTGATTTGAGGCTGAGTCGACCTAGGGGGATGCCCAGGACCGGTTCAGATAATCGCTATCACTGGTGTTGGCCTTGAGCGGAAATCAAACCCGGGCCGCCGGGTTCGTAAGCGCAGCACGCTCACCGCTACACTACCGCTCTCCATCACCACCACCACTGTCATCACCGCGACCACCATCATCAACACCACCACCACTACTACCATCATCACCAGCCACCAACATTATTATCACTATCATCACCACCATCAACAGCGCGACAAAAATATAAAATCAGCTTTAATCGGTGTATGTTTTGTACATGTATGTAGATATTAAAGCCTGTATTTACATCAACACCGATCCAGAGTCTCTCCTCTCTGGCCCTCGTGGTTTTGCACGGGCAACATTGAAGCCTGATCAGCGGCAGCCACGACCTGTCCACTGCTGGATTAAGGCCTCCCCATGGCGTCACCGTCACGATCGTTCCCTGCGAGTCCACGTTGCCACCTGCACAACGACCCGTTCGCGCCATCGCCACCATCCACTGCAGCGGACTTCCTCCTGGCCAGTTGAACACCTCGTAAGGAGGGTTTCGCGACCAATATCCAGAGGTTTTTTTCCTTTGGGTTAGACCACGTAAATATAAATGTGTCATTCTTTGGTTTTTTCGGTAAAGTCACGTATAAAAATAAAATAATAAATTAAATAATAGCATACGACGTTTCGATTGCAACACAAGCAATCATCAGGTATAATGAAATTGCGACATAGAATATAACCAGAAAACTATAGACAGACATATAAGCAGACAGATATCACCAAGATACATAGAGAGAGCAACCCAGGTACAGAGAGAGGTGATCGTCTCTGTGGGGTGGCCTTAAATAGACAGAGGGGGGCGGAGGCAGAGAGAGGGAGGGGGTAGGGAAAACATTTACATGTCAATGAGTACGAAGGGAGGGGAGTAAGGTAAGCAGGCTTAGAGGGAGACAGAACACACTAAATGTAAATGTTTTCCCTACCCCCTCCCTCTCTCTGCCTCCGCCCCCCTCTGTCTATTTAAGGCCACCCCACAGAGACGATCACCTCTCTCTGTACCTGGGTTGCTCTCTCTATGTATCTTGGTGATATCTGTCTGCTTATATGTCTGTCTATAGTTTTCTGGTTATATTCTATGTCGCTATTTCATTATACCTGATGATGATTGCTTGTGTTGCAATCGAAACGTCGTATGCTATTATTTAATTTATTATTTTATTTTTATACGTGACTTTACCGAAAAAACCAAAAAATAATTCCTGCAGTCACGAAAGCTCCAAAATTAAGATATAAATGTGTCATTAAAGCCGCCACCAGCCGACACAGCCAATCACTAAGGTTCGTCACGTAAACCAACAACAACGTTTACAATTTGAGTGCCATGACGTTTCGCCGGTAATTACAACAACAATCGGCATGGTCAGGCGACAGCCACGAGCTGTGGAGAGATCCTCCTCTTTGGTCTTTGGCCGTGCTCCGTACTTCGGCGGCCACTCCCGACATGAGCCTCGACCCCCCCCCGCCCCCGACCCCCCGGCCGACCGTCGTCCCTCCTGGCCGCGATGCGTCCTTCCCAGGTCTCCTCCCCTTCACATTCGCGTAAATCTCTTCGCTTTCAACGAGCTCCCACGAACCGGGAAACTCTCGGCCAAACTCGAGAGGGCTGCAGCAAAACGGCCTCCGCCGAACACCCCCCCCCCCGCAACCCCGAGAGATCACGCGTGCCTCTCGCCGAACGCGATGGCCTGCGTGCGAGTGTCGTACACCGCCCTCGCGCCGTGCCCCGACCGCGCCAGCGCTTGCTGCGGCGTCACGGCCCCCACCCCGGGCCCCCCCCCGCGGGACACCGCCTGGGAGGGCGAGGAGAAGGGAGAGCGGAGCGGCGAGGCCCGGGGGGAGGAGGCCCCCGAGGACGTCGAGGCCGCCCTGCGTTGCTGCCGCTCGAGGTTCCTCGCCTGGAGGCGCCGCAGGAGGAGGGTGGCCTCCGCCAGGGCGGCGTCGAGGGGCTGGCGGTGGTCCTCGCCGTGCTCCTCGTCGCCGCGGCGTCGCGAGCGACCGCCGTCCAGGGTTCTTGCTCGCCGGTCGGCGAGGGCGTCCGCGCCGCGAAGGCCTCCGCCCACAACGGTAGCTCCTGCCGGATTGTCGCCGCGGCCGGCGGCGGCGGCGACATCGATGGCGCCGCCTCCGACGGTGCCACGGCCACCGCCGCCGCGTTCGTCCAGGCGACGCTCGCCGCCGCGGTCGAGGGATGCTCCGCCTCTCCCACGGGCACCTCCGTGACCTTCGACGGCTCGTCCGCCTTCTCTGCTGCCAACTCCGATGCCACCAACTCCTCCATAGCCAACTCCGCAACCTCTTCTGCTCATGCCGCCGCCACCACCATCACCACCAACCCTCGGATCTCCCGGAACATCGATGCCCCCTTCAGGTTCATGACCAAGACCACGGTGACCCTTTCTGACACTGCCTCTTCCTCCTCTTTCATCGTCGCCTCTGGGAGCTCTCCCAATACCACTGCCACCACCAACCACTCTCCGATCATCACCACCGCCATCGCCACGTCCATGACAAACTCCGTGATCTCTTTCAGTGGCGCCGCCCCCTCCAGCACCATATCTTTCTCCTCTGATGACACCGATGCCTCCTTTGTAATTGTCTCGGTGGCCTCCGTAACTACCCGCCCTTTGACCGTATTCGCCGCCGTCGCCCGGTCCTCCGTGGTCACCTTCCAAGCCACCAACGGCGCCAGCGCCGGCAGCGAGGGGCGCCTGCTGCCGCCTGCTGGCTCCCAGCCTCCGTTTGACGTCCCTGAAGTTCGCACTTGTTTCTGTCTGGCGTGTGGGAGGCGTCGGCTCCGGCGGATGTGAGAGGCTGTTGTCGTTGCTAATGCTGCCGTTGTTGTCGCTGCTGCTGATGTTGTCGTTGCTGATGCTGTCGTTGTTGTCGCTGCTGCTGTTGCTGTCGTTGCTGATGCTGCTGTTGATGCCGCCGCCGCTGCTATTTTTACGCAAGCGACGACTGCTCGGTTCTGCAAGAGAGGTTTGCGAAGCGGCCGTCAAGATTAGTCGTAACTGGCGTCGTCATAAACCCCCCCGCCCCCCCCCCCCCCTGATCAGATACCCGGACTCGGAGACGAGAAGCCAGGACCTCGGTGGCGCTGGCTCAGCATCACCAAACCCGCAGTGGGAGACCCACACACCCCATGGCCCGAACCTGAAAGGTCAAGGGCTAGCGGGCGAAGTGTCTCTGCACATGGCCAAGCTGTTTCCATTGTCGTCCTTACCCGCCCGCCCGCACCTCCGATGAGCACGTTGGGCTACGTACGGCGCAAAAGAAGTTCAACGCACGCACATAGACTCACATAGTCACTCAGCCACTCTCACAGTCACTCACCGACACACTCGCCCATCCGATTAGCACGCTTGGCCACGCACGGCACTCTAGAAGTTCAACACGCAGTAACGTCTCCACATCGTGAGCTGGCCGGCGCTGCCTACCGCGTGGCAGCGCCGGCTCGGTCGTCTCCGAGATGCCCATCGCGGCCGCCCGTTTTTACCGCTGCTGTCATGGCGGTGGTATCGGGCGCGCAGGGCCGACAGCCGGTCGCCCCCGAAGGGCTGGTAGTGCCGGGAGGAGGACGAGGGCGGCGGCGTGGCGGAGGTGGCGGAGGTGGCGGAGGTGGCGGAGGCGTCTCGGTTGAGCAGTCGGGATCTCAGCGCCGCACGCAGCAGGGAGCGGACGGCAGAGACGCAGGCGGAGCGCCGGGACGGGTCGCTGGTGGGAGAGGGGAGGTGTGGGTGGCGGCGGGCAGCGGTAGGATCATCGCCAACATCGTCAGCGGCTGGGTTGGTGGTGACAGCATAGAGCGTCGTCATGGGGATCACCGGCAGGCGTAGTGGTGTGTGGTAGTTGTGCGGTAGTTGTGCGGTAGTTGTGCGGTACTTGTGGTAGTTGTGGTCGCGGCCTCACCGTCCCTGCAGCGTGAAGGTCTCCGCCGGCCTCGCTCCCCGCGCCGCGTGCCTCAGCTCCCACACGGCGCTCCGCCCGCCGTCTGCACGGAGCAACACGCGGCTCGGTCACATTCCGTGAACTAGTAACTCATTGGGCACGTTCTGTTTATGTGACAACCATGTCCTGTCGAGTGGTGGTGGCGGGGTATAACGACAGACACAATTATATATTTACGCAATCTAACCCCCCCCCCCCCCAAAAACAAAAAACCCGAGCAATGCGACTACGTGTTTAAACCCCGGCAGCGTTAACCGGGGTGGCCGCTGGGCTCAAACCCTGAGCCTCTAGCGGTGTCGCGGCCACGCGCCGATTGGTGCGACGACGATCGGCCCGGTGGGGGGGTTTGAACCCGTGGTGACCCCTGGGGTCGCTGGCTCGAGCTGCCCCCTGGAGCCCACGGATTGCGGCGTCGTTGGGGACTGCGGTGCGGCGCCTCTCACCGGCGCCGTGCTCCGTGTGCACCTCGAGTTGACTCGTGGGGATGAGGTGTTTGTACTTGATCAGGTCGGGCTCCTCCTGATGGGATAAACCAGACGTCACCATCAGCAGCAGCATCATCATTAAATCCATCATCAAAACCATTATCCTGAACATATTATTAAAACACGTCTATCACAACTATTATCATCATCACAGCTTTACCATCACAACTATCATCAACACCATCATCCTCACCACATCATCATAACTATCATCATCATCATCATCATAAAAATCGTCAATTGTCACCAAATCATCACATCATCATCATGTGTGTGTGGCTTTCGCGCGTGTCACACACACGCGTGGGGTGATCGCGCGCGCGTGTGTGTGAGGTGACGCGTCACAACCCAACACACTCAAGGTGACTGCGTGTGCGGTTGTGACGCGGGTCACATTCGCACACACGCGGGGTGACTGCATGTGTGTGTGTACGTGTGTGCGGTTGTGACGCGCGTCACAGCGTGCGTCTCCACCCACGCGCTTCTTGGCCCTGAGCGACCCCATGGCTGCATCCTCCTTGTACACGAGCACCACGGCCGTCTTGAACACTGCAAAGACAAAGGTACCCCGTGTAGCCTTCACCAGACTGTTGGGACAAGTGCTGCGAGCGAGTAGCACCTATGACGACCGGTACGCAAGTGCGCGCACACACATGGTGCGTACGGTGCATGTACAGCAGTCTCTCGATTATCCGCGTGCGGTTTATCCGCTATGCGGATTAACCGCGCACCTGAGATTTTGACACGAATGAATGACTCTTGGATTTTCCCTTAAGCCCAGAATATTCATCTAAAACAGCGATACATTGTGGGACCTTTCTTGGCAGTATCAAAATATAACACTCGGTTTTACCCTTTCTGGCAATAAAACAACAGTTGTGTCAAGATGTTAAAACACCAAGACAGAATCATTGTTCAAGGAATCCTGTCTGCATTAACCACACATAGTACTTGTGGTGAACATGCAAACAAAAAACACCGTGCTCTGATAATATATGATGATTTGGCGTTGAAACTGATTGGTCCACACCAGAGACAGCTTTCTTTTGAGCCTCGTCTCAAAGTGTTAGACCAGAGAACGCCAAAGGCTGTCCGCCTTATGCAGACAGGATTCCTTGAATAAGGATTCTGTTTGGTGTTTCAACATCTTGACAGTGACACATTGTTATCTTTGCAAATGTTTATTACAAGCCACGTGCTTAAACCGAACAATATGTTGCTCCGGTTAATTCGAAATCCACGTGATCGCCTCTACAGTACAGTAGTTGCCATATCTTTACAACAGTGGGCGGAGTTTGATGTTGATGTGCGTGGCTCTCTTGTCATACACTTCGTGGCTGGGAGTCTTCCGCAAACCGTGCTAATCGGAGGATGGGTGAGTGAGTGGGTGAGTGACTACGTGAGTGGGTGAGTATGTTAATGGGTGAGTGTTTGGGTGAGTGACTGAGGGAGTGAGCAGGAGTGAGGGGTGCCGGATGGGTTCGTGGTGGCGACGGGGTGAGGCTAGCCTGAGAGTCTGAGTTGATGTTCGAATCCCGTGTTAGTGATCGTGGTCAGTGTGACCCTCGGGGTTGGAGCCGGTGTTCAGAGCTTGCGTCACGTGATACAGTGCGAGTGGTAACACAAAGCATTGAGCGTAACAATATTTTACATATTCCGTAATGCTGGACATTCATTGTGTATAAGGACCAAATCCCCACGTGCAGCCACTACACCGAGTAAATAAAAAAACCCTCCTCCCAGGGAAATATCTAAAATGAATAAACAAAATTGAGAATTGGCACCCAAACAACAAAAGCGCAAACAAAGAAATTCTGTCACATCCCAGCATCGCTCGGAGTCTCGCCAGGGTTTTAGACCAGGCCACATCATCGTCATGGTCGATCCACTGCTGGCCACATCATCGTCATGTGCCCAATACTGGATGCACATGGGGAGGAGATGTGTTGGTGCCGCAGGTCGTGTTGGAGGAGTCTTGAAACGATTTTTTGGTAACCAGGTAAGGTCCCACCGAGCTACGTAGCTTTTTTTCAGAAGCGTCCTGGCCACAAATAATAGCTCAGCGAAGTGTCCTGTCACAGTGTGGAAATTTACAGCAGCTGGCTAATATAAGGGCACGTTGATTCTAAATGTGGAGGGGAAAACCCGGAGGAAAATCCACGCGACCACGGGGAGAGAGAGAGAGACACGCAAACTACAAATATACAGCAGGCGTCAGGGTCGAGATCGAACCCACGACCCCCTGTATACCGGGCGAGGTAGTTAACATCTCCTGGCCACGGTGGCGCCCCTCCAGTCGGTGCCAGGGTCCGTACCGAAGACTCTCGCGCCCAGGCCGTGCCGCCACTGTGCCGAGCGGACGAGCGGAGCGGGCGGGTTGAGCCAGCACACGTGCTCGTCCAGCAGCAGGTCGCCCATCGACAGGTCCACGACCTGTACGGGGTGGGGGGGGCGGACACGGGGGGGCGGGACACATGGGGTGGAGGGGGACAGAGAGGGGACATGTGGGGTGCACATGGGGTATACAGGGGGGGGGCACAGGAGGGGGCACGGGGGGGGGGAGACACACAGAGGGATACGTGACGGGGACAAAGGGAGATGGGAACACAGACGAGGACATACGAAGTGGGAGAGAGGGAGAGGCGGTGTAGATGGCGTCACTGGAGCGCCGCCATCCCGATCGCCGTCACGTGCCGCAATCGCCCTTCTCTTCCTTCTTCCCCTTGAATCTGTCGATGCCTCGCCAAGTCTCCAGACTCCTCTCTTTGACCAGAAGGTGGGCTTCCGCAGGGAGGGTTGGGGGGCGATGGTCGCCGCGGCAGGCGGGACTTTTGAACGCGCGCAAAACGGCGTCGTGAAGAAAGGTGGAGCGCGGGGGGCGTCGAGAGAACGGCGTGGCGGAGATCTTCTTCGTTGGCGCTGCCGTGGCCCTGGTACGCGGCGGAGAGTGCAGCAGCTACCTCTGTGACGAGCGGCGAACGCCCCGGCCGGTTGGTGAACAGTTGGTGAACGTTAGTGAACAGTTTGTGAACGTTAGTGAAGAGTTGGTGAATATTTGGTGAACAGTTAGTGGATAGTTGATGAACAGTTAGTTAACGTCAGTGAACAGTTGATGAACAGTTGGAGAATGTGAGTGAACAGTTGGTGAACAGTTGGCAAACACTTGGTGAAGGTCAGAACAGTTAGTGAGCAGTTAGTGAACAGTTAGTGAACAGTTGGTGAACGTACCTCGTCTCCCGAAGGCTGCTGGGCAGAGAGCTGGTGAAACGCTTCTCCGAATTCTTCGAAGAGCCGCTGAGCGTTGTTGATCTGCCCGGCCACCTCCTGCATCACGCGCTGGGCCTCTGCCAGAGACAAAACGTCGGTCCCCAAACCACTCACCCACCCAAACCACTCACCCACTCATTCACACACTTGCTTAGCCAACCACTCACCCACTCACTCATTCATACATTCAACCACTCACTCACCCATCCCCCGACTCACACACTCACACACTCACCCACTGAACCACTCATTCACCCACCCACTCACTCGCACCCACTCACTCGAAACATTTCCGCTTTCGGTTTCTCCCCTCCCTCCAGTAGAAGGCATCTGGCCCACTCCTCCACTGGAAGAAGTGGGAGTCACCCACTCTTTACCCCACCACACACGGGCCTGCCCATCGGCCGCGGTCGCACCCATCGACGCTGATTGATCCGAATCTTTATTGGGGGGGGGGGGGGGGGGGGTGCCGGCAAGTTAACCCGCACTTCCGGACGGCCCCCCCGAGTCGCACGGCCCTCTTGTTTGTCAAACTCGCCCCCCCCCCGCCTGCCTCGCCTCCCCCCGCTCCCGGCAGGAGTTGGCGCGGTCCTCACCCGCCATGTGGTAGCGCTCCTCGCTGTCCGGCTCGGTGGGTGACACCAAGCTGTGCAGCAGCAGCGGGTACTTGAGCACGCGCTGGATGGGCTTGATGAGGAGGGAGGGCAGCGAGGAGGCGTGCTGGCCGTCGGGGTTCAGCCGCTTCAGGGCGGCGGCGAGAGCCGGCTCCTCGGAGGCTGACGGCGCACAGCGACGACGACAACATCAACAATAACGTCAACAATAACGTCAACAATAACATCAACAACAGCGGTAGCAACAGCGACAATAGCAGCAACAGTAACAACATTAGCAACGACGATATCAGCGGCAAGATCAACAACGTTAACAGCAACATTAGCAACATCAACAATAACATCAACAACATCAGCGGCAACATGAACAACAGCAGCAGCATCGAAAACAACTTCAACATCATCAGAAACAACAACGACGACGACGCCACCAAGAGCAAGGGCCACAACAAGGAGGTTGGCCCCAAGCGGCAGGGCGGATGACTGCGCCGTGCCGCTCACGGTCAACAGTCAATAACAACAACAACAACATCCACAATAGAGGCTTGTTTTGGGTTAGATCACGCAGTAAATATGAATGTGTTGTTAAACCCACCACCACCCGACACAGCCAATGAGTAAGGTTTGTCACGTAAACAGAACATGGCAATTCGTTACGAGTACAGCAACACCGGTTGTGTGTTAGAGAGTAAAACCCACGACATTTGCAATTCGAGTGAGACATTTCGCCAGTACTTACAACCAGTGGCGGCTCCTGCAAAATCTCTCAGGGGGGGCAAATGTCTGGATGATTGATAAGGATAAGGTCCACCCATGCAATGGATAAATTAACAGCTTAAGCATGTAAAGGCAACTTCACTTCTTTAATATTAATGAAAAATAAAGTGACTCTTACAATACATCTTGTTTGTTTCTATACTCACTATTAATACAATCCACTCAAGTTTCTTTTATTAAAGATTCCACTAGGTGGCGACATTATATTGTTGGATGAAACGTGCTTACGTATGATGACGTAAGCACGTTAGTGCGAGCCCTCCCGGAAGCCATAGAGAATGCATTGCAGCGCCCCCCGTTCGAAAAAAAACTTATTTGAATGTAAGTCTATGGGGCCACTCGGGGCGATTCTCAGCCGGAGTGAAATCGCCCAAAAAGAGGCGGTACTCCACAGAACGTGACATGATGCTGATTGGACTATATCCAGAGGCACAGTGACGGCTAGCGTGACTCTGTGGTTGAATGACATTGGTGGTGCGTCGCCCAATCGCCCTAATGAAGAAACCGCCCCTGCTTACAACCAGCATCATCAGGCGACAGCCATAGTTGTGGAGAAATCCTCCTGTTTCGTTCTTAAAAACGTGACAAACGCCTTACTAATTGGCTGCGTCGGGCGGTGGCAGGTTGAATGATGCGTTTATATATTTACGCGAAACTAACCCATAAAACCTCTTACGGATAATATTGGTTATGTGTGCCTACCACGTGTTAAACATGGCGGCAACAACAACGAGACTTGCCACGTGTGCCTACCACGTGTTAAACATGGCAACAACAACGATACTTGCCACGTGTGCCTACCACGCGTTAAACATGGCAACAACAACGATACTTGCCACGTGTGCCTACCACGTGTTAAACATGGCAACAACGACGATACTTGCTGCCGTGTGCTTCGCTCGCGAGAGAGCGGTGCCACGCGCTACTGAAAATTCCTCAGTTGGCATCTTAACAGGGCCAGGTCGCCCCCACGTTTGGCAGGACCCTCTTGAAAACGAGTGGAATAATAATACGTAAATAAAGCTCCCGGCCACAACCATCAATGTTGATGATGGACCCTTAATGGATTATTGATGGATCGTCAGTGATGATGATTGACTGGGATGAATGGTTATATGGATAGACGGATGATGACGATGATTGATTGATCAAGAGATCGATGATTGTTGTTGCCGACGACGTTGATGACGACGATGACGACGACGGTTGATCAGCTGGACTGGTCGGATGGTCCAAGCCAATTGGAGCTTAATCCGATTCCCAGCCGTGGACAGATGACGTGGTTGGCAAGTGGTACCAGAGCCTGGCCCGGGCCTCCCCTAGGTCCGTGCAGCCTTAAAACGCGCGTCAACACCGGTACAGGGGGGGGCGACAGGCGGCCCAGGGCGTTCGCAACGACACCGCCCCCGCCTCGTGCACAGGCTGCACGGGGGACCTGTGCCTCATCCGTGTTGTTGCGTCCGAGTTGTTGCGTCCGAGTTGTTGCGTCCGTGTTGTTGGGTCCGTGTTGTTGCGTCTGTGCATCACCTGTGCGCAGGCAGCTCTGCGTGCGCGCGTGACTGGCACAGTACGCGCTGTACAGGCGGAAGCGCTCCGAGAAGAAGAGGAAGGAGCCACCCAGCGAGAAGAGCACGCGCTGTGGGTGGGAGGGGTAGAGACACGGGGGGGGGGGGGGGGGTGGGACATGGGGAGAGAGACGTGGGGACAGTGATGGGGAGACAAGGAGAGACACTGAGAGTTATGGGGAGAGGCACGTGGAGAGCCACACATGAAGAGACATGGGGGGAAGGCCATTAGGATGCAGAGGGAGAGATATGGGGAGAGATATGGGGAGAGACATGGGGAGACTGGGAGAGACACGAAGGTGCACAGAGAGACAGAAGCATACGGAGGCGCAGGGAGGCGGAGGAAGACACGTGGAAGATAGGGACATGGAGAGGGGGAGACAAGGATGAGGAGGGAGGAGGAGGCATTGCCTTCTGGTTTACTGAGAGAGAGGAGATCAGAGAGGGAGGAGGCTCCGTCACCTTGAAGTCGGCGGGTGACTGTAGGTTCTGGAAGTCTGGTGCTAGGTCCATCCCTTGTCTCAGAGTGGCGACAAACTCTTGGTGGAAGGAAATTAGCTCGTGCAGAACGGACAGCACCGAGTCCAACTACACGACACACGTACAGGGACACCCGTACTTACGAACGAGTCAAGTTTCAGAGGTCTGTTCGTAAGTCCCAACTTTACACCTGTCGATTACAAACGGGTTGTACGGCATGTACACGGGGAATGGCTATAAAAGTTGTAAAATCTCCTGGAGATGTAGATGCCACTGGTTCTTTACGTTCTGCAGATGTAGATGCCACTGGTTCTTTATGTTCTGCATATGTAGATGCCACTGGGTGTTCATGTTGAGCAGATGTCGATGCCACTGGGTGTTCATGTTGAGCAGATGTAGATGCTAATTCCCTTTGGTGCTCGTGTTTTCTCTCTGCTCTCTTAAAAAAAACCTACCAAGAGATGTCTGCACAGTGGCTCTCTTCTTCTCTTCACAAATCCACTTGTGACAGACGATAGCATCGTGGACAGCTGCTGACACCTGAGTAACCCTTGCAGTGTTTGTGTCCTGAGACTCAAAACAAGGCGGTGCCTTCTCAATCACGCTGAAACCTGCAGTCAGCTGATCGGTGTCGAACCCTTGGGGTTGCTCAGCCTCCTGTTCCTCATCAGTTGACCTCATCCTCCACCCTGTCACACCCAACAAACGCCGCCATCTATTGCGCGGCCGTTGAACATTACGATTCTCGGTCCGAAAAGGCAACTTGGGCCGTACGAACCAGGATTATTCGTGTCTCGGAAAGTTCGTAAATCGAATGCTCGTAAGTAGAGGAGCCTCCTAACACATAATCTTTAGAATATTTCTATAGACTGGAATAATCCGACGAGCTATGAAGCTCTTTTTCACACATATCCAGTATCGAGAACGGGGTCAGAAGGGCACAACAACAAACAGTACAAAAACACGATAGGAGTACGAAGTTTAGTAAGGTTAAGGAAGTCACTAAAAATTCATAGAGTATATAAATTCGCAAACACGAGACAGATACACACGCTCACAGGACGCACAGGCAGCAACACACGTCTGCAAAGTTCGAAATGTAATTTAATGCCATTTATATAAGTGTAGGGGTGTCAGGGGAAGGATTCCCACCAATAGGTGGGTTAGTGGGAGGGGTGATCGAGGAGATATAAGGAGAGAACGGGCGGGAAGAGGGGGCCTTTGGCGGGAACGATATGGGACGGCTGGGGGACAGGTGTGGATGGAAGAAAAGGAATAAAGGACGAGACCCCTGCAATCTGGTGTCGGCTCCTCCTTTACATAAGTGTAATAACAGCCATAGAGGGTTCACGTGGGGATTGGCTTGCCGGTCCTGCTTTGTAGCCAATAAGGGTTGAGACAGGGAACATGGCCTCTGCGTGATTGTGGCGTGTTAGCAGGGGGGAGTGGCCTGGCCATTCGGGGCCCCAGCTAATGGGGAGCCGGATCAGAGGCGTGGTCCCGGGATTGACAGGTAACCATCGAGAACGGTGAATGCTGTCTACGGAGGATTGGCTGGGGGGTACCACGTGACGAAGGGATTAAGAGAGAGAGAGAATGATCGAGAGCAGACTGGGGAACGAGCAGAGCAAGAGCCACGCGCGTACGGGGGCTCTAGGTGCCACGTGCGCGGTGGGAACTTGGTGTGAAGTCTGCCCGCTCTCTGTTGTCTGCCGGCAACGGAGAGTGTGTGAGTAAAGTGTATTGTGGAAGTGGAAATAAAAAGGACCGATTCCGAAGCCGTCTCAGAAGGATTATTACATAAGCATGCGAGTGGTCCAACAGACAACTTTTACTGACCCTGACACCCGGTCTCAAGACACCGACCCTGACACTCGGTCTCAAGACACCGACCCTGACACCCGGTCTCAAGACACTGATCCTAAAACCAGGTTTTCGGAAACTACGTCTCCAGATAAATCAGCTGAATCGGAACCTCCGGTGCGATTCATACCTCAAGGTGAGTGAAAAATTCCTCCAGCTGTAAAGGTTCAAGATAATGATCTCGTAAATCTATCAGGTCCTGTGAAAGCAAAAAAGAACAACAATGATCAGTGGCCTGAGGCCATGAAACTCTCCAAATGAGAACCGCATCTGGTCATTTCTGACGTGTAACTGCTGCTGCTGTGCTTCTGCCTGATGCTGCCTGCTGCTACTGCAGTGCAGCTGAAAAGAGACTCAATTAAGCTTTCCTGTAAAAGTACTTGGCATTATTATTATAACAATGACCGACGATTGTTTTGAACCCAGGGGTCTGACCCAGTCTCTCACCAGTGGTGGCTCGGTGTCTCTGACGCGGCCAGAATGAGCCCTATGAATGAGAGAGATTTCTCGAACGATGACTTGAACGTCACCACTCTCTCGCTGACATGAGCCCTCTAAGATAGGGACACTAAGACCCAGGACTTGAACCCAGAATCTCAGCACTGCTGGTTCAGTGTGTCCGACACGGCCATTATGAACCCCTGGCACCTGGATGTAGGAGCCCTCCGTGTCCACGAGCTCCAGGATTCCCTTGCGGAGTCGATCGGCTTCCGAGAGCCGCCCACTTGCTCTCGTGGCAGCCATGGCCTCTGGGATAGGGAGGTCAGGGTTCAAGGTAGAGTCAAAAATCTGTTTCAATACAGTGCCAAAATCGACACAGTACAAGAAGAAGTGTAATAAGTGGCTCCAACACGGCAGAACTTTACTTAATATTTATTAATAGTTCTTTCACAGCCACGACTCCTCTCGTTACGCGGATGCCGTCGTTCCTTTTTGGTGTGACTGCGCTGCCCCGCAACCACGTGGCGCTCACCCCGATCTCCACCGCACCGCTGGCTGGCGGCGCGCTGGGGAGCGGCTGAGCAGTTGGAGGTCGAGCCGCCACATGGCTGGTGGAAATGGGGGGGCAGCAGCGACGTGGAGCTCCTCTTCGATCTTCAACCACCGACCCCGAACCTTCCGCTACCCCCCGCTTTTATTCCCTTTTCCGAGGCTAAGCCCCGCCTCTGGCCACGCCCCTCGAGGAACCTTCGAGAACGTTCCAGAGGCTTCCATGCTAGCTCCGCCCATTAACCTTTCCCCCAGATAGAACCCGACTACTGATAAGGCGTGGACTGTACGACAGTGTGTAAAGTGTAACCCCTCAATTATGCAGGAGATGGCGCTCGCTTATTACAGAAGTCTTATCGGTATTTTGTTTCACCCCGCGAAAGAAGTTCAACATACACAGAGTACATAGACCAACATAGTCACTCACTGATCCTCCGATTAGCACGATCGGCTACGTACGGTGCGAAAAAAGTTAAACGTACACGCATAGACTCACATAGTAACTCACCCACTCACATAGTCACTCACCCACTCACTCGCCCATCCACGCACGGTTGGCTGCGTACGGTGCAAAAGAAGTTCAACGCACACGCATAGACTCACATAGTCACTCACCCACACCTCCGATCAGCACGGTCGGCTACGTACGGTGCGAAATAAATGAAACGTACACACAGTGCATGACGCACGGCGATTGTTGTTGTTGCTGCTGCTGCCGCTGTGCAAAGTCGAGGAGCGCGTGTTGTTCTGTCGGAAGTCACGTGGGCGATTGCGTGTGAGGGCTTGCGCGCACGTGCGCGGTGACGTGACGAAGGAGTCGCCGCTGGCCCCCTCGCTCGCTCCTCTCTCGCTCGCTCCACGCCGAGCACACGACCGCTTTGCGCGAGGTGATAAGAGCGTGACTGCGTGTGATCACGGGTGTGTCAACAAGGGTGTGTGTGTGTGGAGTGGTGGGGGGTGGTGAATACAATGGCAGTGTTGTGTGTGATTACCTGTGTGTGTTTGTGTACCTTGTGTGTACCTGTATGTGTGTACCTGTGTGTGTACCTGTGTGTGTACCTGTATGTGTGTGTACCTGTGTGTTTGTGTACCTGTGGGTGTGTGCACCTGTATGTGTACCTGTGTGTGTACCTGTGTGTGTGTGTGTACCTGTGTGTTTGTGTACCTGTATGTGTTTGTGCACATGTGTGTTTGTGTACCTGTGTGTACCTGTGTGTGTTTGTGTACATGTGTGTTTGTGTACATCGGTGTTTATTGTACCTGTGTGTGTGTACCTGTGTGTGTACCTGTGTGTGTGGAGGCCTTCATAGGTGCTGCTACTCGGTATCAGCACTTGCCCTACCAGTCTGTTCAGGTTACACGGGTGATCTTTGTGCGGGGAGCGGTGGTGTAGCGGTTAGCGCGCTGCGCTACGAACCCGGCGACCCGAGTTCGATTTCCGCTCACGACCAACGCCAGTGACGATTATCTGAACCGGTCCTGCTCCCCCTTTAGGTCGATTCGGCCTTAAACGCCTACTTGCTGCGGTGTGTAAACATCGCCGCTAGGTAGACAAAGGCGGCCGGGCGTGGTGTTGGCCACCCACCCCCTCGTTTGCCGTGCCGGTCTTCATAAGTGCTACTCGCTAACAGCACTTGCCCCAACAGTCCGTTACAGGCAATACGGGAGATCTTTGCCTTTGTGTGTTTGTGTACGTGTGTGTGTGTATAAGCGCGTGTGTGTGTACGGGTGTTATATTAAAAGTAAGAGTAGAGTACAGTGTGTGGTGTACGTGTGGTATGCGTGTGTGGAGGTGTTCCACTCAGCTCTTGCATGCCTCTGCCTGCGTCTTAACACGAACGCTCGCTCACTCAGGCTGACAAGGCTATGCGTGGCTGTGCGTGTATAGGTGTGTATGTGTGTGTGTAGGTATGTGTGGCACAAGCGTCGTGGTGACTTCACCGCCATTTAGTGGCTAATGGCGGTTGTTGTTGTGTAGGTGTGTGTGCGTGGGTGTGTGTGTATTAAATATAAATATGTAACAAATAAGCTTGTGCCGGAGGCCCCGGGGGGACAGGCGTCTATGACGTCTCCTGGCCAAACCCCAATTGGCAGAGCCGGGAGATTGAATCTTCACCCTCGGAGCTCCTCCAGAAACAACGAAAGGCCACTACGGATGGCCACGTGGAATGTTCGAATGCTCACTGCAGAGGAGAGGCTGCCACTCCTCTGTCGGGAGCTGGACTGGTACCGCCTAGATCTCTGTGGCATTCAGGAGGTCCGGTGGACCGGTTCCCGCTCCTGCCACCATGAGGGGTGGACAGTCCTCTCTCTACTCAGGGCAGGAGACTGCCAAACAACAGGGTGTGTCTCTTCTTCTGAACAAAAAAATTAAGGGGGCGTGGGAGCGTGGCGGTGAGGTGTGGGAAGTTGTAAGCCCCAGGATACTTTGGGCTCGCCTTCCCATCAACCGGAGGCGAGGAGTGGTGGTCGTGGTTACTTATGCCCCCACCGAAGACGAACATCCGTTGAGGGATGCAGGCAAAGCCGATGAGTCAGATGCCTTCTATGACCTCCTGTCACAGGTGCTGGCTAAAGTGGCCACTCGGGACAGAGTCATCTTGTTGGGTGACTTCAATGCCCGAGTTGGTCATGATGCTGGCACCTGGTCTGGAGTGATTGGAAGGCATGGGTCAGATCAGCTCAATAACAACGGTAGGAGGCTGCTAGATTTTTGTGCAGCCCATGGGCTTGTAATTACCAATACGCTCTTCCGGCATCGGCGCATCCACACAACATCATGGATGCATACCGGGTCCAAGCAAGAACATCTGCTGGACTACATAGTGATGGACCAGCGGATGCGAGCCCATGTCCTTGACACCAGGACCTACCGTGGAGCTGATCTGCCCTCTGACCATCGACTGGTCATCTGTAAGATGCGCCTGCCATTCTTCCATTCCGGTGGTGGGTGTACACCCAAGACCCCATTCCAACCTAAGGTGGCCTGGTCTCAGTTAGCTGATGAAAGTTGCAAGCGAGAATTTCATCATCGTTTGCGGCTGGGGTTCGCATCATCCCCCACTCCTCCTGATGTCGAGGGTAAATGGGCGAGGTTTAGGACTGTGACTCATTCAGCTGCAATGGCTGCTTTGGGTACGCGGTCCAGACCTCCCCAGAAACCCTGGCTGACAGAGGAGGTGTTCAGGATAGTTGAGAAAAAGCGACAGGCCCACTCTCATCGGCTACAGCATCCCACGTCAGAGAATGAGGAGGCTTACCGCAGCCTTCGCTCGGAGGTTCGGAGAGCCGTAAGGCGGTGCAAGGATGGTGGTGGTCGCGAGTTGCTGAGGAGATGGAGTCTGCCTCAGTGACCCGCGATCACAAATCACTATTTAACTCCATCAAAAAAGTACCCTGCAGCGACACACCTATTACCACCATTAGGGGAAACAATGGTGATCCAATCTCCGACCCCCAGGAACAGGTTTGCAGATTTGCTGAACATTTCTGTGAGGTCCTGGGGGAGGGGAAATCCCTCAGCCAGGAAAATATCATGGCACAAAGTGGGGATAACCCTGCTGAGGCTGCGGTGCCTCAAATATTGGAAGAAGCCAGCCCCTGTGAGTGGCTGGCTGAGGTGCCATCTGTTGAGGAAGTACTGAAGGCGATCCGGAGTCTGAGACCAGGAAAGGCACCGGGCAGAGATGATCTCCCAAGCGAAATGCTGAGGGAGGGTGGCGTTTGTGCACAGACTGCCCTACATGATATCGTAACAACAGTCTGGACGACTGGACGGGTTCTGCAGGATTGGAAGGATGCCCTGGTGGTCCCCCTCTTTAAGAAGGGGGACCACACAGACTGTAACAACTACAGGGGCATCTCACTCCTCAGTGTGCCGGGAAAGGTCCTGGCAAGGATTATTCAACATCGCCTTGCTAGGCACGCTGAGGAGAGGCTTGCAGAGCCCCAATGCGGTTTCAGGAAAGGGCGGTCCTGCACAGATGCCATATTTTCTATCCGTCTACGACAGCAGAGGTGTAGGGAATTCCAACAAGACCTACATCTCTGCTTTATTGACCTGGTCAAGGCCTATGATACCATCAGTAGGCCTGGGCTCTGGGTTGTTATTCGTGCTTTCGGAGTCCCTGACCCTCTGCTCACGATCATTAAGGACCTGCATGATGGTGAGCGGGCCCGAGTAAAACTACGTGGCCGGGAGTCAGAGCCATTCCCTGTACACCTTGGGGTGCGACAGGGATGTCCTCTGGCTCCCACATTATTTAACATCTATTTTGACCACGTAGTTCGTGAAGCCTTCAATAGCTATACCGGGGGAATTTCCATTCGGTACAGATATAATGGGAGGCTGATCCATGCCCGGGTGCGGTCAAGGGATGGCTCCCTATTGGTCAACCACGTTATGTATGCCGATGATTTGGTAATTGCTGCCCATTCAGAGGAGGAGTTGGAGACGCTTCTGCTGAAACTGGAGTGTGCCACTAAGAGGTGGGGCCTTACCATCAGCCCCACCAAAACGAAGCACCTGCCTGGGTATTTTGTACCATCGGACACTCCACCCCCACAACTCCCAATCGGTGATGTGGCAGTTGTGGAGAGAGTGGAAAGTTTCCTATACCTGGGCAGTGTGCTAATGACCGGCTCCGGTTTAACAGCGGAGGTCTCACTCCGAATCAGCATTATCTTTTCATCGGTTGTGTAATGCTGTGTGGAAGCTGCCTGGTGTGTCGCTCCGCACAAAGCTTCAGGTCTTCTCGGCCACAGTCATTCCCTCCCTTCTCTCCGCTTGCGAAACGTGGACCCCCCTAATGGAGCATCTTCGCTGGTTAGAAACATTTAGTTTGGCCTGCCTACGATCCATTCTGGGTTTAACCAGGCTGGATTGTGTGAGGAGCTCACAAATCCTTGAAAGATCTGGGCAAAGTCCCATCGGTGAGCTCCTTCGGCAGGTAAGGCTGCGTTGGCTGGGCCATGTAGCCCGCATGCTCAATCACCGCATGCCCAAACAGCTTTTGTTTGGCCGGATCGAGGGGGCAAAACGGGGGCAACACGGGCTAGAGAAGAGATGGAGTGATGTGGTACAGGAGGATGTGGAGCTGAGTGGACTTGCCAATGACTGGTATCAGCGGTGTCAGGATCGGCCTCTGTGGAGGAGGCTCGTGAAGGACGCTACTGGGCAGTTGGAGGCATTCGCCCTCCAACAACAACAGAGGGCGGAGGAGCGACGCTCACAACTCCGAGCGGAGGCCGGATGGCTAAAGCACAGCAAGTTGGCACAGTAGGGGGCACAGGTGGTGCATCAGCCAGTCATCTCGGTCATCTCAGTCAGTCGACCCGTGGCACCTGGGTCTGCCCCGTGACCTCCTGCCAGCGGGCGTTCGACACTTCACGTAGCCTCAAGGTGCACCTAGCCTGGCACAGGCGTCGTGGTGACGTCACCGACACTTCGTGGCGAATGGCGGTTGTTGTTGTTGTGTGTGTACGAGTGTGTGTGTGTGTACGCGTGTCTGTGTGTGTAAGCGAGTGTGTGTACGAGTGCCTGTGTGTGTGTACGCGTATGAGCGGTGGTGTAGCGGTTAGCGTGCTGCGCTACGAACCTGGCGACCCGAGTTCGATTCACGCTCACAGCAAACACCAGTGACGATTATCTGATCCGGTCCTGGGCCTCCCCTAGGTCGACTCAGCCTCAAATAAGTACCTGGTGCCGTGTGTAAAAAACATCGCCACTGGGGAGACAAATACGGCCCGGGCGTGGTCCTTGCCACTCACCCCTTTATAGGTGGTGCTACTCGCTAACAGCACTTTCCACAACAGTTTGTGAAGGCTATGCAGGGGATCTTTGTCTTGTTGTGTGTGTGTGTACGTGTGTGCGTGTGTACATGTGTACGTGTGTGCGTGTGTACGTGTGTGCGTGTGTACATGTGTGCGTGTGTACATGTGTGCGTGTGTGCGTGTGTACATGTATACATGTGTGCGTGTGTACATGTGTGCGTGTGTACGTGTGTGCGTGTGTACGTGTGTGCATGTGTACATGTGTACGTGTGTGCGTGTGTACATGTGTACGTGTGTACATGTGTACGTGTGTGCGTGTGTACATGTGTGCGTGTCCACATGCAGACCCACCTGAGTGCCGTGAAGCGACCTCCGCGGCGCGACCGTCAACCCCGCACCCGCCGGGGCGCATTCCAGCGAGTTGACAACAAATAAATAAATAAACGCGACCTCAACTTCGACGAGGCGAAGTTGACTTCCACCCTCTTTCCCGCCCGTGGCACCAAAACCCAAATCCGTTAGGGCGGCAGGGCGCGTCTCGGTTCGCGGTGCGGAGGCGCGGTCGGGATGGACTTTCCCGGGCGGGCGGGCGGGAGGGCTCAAGTTGGGATTGAAGACGAACACGGCGAAATGTCGAGACACAGCCGGCAAGTGCTCCACTCGTAACGAATTGGCACGTTCTGTTTACGCGGATAAAAAAAAAACCTCACTCATTGGCTGTGTCGGGTGGCGGCGGGTTTAATGACACATTTATACAGGGTGCTTAAAAAAATGGATAAAACACGATTACGAATGTATTATGGATATTGTTTGCGAAAGCTTACCACGTGTTAAACTAACGTAGAAATTATAAACTATATTTTTACGTTACCAGGTATAAGGTGTGTAGCTATTTTTTCAGAAGTGGCCTGGCTATCACAAACAGATAGCTCAACGAAGTGTGCTCATCGAGTGGACATTTATGGCAGGGATCGAACCCAAGTGCTCCTACATACCGGGCGAGGGAGTTAACATCTCGCTACCGTGACGCCCCAGATTTAGATTAACACTGGGACCAGAGACTTACATTAGCCCATAGATTAACACTGGGGTCAGAGACTTACATTAGCCCATATATTAACACTGGGGTCAGACTTACATTAGCCCATAGATTAACACTGGGGTCAGAGACTCACATTAGCCCATAGATTAACACTGGGGTCAGAGACTCACATTAGCCCATAGATTAACACTGGGGTCAGAGACTCACATTAGCCCATAGATTAACACTGGGGTCAGAGACTTACATTGGCCCATAGATTAACACTGGGGTCAGAGACTCACATTAGCCCATATATTAACACTGGGGTCAGAGACTTACATTAGCCCATATATTAACACTGGGGTCAGACTTACATTAGCCCATAGATTAACACTGGGGTCAGACTTACATTAGCCCATAGATTAACACTGGGGTCAGAGACTTACATTAGCCCATAGATTAACACTGGGGTCAGACTTACATTGGCCCATAGATTAACACTGGGGTCAGAGACTTACATTGGCCCATAGATTAACACTGGGGTCAGAGACTCACATTAGCCCATAGATTAACACTGGGGTCAGAGACTTACATTAGCCCATAGATTAACACTGGGGTCAGAGACTCACATTAGCCCATAGATTAACACTGGGGTCAGAGACTTACATTAGCCCATAGATTAACACTGGGGTCAGAGACTCACATTAGCCCATAGATTAACACTGGGGTCAGATACTTACATTAGCCCATATATTAACACTGGGGTCAGAGACTCACATTAGCCCATAGATTAACACTGGGGTCAGAGATTCACATTAGCCCATAGATTAACACTGGGGTCAGAGACTCACATTAGCCCATAGATTAACACTGGGGTCAGAGACTTACATTAGCCCATAGATTAACACTGGGGTCAGAGACTCACATTAGCCCATAGATTAACACTGGGGTCAGATACTTACATTAGCCCATAGATTAACACTGGGGTCAGAGACTCACATTAGCCCATAGATTAACACTGGGGTCAGAGACTCACATTAGCCCATAGATTAACACTGTGGTCAGAGACTCACATTAGCCCATATATTAACACTGGGGTCAGAGACTTACATTGGTCCATAGATTAACACTGGGGTCAGACTTACATTAGCCCATAGATTAACACTGGGGTCAGAGACTCACATTAGCCCATAGATTAACACTGGGGTCAGAGACTTACATTGGTCCATAGATTAACACTGGGGTCAGAGACTCACATTAGCCCATAGATTAACACTGGGGTCAGAGACTCACATTAGCCCATAGATTAACACTGGGGTCAGAGACTCACATTAGCCCATAGATTAACACTGGGGTCAGAGACTCACATTAGCCCATAGATTAACACTGGGGTCAGAGACTCACATTAGCCCATAGATTAACACTGGGGTCAGAGACTCACATTAGCCCATAGATTAACACTGGGGTCAGAGACTCACATTGGCCCATAGATTAACACTGGGGTCAGAGACTTACATTGGTCCATAGATTAACACTGGGGTCAGAGAATCACATTAGCCCATAGATTAACACTGGGGTCAGAGACTCACATTAGCCCATAGATTAACACTGGGGTCAGAGACTCACATTAGCCCATAGATTAACACTGGGGTCAGAGACTCACATTAGCCCATAGATTAACACTGGGGTCAGAGACTCACATTAGCCCATAGATTAGCACTGGGGTCAGAGACTCACATTAGCCCATAGATTAACACTGGGGTCAGATACTCACATTAGCCCATAGATTAACACTGGGGTCAGAGACTCACATTAGCCCATAGATTAACACTGGAGTCAGAGACTCACATTAGCCCATAGATTAACACTGGGGTCAGATACTCACATTAGCCCATAGATTAACACTGGGGTCAGATACTCACATTAGCCCATAGATTAACACTGGGGTCACACTTACATTGGCCCATAGATTAACACTGGGGTCAGATACTTACATTAGCCCATAGATTAACACTGGGGTCAGAGACTCACATTAGCCCATAGATTAACACTGGGGTCAGATACTTACATTAGCCCATAGATTAACACTGGGGTCAGAGACTCACATTGGCCCATAGATTAACACTGGGGTCAGAGACTTACATTAGCCCATAGATTAACACTGGAGTCAGAGACTCACATTAGCCCATAGATTAACACTGGGGTCAGAGACTCACATTAGCCCATAGATTAACACTGGGGTCAGAGACTCACATTAGCCCATAGATTAACACTGGGGTCAGAGACTCACATTAGCCCATAGATTAACACTGGGGTCAGAAACTCACATTAGCCCATAGATTAACACTGGGGTCAGAGACTCACATTAGCCCATAGATTAACACTGGGGTCAGAGACTCACATTAGCCCATAGATTAACACTGGGGTCAGAGACTCACATTAGCCCATAGATTAACACTGGGGTCAGAGACTCACATTAGCCCATAGATTAACACTGGGGTCAGAGACTCACATTAGCTCATAGATTAACACTGGGGTCAGAGACTCACATTAGCCCATAGATTAACACTGGGGTCAGAGACTCACATTAGCCCATAGATTAACACTGGGGTCAGAGACTCACATTAGCCCATAGATTAACACTGGGGTCAGAGACTCACATTAGCCCATAGATTAACACTGGGGTCAGAGACTCACATTAGCCCATAGATTAACACTGGGGTCAGAGACTCACATTAGCCCATAGATTAACACTGGGGTCAGAGACTCACATTAGCCCATAGATTAACACTGGGGTCAGAGACTCACATTAGCCCATAGATTAACACTGGGGTCAGAGACTCACATTAGCCCATAGATTAACACTGGGGTCAGAGACTCACATTAGCCCATAGATTAACACTGGGGTCAGAGACTCACATTAGCCCATTCATTAACACTGGGGTCAGAGACTCACATTAGCCCATAGATTAACACTGGGGTCAGAGACTCACATTAGCCCATAGATTAACACTGGGGTCAGAGACTCACATTAGCCCATAGATTAACACTGGGGTCAGAGACTCACATTAGCCCTTAGATTAACACTGGGGTCAGAGACTCACATTAGCCCATAGATTAACACTGGGGTCAGAGACTCACATTAGCCCATAGATTAACACTGGGGTCAGAGACTCACATTAGCCCATAGATTAACACTGGGGTCAGAGACTCACATTAGCCCATAGATTAACACTGGGGTCAGAGACTCACATTAGCCCATAGATTAACACTGGGGTCAGAGACTCCCCAGTGGCGATGTGTACACACCGCACCAGGTACTCACTTGAGGCTGAGTCGATCTAGGGGAGGTCCAGGACCCGTTCAGAGAATCGTCACCGGGACGCCGGGTTCATAGCGCAGCTATGGACACACCCATAGCCTCGAAGTTAATCGAGAAGACCCACGGACAAACACTGAACCGCGTGGTCACTCAATTTTCACAAGTGTCCCCTGCGTTTTTGTAGCATTGTAACTGCCAACTAATTGGCCATTCGTAGCAGGAGTGGCCGCACCTTTCGTGGATCACCGTGTTTGACTTAACACGCGCAGGATGACTCAGCTTGCTCGGCAACCTTCGCGGATTGTGGTGGAGTGGGCGAGACTCTTCGGCAATCTGTAATTCCCATCGGGCAATAACACCGCGTCCACGGTGCGTAAAACACAAGTGCAGTCTCTTGACTATTATCACGCACGCGCGCTCTCCATCTCTTCTTGCCTCTGATGTGCCGTGCAGCCAGGGCCATTGTCCCCGCAACGTCATCGCGCGCTCTCCACAACAATGAACAGCAAAACGTCGCTGCTTATTTCGTCGAGGAGCTGTAAAGCGTCCAGTGTCGGGTTATCCTCACACACAAGCAGCTACCGATGATGCTACGGGCCCCGCACTTTTAAGGGCTCTGCGCCAAATGCTTTCAAGCTATCAATTCCGGTTCAGTGATTCTGCACTTGCTCTATTACTATAGTACTATACTGCCTTCAACGTTTTATGAACGGTTTGAGCTGCCTCTGCGTTGTAAGCCCCCGGCCTTGCGTTGAACCACGACGAGGGTGAATTTCACCAGTGCAAATAAAAACGGTTTCAACCGGTTAAAACAGACTTCATCCGGTTAATACCGGTTTTAACCGGTTTCTCCCATGGCAATGCTCACCGCCAAGGGCTTTTCTTTTCGGCTGAGTGTAATAATGTGGTTAAACAACTTGCGATTAGGGTCAATATTTGTGTGGTTACGGAAAGCGCGCAAAAGATAACAACGACAATGGCAACGATGACAATGGGAATTGCAATCGTGGAGAACACTGCATCGCGATAACCGCGGAGCTTCGATAATCGCGGAGCTTCGATAATCGCGGCACAAATCAAAAAATCATCTGACGGAGAATTGTGTTTGAAGAGATCTCCCTCCAATCGAACATCACGATTATTGTTGTTGTTACGGTCATCATTAAAATTAGTTCATTTAAAGTAGCTTAGTTATGTTTGTATATATTTTAAAGTGATGTGTTTACCTTTCCTGTGCTTTGCACTACTATCGTGCTTTTGTATTGTTTTTGTAACGTTCTTATCCCGGACCCCGAATGAACATCCGTGAGAAAAAGAGCTTCATAGCTCATCGGATTCCTCCAGTCTCAACACCGATTCTGACACAGCATGCGATTACATTGTTTACGATTGCGCGCCGCGATTCCGAATAGATTCAGTCTTCCACCTGCCGCTCCGCGTGCTATGCTGTCATTGTTCCCATGAGCGCGAAGCTCAGCATTGCACAACGACACGAACCGATTTCGATCTTCAACATTGCCAAGGAATCGACGAGGCCCCCTGCGGGAAGCGCCGTGGGCTAATGGGGCTGTACCATTTGCTGGCGGGGGGGTTGGGTCAAACCATCGCACTCGGGGAGGGTTGTGAACCCCCCCCCCACCAACGACCCAACGTATTCTTTACGCCTCAACGAGTTACAAGCAAACGTCACTTTAATTGCTTGTGATGTTAATAATCATCGAAGAGGTGATTTTAAGTTATTTAAATGGGGAGGGGGGGGGGTCTGTGCTGTTGCTCTCCGTCCGCCCAAGGCGTCCCGTTGCCAGGCAGCAGCAGCAGCAGCAGGGGACTCAGAGGCCAGCTGCTCCGTGACACACGCGGGGTCTCTCTCTCCCCTGTCTCTCTCTCTCCTGTCTCTCTCGTGTCTCTCTCTCTCGTGTCTCTCTCTCCTGTCTCTCCCCTGTGTCTCTCTCTCTCGTGTGTCTCTCTCCCCTGTCTCTCTCGTGTCTCTCTCGCCTGTCTCTCCCCTGTGTCTCTCTCTCTCTCGTGTGTCTCTCTCCCCTGTCTCTCTCGTGTCTCTCTCGTGTGTCTCTCTCCGCTGTCTCTCCCTCTCCCCTGTCGATCTCGTGTCTCTCTCCCCTGTGTCTCTCTCTCCCCTGTGTCTCTCTCGTGTCTCTCTCCCCTGTCTCTCTCGTGTCACTATCCCCTGTCTCTCTCCCCTGTGTCTCTCTCTCCCCTGTGTCTCTCTCGTGTCTCTCTCCCCTGTGTCTCTCTCTCCCCTGTCTCTCTCTCCCCTGTCTCTCTCGTGTCTCTCTCTCGTGTCTCTCTCTCGTGTCTCTCTCCCCTGTGTCTCTCTCTCCCCTGTCTCTCTCTCGTGTCTCTCTCTCTCTCCTGCGACATTCTCTCACAAACTATCTCGTTGTGAACATCCGCTTCGTTGAATTTGTTGTAAATATACCCACTTTGAGTGTTTGTTGTATCGAGTCGACCGATTCCCGACTTCAGCAGTGAGTGCGGTTTTATTGTCGTGACGATGGGTTGGAGGTGTGGGGGAGGGGAGCTGCGCTCGAACCGGTCCGTGGTGATGTTACATTACAATTATTTTTTTGTTTTAAACTAAAGTCGTGTATTTGTAACTGCCGCTGAGTTGACTTGCAAACTCCAAATATACAGCAGCAGGCATCGTCAGGGTCCGGGATCGAACCTACGACCTCCTGCGTACCAGGCGAGGTAGTTAACATCTCCTAGCCACCGTGGCGCCCAAGGGAGCGCGGGACCCCCTCCTGCCAGCGTGTCTTGAGACTCGTCAGCGAAGTGAGGCTCTCCTGGCTGTAAAGCCGTGCAGAGATGATCATGGATTCTGGAATTGGATGGTGACGCCTTGACGAGTCGTGGTGCGATATTCGGGAGGGTGCGAATGGTTCGGTACATCGTCGGACTCTAACAAGACGCTCTAAACGAAAATGTGTTCCTATTTTATCTCCATATTCACTCATTCCTGCAATCGATGATCACAATTCAATTTTAGAAATCGATTCAGTTTAGTTTGAGGGTTGTTATTACAGCAGTAGCACCGTAATAATGATAGCAGTTGAAATGGAGTGAATACGCCAGAGAGAGTACACGGAGCGATGACATCGGCTCGTGTGGCACGAGCTGCTGCATCGTCGCAGGGTGGCGTGAGATGGCGATGGCCTTGGGGAGGGGTTCATCCAGCAGTGGATAGAGCATGGGTGACGAAGAGCAATGCTGTTATTAAAATATTTTATTCAACTTGAATCACAACAGAGGTGTGTGCTTTCATAGCCACGCGTTTTGTTCCCTTTGCTCATTCCCTGCCGCTTTGTCAACCCGCTGCTGGATGAAGGCATCAGCATCCTCACCCCGAAAACTGCGTGGGTCTTCATTCAACGATTTGCACGGTTGATTACGTACGGTGCGAAAGAAGTTCAACATACACCCATAGACTCACATAGTCACTCACCCACTCACACAGTCACTTACCCACTCACACAGTCACTCACCTACTCACAGTCACTCACCCACTCACACAGTCACTCACCCAATCACACAGTCACTCACCCACTCACACAGTCACTCACCCACTCACACAGTCACTCACCCACTCACATAGTCACTCACCCACTCACACAGTCACTCACCCACTCACACAGTCACTCACCCACTCACATAGCCACTCACCTACTCACACAGTCACTCACCCACTCACACAGTCACTCACCCACTCACATAGCCACTCACCCACTCACACAGTCACTCACCCACTCACATAGTCACTCACCCACTCACACAGTCACTCACCCACTCACATAGCCACTCACCCACTCACACAGTCACTCACCCACTCACACAGTCACTCACCCACTCACACAGTCACTCACCCACTCACATAGTCACTCACCCACTCACACAGTCACTCACCCACTCACACAGTCACTCACCCACTCACACAGTCACTCACCCACTCACATAGTCACTCACACAGTCACTCACCCACTCACACAGTCACTCACCCACTCACATAGCCACTCACCTACTCACACAGTCACTCACCTACTCACACAGTCACTCACCACTCACATAGCCACTCACACAGTCACTCACCCACTCACACAGTCACTCACCCACTCACATAGCCACTCACCCACTCACATAGTCACTCACCCACACCCATGTTCCGATGAGCACGGTTGGCTACGTACGGTGCGAAAGAAGTTCAACGTGCACACATGCAATGTCTACACTTCCTCCCCTTCTCCTCCTCTGCATCCTCCAGGTTCACCTTCCACACGTGCCGCCATCTCTGCTGGGAGGATGATGGCGATGGACACTGTGCACACGCTGGCCTCTGAGGGCGGCAGGAGCAAGTTGAACACCTTGGTGGGGCTGTCTGATGAAGGTAAAGTTCCTCTGCTCTCTCGTTCATCTTTAATCTCAAACAATTCTCACTTTATCGTCACTGACACTGGTGAGACAAGGCCATAAAGACGTGCAGGACAATCCGTCTAAAAGACAATGCACATATTATTATCTGAGCATGTTTTGCCACAAGACGTGATGCCTTGCAAAAGGTATCTCTTTTGTGTTTGGACATCTTAACACAACTCCTGTTTTATTGCCGGAAAGGGCAAAACCTATTTTTAATTCCAACTTTGCCGTAATCCACAGTAGCTCTAGGAGCTTCATAGCAAAGTCTGGCTCCCTGAGCCACGTTCACATTTAGATTTCTACGTTTAGAATCTTCGAGGTGCCTTAGTCTGGCCTATTTCGTGTAATCGCGTCATCTGTTGCCAGGGTTGCCACCCGTCCTGGTCTTCCCAGGATCCTCCTTTTGGTTGAGGAGGCAGCTGCTGTTTTGCTGGGGAATCTCTAAGGGAGCCACGGTGGCCAAGAGATGTTAACTACCTCGCCTGGTATACAGGAGGTTGTGGGTTCGATCCCGACCCTGACGCCTGCTGTATATTTTGGAGTTTGCGTGTTCTCCTTGTGGTTGTGTGGATTTTTCGCCGGGTCCTCCGGGTTTTCCCTCCGCATTTAGATTCAACATCACGCGTTTAGAATATTTGACTGCTAGAAATTTCCACGTTATGAGCCACTTCATTGAGCTATCATTTGTGGCTATCACAGATTGCTTCTGAAAAAGCACTACACAGCTCAGTGGGCCTTACCTGGTAAAATACAAATTGTTACATAGTCATAGTTAAGTGTAACCGGGATGTTGCGACCAAGTTCCGACGTAGTGATAATGTGAATCTCTACGATGTGCCCCGGCGTCGTTGTGCCCGTGGCAACCGAATTCGTTGCACGGAATTTTCGCCGCACCTCCGATTAGCCCGGTTGGCCACGTATTGCGCGAAAGAAGTTCAACATACGTACATGCAATTTACGTCGCGTGAGAGAATACTGTACTACACATCATTCCCTTACATAACAGCTATATATACATACTACATCGTAATCTCTTAGCACAACAGATCGTGTTGCCATGTGTGTATCCACTTACTTGTACATACTGATGTAAACGTGACTATGAGATAGGGGCGTGTGTACCTGTATATGTACGTTGACCTCTGAAGCGTCAATTCTTGCCTGGCTTAACAACGTATTCAAAAGTGACATTTTTGGCCCGGCAAAACAAGACGGCGTCAGCCAGCCATCACGCTTTGTGTGTTTGCGAGGGCCCTTTCTGCATCGTGGATCTCGTCTTTCTTCATTCACCCCGTGAGCTGTGAATGATGCAGGGCAAGCACGTGAATTGCCCCTCAAAGTAGTTGCTGCACCTGCGGTAACGACATTTTATACCGTCCGACGGATTCACTCCGCATGCCGGGAGCTTCTTCTTCAGGAATTGGATGTTCAGCTTCACGAGGAACTGACTATTCGGGAAGAAGAAGCTCCCCGTGCATGTGGGGCGAAACATCGGACGTCATGCCGAATGACACGCCGATGCGTCCAGAAAACTTCTCACAGAGCTGTACAGCACGACCGCGGAACCCTCTTACGAACAGTAAGAAAATGATATACAGCGCCGTGGCAATACATTGCAGGCCGAGTACCTTCCATTCTCGTGTTGGTCACGGGGATCATTTGACCGTACGTCATTGCGATGGTCAGCGCGAGTTGACAAAGTGGGGGGGGGGGGGGGGGCGCACAGATGCGGAAGTGTAGAAGTTCTCTACAACGTTGAAATCTGTGGCCCTGCCCTCTGCTGCCGGCCCCCCGTCGCCCTGCAGCCCATAACGTGCAGCCGCCGTGACAGGCTCGCGCCTGCTGAGCCTGCCAGAGTGTGTGGAGCCGTCGCGGTAACACGCGGCAACTCCCGCAGTCGGGAATCTGACTCAGATTTGCAGGTTTTTTAGTGGAGTGCCACCAACCACTGCGCCACTGCTCGCGCGATGCGACTCGCACTGCTTTGTGACCACTGCAAGTTCATTGCGCCACTTTATGTTGCTGCGAGATGTTTTTACTGCTGTGCACTGCAGTGCGTTGGAGTTTATGATGTGGCTGTTGAACGTTCATAAATGCAATATTGCCCCCCGTACGAGCTTCCCACGTGACTTGGAGGAGCTCGGAGTGCTGAGCCGGCACCGCTGAGACGCTGGGTTCGAATCCAGGTTTCAGCTGCCTGCCATTAGAAAATTATCCACTTTTATGTAATGCCATACAGCTCTCTGTTTGCAATTGAACTGTATTCTCAAGTATATGTATGTATGTTGTGATCGAAACGTCGCAGTTTTTTGTTCATTTTATTTTTATTAATTTGAACCTATCTCCGTGAATTTACCAAAAGGCCCAAAGAATATATATGTACGTGTGTGTGTGTACGTGTATATGGCGTCTGTGACCACCACAGTGGCTAAACGGGGGCTCTGGACGGGTGTGAGGGGCTGGTAACCCCTCCACCTTCAATTCATTACCACTAAACCACGAATTGCCTGCCTACGATCCATCCTGGGTTTAACCAGGCTGGATTGTGTGAGGAGCTCACAAATCCTTGAAAGATCTGGGCAAAGTCCCATCAGTGAGCTCCTCCGGCAGGCAAGGCTGCGTTGGCTGGGTCATGTAGCCCGCATGCCCAGCCACCACCGCATGCCTAAACAGCTTTTGTTCGGCCGGATCGAGGGGGCTAGACGGGCGCGGCACGGGCTGGAGAAGAGATGGAGTGATGTGGTACAGGAGGACGTGGAGCTGAGTGGACTTGCCGATGACTGGTACCAGCGGTGTCAAGATCGGCCTCAGTGGAGGAGGCTCGTGAAGGACGCTACTGGGCAGTTGGAGGCAGTCGCCCTCCAACAACAACGGAGGGCGGAGGAGCGACGCTCACAACAACGAGCGGAGCGCCGGGTGGCTAAAGCACAGCAAGTTGGCACAGTAGGGGGCACAGGTGGTGCATCAGCCAGTCATCTCGGTCATCTCGGTCAGTCGACCAGTGGCACCTGGGTCTGCCCCGTGACCTCCTGCCAGCGGGCTTTCGACACTTCACGTGGCCTCAAGGTGCACTTGACCTGGCACAAGCATCGTGGTGACGTCACCGCCACTTAGTGGCGAATGGCGGTTGTTGTTGTTGTTGTTGTTGTGTTTGTGTATGTATACGTGTATGTGTGTGTGTGGTTGTGCGTGTGTATGTGTGTGTATGGGTAATTGTTTGTACGTGTACGTGTGTGTGTGTGAATGTATATGTGTGTATGTATGTGCGTACGGATGTGTATGTATGTAGAACGTTTTTTCCCACCGTACATAGGCAACCGCCTTAGTCGGAGGTGTGGGTGATCGGGTTGTAGATGAGAGGAGTTCTCCTGATGCCCTTTTGTGAAGGTCTCTGCAGCCAGCAGGGCAACAGTGATGTTTTCAGAGATGCGCCTAATAATACATTTATTTGAAAAAACCTGCGGGTTGAGTGGTTCCACAGAGCTAACGCTTGTGAGCTAGCAGAGCCAAGTTAGCCGAGTTCATACATAGAGACGCCTAGATATATACAACAATGCCAATACCCGCCATTCACCACAAAGTGATGGTGACGTCACTACGGCGCCTGTGCCAGGCCAAGTGCACTTTGAGGGCACGTGAAGTGTTGAAGGCTCGTTGACAACAGGCGGCCAATTTTGACACCACTGGTACCAGTCTTCTCCGCTCAGCTCGACATCTTCCCAGACCATATTGGCTCCATTGCTTCACGCCTTCTACTGCATCATGGTGGACGAGACGCGCGATGCGAGCAAGAAGGAGCAACTGGCCGTCGTTAACCGCTTTGTTGAGATCAAGACTGGCGTGCTGCGCCAGTCACCGGCACGTGCGCCCCCACGCTCCGCGATTCCATTGTCGACATGCAGACCAATCACGGTCGCCCGATCGCCAACTGCCGCGGGCAAGCCTACAATGGCACGTCCAATATGAGCGGTGAGATCAACGGCCTGCAAGCCCTGATCAAGCAGCTGAAGTTTGGCCTATTACGGGCACTGCTGGGCCCATTGCATCTCTGCCCAACACCACCTGGCCAGTGAATTGGAACATGTACATCGTGCCCTCAAGATGAACGGATACTCGGACCGTGCTATCCGCCAGGCTGTTCGACCTGGCCGGCCTTCATGGCCACATGAACACCAATGATCATGTTTTCCGTGTCGACCTGTTCTACGCAGCGATCGACAAGATACTGGCCACGTTCGCCTACAGATTCAGTGACGAGTCGATGGAGATGCTCCGCCTAGCAGCATGTATCTCTCCACGCAAGCAGTTCGCCTCGTTCAATGTCGACAAGCTCGTGGAGCTGGCCTGCAAGTTCTACTTGATCGACTTTCCTGATGTAGACCTAGTGCTTCTCGATCAGCAGCTGGTCCACTTCGGCAGGGAGATAGAGAAGGACGAGCTTTTGAAGAATGTGTGCACGCTCCCTGAACTTTCGGTCATGCTGGTGCAGACCGGCCGGGACACGGCCGGCTACCACCTTGTATACCGATTGCTGCGGCTGATACCGACGTTGTCGGTGGTGACAGCCACGTCCGAGCGCGTCTTCAGCGTCCTGAAAATCATCAAGATGCGTTTGCGTACCGCAATGGGCTCCGACTATCTCAATGACGCCATGCTGCTGTATGTCGAGAGCTGCGATGGTGAAAAACGATCAAATCACGTCATACTTCCAGGCCATGGCCACAAGTATACGAGCAGCCATGGTGACTGAATGTAAGACGTTTAAAAAAATAGTTCAATGTGTTAAAATATTAGTATTCTTCAGTGTAATGTAGCCCATTGACAACAAAGTCCAGGTATTGATGGCCTTTGTTGTTTGCTCGAGTGAGCTCTAGCAATCGGAAGCTTGCGAGTTCAAATCAAGGTTGGGGGGTTGACTCGGCCCATCATCCCGCTGTGGTGAATTAAAAAGTTATCACCTTGTGGGAAAGTCTGAACGAAACTAAACTTTTATTTTTTATTTTTACCAGGTAGGCCCCAGTGAGCTACAAATGATAGCTCGTCAAAGTAGCTCGTCACGTGGACATTTTTAGGAGCCAGATCATCTAAAGCTAAGCACAAAGAGGGTGCTGTTGTAGGCTGCTGCGCAGCTACCTGGTTACCAACTGAGGGTCGCAGCACGATCCGTTGTTGTACTGAACTACAAATGTTTCCGTCTCAGCTTTTCGCTGAATATGGTGTGTTATGAACCTCGGATTGAACGATCGATGCTCCCTGCCTGTACGCCCCGCACTGACCAGCGTGGTGAAGCATGGTTAAGTAATTCCGACGATCCACAAAAGGCGTGGGGAGTCCCTCATCCAGCAGTGGATTGACAGGATGAGCCCGTGCATGCACACAACAAAAACCCAGCGGATGTCGCTCTGATCAACCTACTACCCAGGTCACTCACTCTGCCAAATGAGCCTCCTCCTCCATCGTGATTTCTTTAATTCTCATGTGGTCACGCAAAAACAACTTGACGTGCATTGCTCTGTCACAGTTTCGTGTGTGTGTGTCTGTTCCTCCCCAGATATAGTCAAAGTGTGGGACGGAGTGTCGACCTTCATTGAGAGACACATGGCTCAGCACAAGGTGAGTTTTCCCATCTTTATTCATCTTCTCTGCTTAGGATTTCTGCCCGAGGAGAGGTCCGTGGAACAAGCTCCTCACCATCCGATGGGATCCTCCTCACCCCCCTCCTCACCCCCCGCCTCACCCCCTCCTCACCCCCTCCTCACCCCCCTCCTCACCCCCCTCCTCACCCCCCGCCTCACCCCCCTCCTCACCCCCCTCCTCACCCCCCTCCTCACCCCCCTCCTCACCCCCCTCCTCACCCCCCTCCTCACCTCCCTCCTCACCCCCTCCTCACCCCCTCCTCACCCCCCTCCTCACCCCCTCCTCACCCCCCTCCTCACCCCACTCTTCACCACCCCCACCTCACCCCCTCCTTACCCCCCTCCTCACCCCCTCCTCACCCCCCTACTCACCCCACTCCTCACCCCCCCCCACCCCCACCTCACCCCCACCTCACCCCCTCATCACCCCCCTCCTCACCCCCTCCTCACCCCCCTCCTCACCCCCCCGCCTCACCCCCTCCTCACCTCACTCCTCACCCCACTCCTCACCCCACTCCTCACCCCCCCACCCCCACCTCACCCCTACCTCACCCCCTCCTCACCCCCCTCCTCACCCCCTCCGCACCCCCCGTCTCACCCCACTCCTCACCCCCTCCTCACCCCCTCCTCACCCCCCTCCTCACCCCCCCCCGCACCCCACTCCTCACCCCCTCCTCACCCCTCTCCTCACCCCCCGCCTCACCCCACTCCTCACCCCACTCCTCACCCCACTCCTCACCCCCCCCCACCCCCACCTCACCCTCTCCTTACCCCCCTCCTCACCCCCTCCTCACCTCCCTCCTCACCCTCTCCTCGCCCCTCCTCACCCCCTTCCTTACTTCCTCCTCATCCCCCTTCTTCACCGCCCTTCCCACCGCCCCTCTTTAGCCCTGACTCTACACTCACCATGCCAGCCATTCATAGCACGGAGGTTTTTTTCGCATCCAATATTGCAATCCGTCGTCGATTCCACCGGTGTTGGGAGGGCTTCTTATTTTTACACAGATTTGGTTAGATGTTTGTGGGCTAATAAAAAAATCTATTTGGGTTAGGGTGGGGAGCACAGGGGTATGTGAGTGTGTGGGTGAGTGACTATGTGAGTCGATGTGTGTACGTTGAACTTCTTTCGCACCGTACGTAGCCAGCCGTGCTAATCGGAGGTGCGGGGGAAGGACAACAAACTAAAGGTGGCCAACCCATAGCGCCTAGATCTGTCCCGTCACCTCCTTACTGTGAGCCTTCCACATTTCATGTAACGGCCTCGGCGTGCACCCAGCCTGGCACAAGCCCTTGTGGTGCACGTGCCAGTCATCTCAGATGACCCACGGCACCCGTGTTTGCCCCTTGACCTCCTGCCAGCGAACCTTCGGAGCTACCACGTGATGGCCTCAAAAAGTGCACCTTGCCTGGCAATAATTGTCGTGGTGACCACGTCGCCGCCACTAGGTGGCGAATGACGTCTGTTGCCATCGTTGTGTGTGTGTCGTGTGTGTGTGTCGTGTGTGTCGTGTGTTTGCCGTGTGTGTGTGTTGTGTGTGTGTTGTATGTGTGTTATGTGTTTATTGTGCTGCATTGGCTTCCGGTTACCTAACAAATACATTATAAGGTCGCACTCATTACACACAAAGTACTTGCCACAAATGAACCACAATACCTTGCTGATCTCGTCAAGGAACATAGATCATCATCCCAGCTCCGGTCATCCTCGCAGCAACGGCGGCTTTAGGCTATTGAACAAAGATGGTCACCGCATCGCGCGGCGCTTTCAGATGCGCTTCTGTAGCCGTCTGGAACGCTCTTCCTTCCGATATTAGAAAGCCACTGGGAGCTATGGCACTTTTAAATCATCATCTCGGTTGAGTTTAGTTTGTTGTCCCCCCGCGCCTACGATTAGCACGGTTTACTATGTACTGTGCGAAAGAAGTTCCACATACATGCGTGCATATGAGCATGGGTCTCTATGGGTTTATGTGGGTCTCTGTGGGTTTCTATGGTTCTATATGAGTCTCTGGATCTCCGTGGGTCTCTATGTTGTCGCGTGCGTGTTGTTGCGTGTGTTGTTACGTGTGTGTTACGTGTGTGTTGTTGCGTGTGTGTTGTTGCGTGTGTGTTGTCACGTGTGTGTTGTCGCGTGCGTGTTGTCGCATGTGTGTTGTCGCGTGCGTGTCGCGTGCTCGTTGTGGCGTGTGCAGGGCGTTCACGTCCCCGAGCTGGGCACGTTCACGTTCGCGCTGCACAGGCTGCCGATGAGCGGCGGGCGGAGCGTGGCGGTGCGCCGCCCGGTCCTGCGCGTCTCGGAGAAGCTCATTCAGACGCACGGCCTGACGCACTGCAAGCCGCACGTCAGCGGTGCGTTCTGATACCCCCAGCCGCTCCCGATCGTCGGCGGTCATTCTGACAGCGGCACTGAGACTCTACTGCCGGGGCGAGGAATCCCCACAGCACATAGTGTCTGCTCAAAACTCACGTATTGTTCTCTAGCTCACCCCACGACCCCTTAATCTCCCCCTGATAACCACCACCGCTGTTACTGTTATCTCTTCATACGCACATTACATGGCCATCACTCATTCACCCCCATTCATTCCATCCATTGATCATAATTTACTATCAGAATAATAATTATCATTGCATGGCTCTCACTCATACACCCCTATTCATTCAATCCATTCATCATCATTTACAATGATTACATGTCTATCACTCATTTGCCCCCATCATCATTTACTGTCATCAATTTCACTTTCACCAATGTCACGCATAATCACAGATTTGCCCCAAATTGCTTCCTCTCATCCATTGTATAATTTCCGTTAAGATAAGATGAGACAGACACACGGGACTCCGTTGTAAACGTCACAAGACTGTTTCACACTTCACGCGACTCTCATTCTCACATCACGCGATTCCGTTTCACACGTGACGTTAAGATGAGCCAGACACACGTCACGCGACTCCATTTGACACGTCACGTGACTCCGTTTGACACGTCACGTGACTCCGTTTGACACGTCACGTGACTCCTTTTGACACGTGCCGCGACTTCACTTCATGCAGCTTATTTTCACGTGGGGCCGTGGTTACACCTGCCTGCCACTCCTAAGCTGCCCCGCAAATTACATTTGTATCCCCGTCACTGCGAGCAACTTAGCCGCACTAATCGGGTACCAGTGGGCAATATTCTCGTCGGCGAGCCTGACGGCCGCCTGACGGCCACCTGTCGTCGTTGACCGGCCGGACCCCTCACGCCGGCGCGTCTCGACCCCACCGCCGCCCCTGCGCCGCGTCCCCCTCCAGGGGAGGTCCCCGTGGTGCAGCTGAACTGGACGGCGCTGGCGCTGGAATGCGGCGTGTCGCGCGCCCAGGCCGAGGGCGCCGTCCACTGCCTGCTGCGGACGCTGGAGCGGGCGCTGGCGGGCGGGCGCAGCGTGGAGCTGGGCCTGGGCGCCGTGGGGCTCCTCTCCGTCAGGGACTCGCACGTCAAGATGCGCTTCCACCGACGCTTCGTGCTGCTCGCCACGGCGGCAGCGCCGGGTGGTGGCGGCGGCGCGGGCGAGGACGCGCTGCGCGCGATGATCGACGTGAGTACACGCGGCACGCGATGATCGACGTTGAGGACATGAGGGGGGTCCTCGGGATATCGGAAAGGCTGCGATGCCTGTCTCTTCACCGCCACCTGGTGTTCAATACTCCAGCAAGGATTTTTTTGACTCGACGGTACGAACGTAGAAGGGTGGCTGAGCCCCCCCTTACAGCAAGGCGGCCGAGCCTCCCCACACAGCTCCTCGGCACGACGGCGCTGGAGCAATGACCAAACACATTGACCCCTACACAACGGGGCCTTATGAATTTGTGTACGTATGTTCAACTTATTTCGCACCATACGTAGCCAACCGTGCTAATCGGAGGTGCGAGGGGCAAGGACAACAAACTAAACACAAAAACCAAGTTTAAAGAAGTGAGTTTTCAATTGAGATGATTTTAAAGTGCAAAGCCTCCAGTGGATTCCTAATATCGTAAAGAACAGCGTTCTAGACGGCTGCAGAAGCGCATCTGAAAGCGCCCCATGATACGGCGGCCGTCTTTGTTCGATGGCTAGCCAAAGCCGCTGCGAGTATGACCAGAGTTCACGTGATGGTTCACACGATGAAGAGTTGGGTGGGTGGACAGATGAGGACTTTATATATATTGTTTTATTTACGTTTGTTTACTGAGGAGGTTCCTGCCAAGTTTTTGAAGTCAGGGGATGATGTCGCTGCTGCTTCTGTGTGATCCCAACTGAGCAATCTTGCAGGGAATGTTTCAGCATTGGGATGTCTGGGCCTTTACCGGTCACACAGTTGTGTGTCTTTAGCTATGGGAGGAAACCGGAGAACCCTCAGGAGATCCATGCGGACCACGGGAGGGAGAACGCACCAAACAGGTGCTCGAGTCGGGCATCGAGCCCAGTCGCTTCTCTCCGTGAGGCCACGAGGGAGCGACTACAAGGGAGGAGGGGGGGCAGCGCACTGTGCATGGCAGGGTCGGCACGGCAACAATTGGCCGGGGGGGGGGGGTGAATAGCAGATGGTAACTCGAGCGGGGGGGGCGACGGACGGACGGTGACATGAGGCTTCGGAGAAGGGCTGAACGTACACGGGACAAAGCGAGTCGAGAGAGCAACGATGAGAGAGAGAGGGACAAGATAAGTGGATAGGGCTGTGGATCATCAACAGGGTGAAGAGATTTTGATTGGATTCTATCAAAGCGTTATTTGTATGTATGTACGTTGAACTTCTTTTGCACCGTACGTAGCCAACCGTGCTGATTGGAGGATGGGTAAGTGTGGGGGTGAGTGATTTTGTGATTGGGTGAGTGGCTATGTGAGTCTATGTGTGTATGATGTTGAACTTCTTTTGCCACCGTACTTAACCAACCGTGATAATCAGGGGTGTGGGGGAAGGACAGCAAACTAAACACAAAAAGCAGTTCTAAAGAAATGAACCTCCTTATAGAGAGACACTTAGACCTATGGCTCAAAACTACTCTCCCTGACAAAACCATTGAGATGTACAGACACCCAGACCTAGGGCTTGAACCTATGCACACACAACAAGCTGGGATGCTGCGGGATGCTTCTAGATGCTACTCATGCACCTGAGTCGTTGTTCAGCCTGCGTACGCATCTCACGTGTTATCGCGGACTGTGCTTTACCCCCTTATATTATATATTATAACGCGATTTTTCCATAACACGGTGTTCTTCAGGAACGCAACTACCGCCGCGTTATAGGAGACTGTTCTTAGAAGAAGTCGATCCGAAGATCTCAGGGACCTATTTTTAGCAAACTCTTAATGATGTTTATTTTACCAGGTAAGACCCACTGAGCTATCGAGCTCTTTTCAGAAGCTTGTCGTGTGGCAATTTACAGCAGCCAAATAATCTAAACACGTGATGTTGATTCTAAATGCGGAGGGAAAAACCGGAGGACCTGGAGAAAAATCCACGTGACCACGGGGAGGGAGACACAGCAAACACCAATATACTGCAGGTGTCAGGGTCGGGACTGAACCCACGACCTCCTGTATACCAGTCGAGGTAGTTAACATCTCCTAGCCACCGTGGTAATGACGGGAGACGGAGAGACGGGCAAACTCCAAATATACAGCAGGCGTCAGGGTCGGGATCTAACCCGCGACCTCCTATGTACCAGGTGAGGGAGTTAACATCTCGCCACCGTGATGATGAGCAGAGAGAGACAGGCAAACTCCAAATATACTGCAGGTGTCAGGGTCGGGACTGAACCCACGACCTCCTGTATACCAGTCGAGGTAGTTAACATCTCCTAGCCACCGTGGTAATGACGGGAGACGGAGAGACGGGCAAACTCCAAATATACAGCAGGCGTCAGGGTCGGGATCTAACCCGCGACCTCCTATGTACCAGGTGAGGGAGTTAACATCTCGCCACCGTGATGATGAGCAGAGAGAGACAGGCAAACTCCAAATATACTGCAGGTGTCAGGGTCGGGACTGAACCCACGACCTCCTGCATACTGGGTGCGGTAGTCAACATCTCCCTGCCACTGCGGCACCCCTCGTTGGTGTACAAAGGCGGATCGTGTTCCTGTAAACATTTGCGGGGCTTCACCCATTTGAGTGTTTTGTCCCTTGGCCCACAGCGACCGGGCACCGCCGACTCGGTGCTGCCGGAGGGCCCCTTACACCGGCCGGGCACGAGCAACACCCTGTGTCTGCCACGGTGAGCGCTCTCTCATCCTCGTTTTGTTTATTCACAAACCGCAGCCTTTGAGTGAATCGAGCGACATCAAAGTCATACCCGAAATTGGAGACTTTTTTTCGGGAGGGTCTTGACAAGTTTTTATTTCCGCGGCAGGGGGCGATGTTGTTGCTGCCGCGTGTCTTTTTGACGGCAATTGAGTCATTTGAAGGTGATGTTTTGAGCATTGGGATGTTTTGGGCCAATACCGGTTACATTTATACTCGTTGGTTCTTTCGGAAAAGTCACGTAGGTAGAAAAATTTAATAAAATAAAAAATAATATATCACGACGTTTCGATCACAACACAAGCAGTCGTCCTCAGGTGGACGACCGCTTGTGCGATCGTGATATATTATTTTCTATTACATTTTTCTCCTTACGTGACTTTACCGAAAGAACCAAAGAGTATGGATTTCTGCAGTCACGAAAGCTTCAAATCAAGACCGGTTACATTTGTGTGGGTTTATTATAACTATGGGAGGAAACCAGAGAACCTGGAAGAAACCCACACAGAACAGAGGGAGAGCCTGTACACTCTGCACTAAGGTGCCCGAGTCAGGAATCGAACCCCCTGGGCACTTCCTGCTGCGAGGCACGAGCGTCGTCGCCGCTCACCACCATGCCGCCCATCACCGTGTACGGCGTGGCAGCGTGGCCGCCCCGGTTCTCGAGGCCAGGTCAGAGCTCCCCCCCATTGCGGAGGCGGGGGTCATGGGAGACGGAGACGGAGGAGACGGTCGCGGGGACAACGCGGAGCCGGGAGACGACGGACACGGAGCCTGGAGCGAGGGACACGGAGCTCAGAGCGAAGGGGCAGACGCCGGTAACGTGGCGGCTTCCGGCCCAGCGGCTCGCTTGGGCACGCACGCAACACAAACAGAATTATAATCGGAATCTTTACTTATCCTGGAGGAATCCGATGAGCTATGAAGCTCTTTTTCACAGATGTGATTGTCTCGTGACGAGAGTAAAATAAAAAATAGTTTTAGTTTTGGTCTCCTCCAACCTCACTGTGTGGGTATTGTCGGCAGACCCAGCTCTTATCGTTCATGCGCTTCTGACACCCCAACGTCTCCGACCCTGGCAGTCATTCTGTCAACTATAAACTATATTTTATTTTACCAGGTAAGGTGCCCACTAAGCTGTGTAGCTCTTGTTTTCAGAAGTGACCCTGATCCATCATAAATGATAGCTCAACCGAGTGGCTGATATCACCGCAGCAGCGGCGGCCAAATAACTTAGTGACAACAAACATGTGCCAGGAGGCGGGGGGAGGGGGCGGGGGGAGGGGGCGGGGTGTCCTTCTGTTGGAGCCGCTGTGCGGTTGTGCCCCAGTGTCCCGACGTTTCGCTTCGTGTGCTGGGAGCTTCCCCAGGAGCACACACACGGGCAGGGGGTGGACTGGTGGCACAGGGCAGGTGTGGCAGAACATCAAAGCTGGTGCTCGTAGCGGTTTCCCCTTGGTGTTTTCTGCCGACTGGTAGTGGCCTTTTTTTGGCTAAGCCGTTGAACAAAGACATTGGTCACCGCATCGTCACGCAGCGCTTTCAGATGCGCTTCTGCGGCCGTCTGGAACGCTCTTCCCTTCCGATATTAGGAAGCCCACTGCAGCCATGGATTTTTAAATAATGTAGATTGAAACTCATTGAGAACACCGTTTTGTGTTTAGTTTGCTGTCCTTCCCCCGCACCTCCGATTTGCACAGTTGGCTACATACAGTGTGAAAGAAGTTCAACATACATGCATAGACTCAGATAATCACTCACCAACTCACATAGTCACTCACCCATACACTCACCCATCCTCTGATTTGCACAGTTGGCTACCGACATATGCACGTGGCCTGTAATCATCAGGTAGTTGTCAGAATGATTATGGGAGTTAATAACACACCGGTGTGCTGCCGAAGCGGTAATAAATTGGCACGTTTGTTCATCACATTATGACTTTAATAACTGGCTGCGTTGGGTGGAGTAGAGTTTAGGACGCAGCATTTCACTCACACCGGTGGTGGCCGGGTTCGTAGCGCAGCACGCTTACGAAACTTAACATTGGTCGCGAAAGGCCCGCTTGTTAGCAAATCATCGTCCTTGCGTTTCCCATAGAAGAGAATGCCAACAAGAGGATCGTTATAAGGCAGCCCGCGCCGTTGGCCAGAGCGGGCAACTTCAGCTGGACACCGGAGGCCTGCGGCAGGCCTGCGCTGGCGCTGACGGCCACTCTGGCCTCACCGCCCCGGACCCCGCAGAGGCCGCTCGGTGGCGCGGCATCGCCGGGCCCGAGAGCCGCGGCGACGCCACCCGGGACGCCACCGGTGGCCCCGGCAGGTCCTCGCCGAGACGCCCGGCCGCTGGCGGCAGAGATGCCGAGCGAGGTGGCGATGTCACCGAGATCGCCGCACCCGCCCTCGCCGCACCGCGTACGCTCGCCGCTACAGGCGCCCGCCGGCAGGTACCATGGCACCTGCTGGGCCCTGGGCCGCTGCGGCGATCCCGGCGATCCCGGCGATCTCGGGGCTAACAGCTGTACTACCGCTGCCCATGGCACGCGGTGGCTAACAAAGACAAATATCTCCCGTGTAGCCTTAACAGATTGTTGGGGCAAGTGCTGTTAGCGAGCAGCACCTATGAAGGCTGGCACGGCGCGCGAGGGGGTGGGTGGCCAACACCATGCCCGGCCGCCTTTGTCTCTCCAGTGGTGATATTTACACACCACACCAGGTACTAATTTGAGGCTGAGTCGACCTAGGGGAGGCCCATGACCAGGTCAGATAATCATCGCCGTTGGTGGCCGTGAGGGAATCGAACTCGGATCGCCGGATTCGTAGCGCAGCGCGCTAACCACTGCACCACCGCTCCCCATGACGCTAACACGCGCGCGCACGCTGAGTGACACCAGTGCACCTGGTCACTGTTGAGTGTCGAGCGAGGCTTTGTGTAGGATCGTGTAAAGGGCACTGACATCACTTAGCCCTGACGGGCAACACAGCCGACATCTGAGATTGTTATTCTCCTCCTCCACATGGCTCCTCCGAAACGCACGCATCCTGCCCGCGTAGCCGCCACAATTCTGGTTGTAGCGAATTGCCCAGTCGGTGCCACTTCGGTGACCCTAGAATAGCAGGGAGGGCGCGTGTCTCAGGACCGGTTCCAGATCACGCCGCTCGCCAACGACGTTAGCCTTCGCCCGGAATGCGCCTCGGGTCACCGGGTTCACGGTACAGTGGCGCCAAACTTCTGTACCACGATTCCCACTGTTTCCTGCGCTAAATGTCACTTTAAAATTGGGGTCGGTTTCACCTGCACCAGTTTAGATGACGGCACTGATATTGACCGTGGCCGTGGGTCGGACATGCAGGGCCCCCCCCCTACCCCTCCATTTAACGCCGGGTGGTTGCGTTCCTGAAAATTGCTGCAATAAAAGGAATTTGCTGGAAGGTTGGGGGGGGAGGGTGCAGTTCCAGCTTCGTCATTTTAATATTGTTGTTATAATATTGTTGGTATAATATTGTTATAATATTGTCGTTATAATTTTGTCGTTATAATATTGTTGGTATAATATTGTCGTTATAATATTGTCGTTATAATATTGTTGGTATAATATTGTCGTTATAATATTATCGTTATAATATTGTCGTTATTGTAAGTAGTCCGCCACGTGCTAGACTCACGTTATAGTGAGCAGACCCTTTCATCCGTTGGCAATTGTGAAAGGTGCCTTGCAACCACGAGCAACACTCGCCAAAGAGTAGCAAAGCATCGGTACTCCTGTAGACGCAATCGCTATCGTGCACAGCGATCATCGCCCCCCGTAATGGCAGAATATTGCCCCAGGTAACCCTTGCAAGCGAGACCGTGTTCCCGGAATAAACAAAGTGAGCTTGAAACTTGACGTAAGTGGCTCCTTTAACCCTCGCTCGCATTACGCAGCGCTTGCTTCGTCATCATCAGCTCCTGTTTTGCTTGACAAAAGGGGCTGTTGTTTGGCGCTGTAATAATTCATCGGGCCCCGTCTGCGTGTGTCTAGAGTGTCCTATGAACTATTGATGGCACAAGGGCCACGACGGTCTGCGTCGGCTCAGGGCAGCGGTGTTGCCCATCACGGACAAAAAGGTTGTGAAAACAAAGGCTGCTGATGATGATGCTGAGGACGATGATGATGACGACGATGGAGATCACCGTCATCATCATTGTCGTCATGAAGAACATCATAATCATCATCATCAAGGGCCAATGCGTCGAGCCAATGGAAGTGTCACGATGCATCGAGTCATTGGAACGCGGCATTTGTTGTCGCAGGCCCGGCTGGCTCGGCCCGCGGACGCGGTCGCTGCGGCTCAGCTCAGCGGCGGCGGAGACGGGCACCCACGGGAGATGTTCCTGGTGTCCCGGGCCCGCGCCGGCCACACCGCCGGGCTGCACGGCCCACGGGCATGCCGGGCAGGTGAGACACCAAAGCTCACGCTCACACTCGCAGCGTGGTGGCGGCGGCAATGTTAACTACCTCGCCTGCTATGTAGGGGGTCGTGGGTTCGATCCCGACCCTGACGCCTCCTGTATATTTCTCTCTCTTTCTCTCCCCGTGATTGCGTGGATTTTTCTCCGGGTCCTCCGGTTTTTTCCTCCACATTTAGAATCAACGTGTGTTTAGAAGTATTTGGCTGGTATAAATGTACACATGATGTGTGTTGAACTTCTTTCGCACCGTGCATAGCCAACTGTGATAATCAGAGGTACGGTGATAAGCAGTGATAAGCCACAAAGAGCTAAAAAAAAGTTTTGAGTTTAGCTGAACGTGGCGGCGGCACGTTCGCCGCTTGTCTCAGAGGTTTCTCACCTCATTTCACTGCTCCTTCTCGAACTCCTTCTCTCACTGAGCCATCACCCCAGTGGTTCGGGCTCAACCCTCCTCCAGACCTCTGTGTTTCTCCCTCTTCCCATCCTGGTGATTTCATTCCAGTACAGCACCTCACCCGCACCTCGACACCTCGCAAGTCTATAGGACATCCGGTGTTGACTTCCCCCACAAAGTGGTACTAATTTTACGGACCCCAGGAGGGAGGGAGTGATGATGGGCTGAGTCTAGAGTAAAACTATAAACTATTTTTTATATTCTACGAGGTTAGGCCCACTGAGCTACGTAGCTCTTTTTCAGGCGTGACCTGGCCACATGATAAACCCAACGAAGTGGCATATTGGGTGGAAATTTACAGCAGCCAAATACTCTAAACGCATGATGTCGATGGTAAATGTGGAGGGGAAAACCGGAGGACCCACAGAAAAATCCACACAACAACAGGGAAAGAGACACGCAAACTCCAAATAGACAATAGCAGGCGTCAGGGTTGGGATCGAACCCACGACCTCCTGTATATCAGGTGATGGAGTCAACATCTCCTCGCCGCAGTGGCACCCCCCTGCCCCCCCAACCAGGATTTGAACTTGCAACCTTCCAATCACAAACTGGCCCGCTCTGCTGCCCAGACACTTCCCACTGTTTGTGTTCCTGTAAAACCAAGTTAACGCGATGATGCAATGTTTTTTTTTTCTCTATTCCAGCACGATCTTCCGACTACTGCACGGACTCCCGTGGAGAGGGTATCTCTCTCTCTCTCTCGAACCCAGCGCCTCCCCCCCCCCCCCACTTGCTCTTCTGTGGCTCCTAGAGCAGCTGTCGTCATGTCCAATCCACAGCGTGTCTCACTTTCACTCTTGTTTCTCAAGTCAATTTACGATATTCATACGTTCGCACTTACACGACTGCTAACAATGTAATGTAATGGCTATTTGATTATTTTAGTATATATACAATCATAATTAAGGTTTTTTTTGGGGTTAGACCGGCATAAATATAAATGTGGTCGTTAAACCCGAAACAACCCGACACAGCCAATTTCGTAAAGGTTTTTCACATAAACAAAACGTGCCCAATTAGTATACTAGTTCAGCGCTATCCGCTTGTGTATTGGAGAGTAAACCCACGACAACATTTACAATTATAGTGTAGTGTATAGTGAAGTGCATAGTAGCGTAGTGTATAGTAGTGCATAGTGTATTGTATAGTGTAGTATACTAGTATACTAGTTCAGCACACCGGTTTGAACCCACGACAACATTTCCAACTGGAGGACCGTGACATTTCGCTGGGGATTACAACCGGCCTCATCAGGCGATCAGCCAGAGTTGTGGGGAATTCCCCCTCCTTTTTCAGTCTTAAATAGAAGGGGTGAAGGTGATGGCACGTTTTGTTTACGTGACAAACCTTACAGATTGGCTGTGTCGGGTGGTGGTGGTTGGTTTACCGACACATTTATATTTACGTGATCTCACCTAAAAAAAACCTTTATTATGGATTATATTAGTGGTGAAAGCTTACGTGTCAAATTCTAAATATGCATAATTGCAATGTATTTACAAATATAATTCTTAGCGCTTCGTGTTAATGCCCAAGGCTTAATGAGCCAGACTAGCAGCTTGAGGACTCTTAGAATTCAGTGTTAATACCCAAGGCTCGGAGGCCCCAGCCTAGGACTCCTTTATGATTCTTTAGGTTCGGGATTTATTACTGGGCCTGGTGGGGCCAGACCAATGCACCTTTAGGATTCTTCGGGTTCACTGCTCTTGAAGGCTCACGGGGTTTGCGAGGTTAAATGTCAGCGCCCGAGGCTCACGGAGAACACGTCACGAGTAGGCAGAGCGCGGCAAGGTATCGGCTCATGCAGTCACGCCGCGAACGTATATGGATACCGTGAATTGAATATTCTATGTTGTGTTTGTTGGTTGTGCCTGTGGCTGTCTTCGCTGTTGCACGTGCGTCGCGTTCCCGTTGTTGGTGTCCTTGTGTGTATGTGTACGTATGTTGAACCTCTTTTGCACCGTACATGGCCGAACGTGCTAATTGGAGGTGCGGGGGGAAGGACAACAACAGGCAGAGCCATTTTTGTTTTCGAATTCGAGAGATGGTGGTCGCCCACAACAAATAACGTCACAGAGCAGCAGGGCCTTAAAGAGCAGCACGCGGAATCTGGAGCCGGAGGTTGTCGACCCTGCCCACCCTGGAGGGAGCATGAAGTTCCTTGCATGCGGGCGTTGCTGATAGCGACAGTGTTCTCTTGCGTGTCCCCGGGTCAGAGATGTCCTTTAAGTAAAGGGAGTGACTTTACGTCGAGGCAAGAGGTGCAAGGGGCGTAAGTCGTACGCAAGGAACATGGAGGAACAGGTTCAACTTTGCGCACTTCCATGGCTCGGAGCGAAAGTTTCTGTAGGTTATTTATTCAGATGATTAATATTCCTCACGTGTTATAGGGACACGTTTGGTATCCTTACTAAATATAATTTTAAACCGTTTAGTAAATTTTGACGTCCGCTCTTAATCAATGAATACGAGCCGCCTGGAAGAGGAATCTGGTGAACATTTGAGTTTCGGAAACTTGAGTTTACCACAAAATATTACAATTGTGCGATTGCCATCATCACGTGGGGGTCAGCACCGTTTCCACTGTCGACCAAACCTGGACATATTTCCAAGTCAGCCTTGGGCTATTATCAACACGGCGCAGTTCATTTGCAGTAAAGTGCAGTAAAACACAATATCGGTACGAGATCTCGGCACAAATCAATTCCCCGACGCCCAAACACAGACACCAAATTTTCCAGACTCTCCGGGGAATTAGCAGACCCTGCCTTCGCATGTCGCAAGATGAAGAATCCACGTGGAAATCTCTTTGCTATTTGGCACAACGTTCTTTTCAGGGGGCGAGTGCCAGAGTAGTGGAATGTGCACGACAAACAAGAGCCGACCGCGGTGTTACTCAGTCCGTTTGGCATTTGACGTCCATTTAACGTTGACTGCATCGTGCCGAACTTTGTACGCCCACCCAACCCCCCCCCCCCCCTTTACACACGGTCACACTACGGAGGCTGCCTTCTGACCGGCTGTGTGCTGCTGCTGTGCTGCTGTTCCCGTGCACGCAGGAGCTGTGCTACCTGTGCATGCAGCGCTCGCTGCGGAACGTGCCTGTGTATGTGGCGGAGGAGCGGCGGCTGCAGGAGGAGGCCGAGGAGAGGGCGCTGCTGGAGTACCGGCACGGCCAGGATCTGCAGGCCTTCACCAAGGAGCAGGTACCGGAGCGGCGGGCCTCCCAAGCTCGGGGGGGGGGGGGGCGGGGGGGGTTCGGCACGTTGCCAACCGCCGCGCGGGCGTCGTGCGGGCGTCGTACGGGCGCGGCTCCAGTGGCCAGACGCTCGCACCCCGCAGTGATGGTGAGATGTTAACTCCCTCGCCTAGTATACAGGAGGTCGTGGGTTCAATCCCAAACCTTATGCCTGCTGCTGTATATTTGAAGTTTGCGCGTCTTTCTCCCCATGGTCGCCTGGATTTTTCTCCAGGTCCTCCGGTTTTTGCCTCCACATTTAGAATCCACATCACGGATTTCGAGTATTTGGCTGCTATACGTTTCCACGTGATAAGCCACTTCATGAGCTATCATTTGTGGCCGGGTTGCTTCTGAAAAAGAGCTATATATCTCAGTGGGCCTTACCTGGTAAAATCAAAAAATAGCTGAGAGTTTTTATAGTTTTTATCGCCAGGGATTAATGTATCTATACAATTTTAACTTATATACTTAGTCACTTGTTTACCTTTCCTATACTTTGAACTCCTATCATGTTTTTGTATTGTTTGTGACCCGCCCCTTACTGGGCATCTTTGAAAAAGGGCTTCATAGCTCGTCGGATTCCCCCTCCAGTCTAAATGAAGATTCTGATTCTTTATTCTGGCTCGAGTGCCATCCAGCGTGGAGTTTGTACGTTCTCCATAATGAAAGCCTACGTGCCAAACTGGGTGCGTTCTCTCTCTCCTCTCTCCATCACCTGTTCTGCATGGGTTTCCTCCGGGTTCTCCAGATGTCCTCTGATCGCTAAAACAAACGATTTAACTGGTATTGGCCAAGCATCTCAATAAAAAAAAATCTCCTGCAAACTACTCATTTTGGATCACACAGCAGCAGCAACATCGCCCTCCTCCCCCCAACTAGTGCGAAAACTTGGCAGGACCCTCCTGAAAAGAGTCTTGAGACTCAGTTAGGCTTTGCTGGGTAAAAAAATCATAATAATAATGAGTTGTCACAAAAGGTAATCAGACACCCCGATGGCTAAGAAATAGCCACTACATTTTTGACAAAAATCACGGTATTTTTTTTTTGTTTGTGTTCGGGGAGAGGTGGCACAGTGGTTAGCACACTGCGCTACGAGTCAAGCGGACTCAATTAAATTCCCAGCCCCTTCGTCAATATCGGTGGCAAGCGATACTTTAACTGGTCTTGGGCCTCCCGTAGAGGTTGACTCAATCTCAAATAAGTAGCTGGTGCGATAAATATATATGCTGGGGAGACAAAGGTGGCCGATTGTGATTCTGCTGTCCTCCCCCTGCACCTCCAATTAGCACTGTTGGCTACTTACGGTGCGACAAAAGTGCAACATACACACATAAAGAGACTCACATAGGGGCCGTCCATAAATGACGTCACGCACCTGAGAGGGGTGGTCAGACATTTGTGACGATGTGTGACGGGGGGGGGGGGGGTTTGAGAAATGTGACGTCACATCAAAATGCGCAACTTTAAATAAATATAGAATTTTGTTTAATTTTCATTATTAACTATTTGATTATTTAAATTTACTAAGGTCACCTTTTATTTATTCCATAAAGGAGCATTTTGCTTCTCCATGGGAAAATGGAGAAGCATACATTTTGTAAATGTTTTTAATGATTGTTATTAAACATTTTGATTCCAATGATTCTACCAGGGCGTTTCATTCTGTGGAATGAATATGTGATTGTTATAATTGTACTCTCTATTTTGCTTCGTTCTACTACAAAGTTTCAAGTATTTTTTTATAGTTATAATTACTTTTAATATTTTAGAATTATAAGATAATGTCAATATAATATTCTGAACATCTGCAGTTTTAGTTATACGTTGAATATTTTCAATTGAATTTCATGCTAAATTTAAGCTTTCCAAAGCCTCCTTTTTAATACGTGTTTTCTCCTATAACATCAGAGTGCAGCGCCACATTAAATACGCACTACAATGACAATAGTTAAAAGCGATTTGAAGCATGTTTTATTTTCAAAATGGAAATATGGTTTGGGAGGGGGGGCAGATCTTTTTGACGTCATATTTGAAGGGGGTCTGACTTTTTGTGACTCTGTGTGACGAGGGGGGGGGGGTCAAAAATCGTCCAAAATCGCGTGACGTCATTTATGGACGGCCCCATAGTCACTCACCCACTCACCTAGTCACTCACCCACACACTCTCCCATCCTCCGATTAGCATGGTTGGCCACGTACGTTGTGAAAGAGGTTCAATCTACGTACATATGTACACTCTTAGTTCGCATGTTGTAAATGTATACGAATGTGTACGATTGACAGCACTTTCCTCAGCACAGCAACCTGCGTGGGCTTCATTAGGGGTGGGGATTTTGGCATTTGCAGGAATTGATGGAGCTGGCCCGGGATAACAGCAGGAAGGTGGCAGCCTTCAACCTTGGTGTGTCCGAGGCCGTCAAGGCCTCCAAGCATGGGGAGAGCAATGGCTTTCAGGTACCGCGCACGGCTTGGCAGATTCTTCTCAAAGAGCAGTCACTCGCAACGTCTCACTGACGAGATCGCCAACCTCCGATGGAGCACGGTTGGCTACGTACGGTGCAAAAGTTCAAATACATAGGTGCACAGGCTCAGCCACTCACATATTCACTCGCCCACTCACATAGTCGTCACCCACATGCATACGTCAGTACCAAACTAAATAAGTATGCAACATGCCTCCTTAATTGATCTGTGCCTCCAGATTTACTAAAATAAATAAATTTGACACTTCCCATCAATGGCACGGCCGTCTGGGAGTGCACAATTTTAGCAGCAGTGGTTCAGCACAAGCGAACGATGGGACCGGTTTTGACGCACAGTGTCTCATCGGCAGTGAAGCTCGCTTCAAGCAATGCCGGTGAACTGCCAGATGTTAAAGGCGAGAACATATCTTTGAAATACGTTTCCTAGTTCGACGCAAAATTGTATAACGCACGCGTCGTTGATTGAAGGGGATCACGTTGGCTGCTGATGTTGACACCAAGCAGGAGTGGGGGGATCGCACACGTGCATGGATTCTGTGAGGCTATCCAACATGCTTGCGCTGGCATGTGTGTGTGCGTGTTTGCGTGTCTGTGCACGTGTGAGTGTAGTGCTTTGTCTTTATTTGGCGACAGCGCCTGCATGTGTCTGCGTGTCTGCATCTTGCACCGAGCGGTGGCGTGGTGATTTAAGCGCCTCAACACTACGAACTCCGGCGACCAGAGTTTGATTCCCGCTCACGGCCAATAACAGTGACAATTATCATCTAAACCGGCCCCCGGTCCTTCCCTAGGTAGATTTAGCCTGTAAATGAGTAACCAGGTGCGGCTTGCAAGCACCGGCCCTGGGGGCCAGGCGCGGTGCTAGCCAGCCACGCTCACGTGTGCTGCGTCAGCCTGAACAGTCGCTACGCTTCCGACGCTCGTCCCCAGGGTTTGCGAAAGGCTGCACTGGGGGACCTTTGTCTGCGTGCGCAGTCATCTTCTTGGTTCTTTCGGTAAAGTCACGTAGAAGGGAAGTAATAAAATAATAAAAATAAAACATAATAAAATAAAATAATTCTCACGACGTTTCGGCTACAACGCAAGCAGCCGTCTTCAGGTGAAGAATGAGACAATGCCAAGCTAGGAGCTTATATATAAGCTGCGTTGGAGGTGGAAGAAAGAGCGCCTTAACAAAAGAATGTGCATATGAAGAGGAATTTAGCATATTCATGGAAAATGCGTAGGAGGTGGGCGGGGGGGTTTCAAAGTCATATTATGCCCATGCATTATGCAGGATCAACAGCACCAAGGGGGGGGGGTGCAGGGATTAGCAGTAACAAAGGAAAGGAATGTTAATGATATGTAGCTGCAGTTACTCAACAACCACGTAGAAAACTAAAGTATAAACTACATAAAAAAAAAAAACTAAAGTATAAATAGCATAGCACCATCAGTATACTTACTATACTCTACACTAAGCTGAGTTACTAACAGCAAGTAATACATTACAATTCTACGTCGTAAAAATTATATAATATGCTTCCATCTAAACTTTATTCTATTGCATCACACGAGCATATACCGTACTATATACTGCCAACATTAAATTATATACTGTATTGCTGTAAACCAACCTATATCTTATACATTTAATATAACACTATGTATTATTCTACCCACCCTAATGTGTGTCGAAATGGTTTATTACGTCCTTCCAATGATTGCTAAGCCAGAATCCATCTTCTCGGTTAAAATTGTCTCTGTGTTTGTATATGTGGATCGCCTCATGAACGAATCTCTCATGATAGCCAGATGGCTTGCAGAGAACCTCTGTCTTGGAGAAGTCAATATCATGTGAGCCCACTGAGTTGTAACAGTGATCTGCCACGGCTGAGGTGTTTGTCCTACCGTGTTTCAGGTCAGCTTTATGTTCACGGATGCGGTCCGAGACATGTCGTTTGGTTTCCCCAATGTAACTGCTACCACAGAGGCAACTTAGTTTGTAGACGCCAGGGTACTGTATGTCTGGAACCACATCTTTGACAGACGGTACCAGATCACGGATTTTATGTACTGTGTTGAATCGGACCTGGATCTTGTGTTTAATCAGGATTTTGGAGATCTTTTTTGTGACCCCAGCAATGTAGGGTAAGGTGATGGTCTTGAAAGGCTCCTCAACAGGATCCTTCTTGATGGTTGGAGTGATGGCTTTGCGGATTGTGTAGTCGGAGTAACCATTAGCCTTAAGAGCTTGGCGTACGTGTTTGAGTTCACTGGAAATGTGTTCATGGTCGGAGATGCATTGGGCTCTATGATATAGAGTCTTGATGAGGGAATTCTTCTGGGATGGATGGTGGTGGGAATCCGGTTTTAGATAAGCATCCGTATGGGTGGCTTTCCTGTAGACAGAGTGGCTCACTGAACGATCAGGTCTCCTTTTGATTAGGACATCCAAAAAGGGTAGCTTGCCATCTTGTTCGACTTCCATGGTGAATCTGTCGTCTACGTACGTAGACGACACTTTTGTCATCTGGCCACATGGCCGTGCTGCTCTAGACCAATTTCTCGACCACATCAACTCCATACACCCAGCCATCAGATTCACCATGGAAGTCGAACAAGATGGCAAGCTACCCTTTTTGGATGTCCTAATCAAAAGGAGACCTGATGGTTCAGTGAGCCACTCTGTCTACAGGAAAGCCACCCATACGGATGCTTATCTAAAACCGGATTCCCACCACCATCCATCCCAGAAGAATTCCCTCATCAAGACTCTATATCATAGAGCCCAATGCATCTCCGACCATGAACACATTTCCAGTGAACTCAAACACGTACGCCAAGCTCTTAAGGCTAATGGTTACTCCGACTACACAATCCGCAAAGCCATCACTCCAACCATCAAGAAGGATCCTGTTGAGGAGCCTTTCAAGACCATCACCTTACCCTACATTGCTGGGGTCACAAAAAAGATCTCCAAAATCCTGATTAAACACAAGATCCAGGTCCGATTCAACACAGTACATAAAATCCGTGATCTGGTACCGTCTGTAAAAGATGTGGTTCCAGACATACAGTACCCTGGCGTCTACAAACTAAGTTGCCTCTGTGGTAGCAGTTACATTGGGGAAACCAAACGACATGTCTCGGACCGCATCCGTGAACATAAAGCTGACCTGAAACACGGTAGGACAAACACCTCAGCCGTGGCAGATCACTGTTACAACTCAGTGGGCTCACATGATATTGACTTCTCCAAGACAGAGGTTCTCTGCAAGCCATCTGGCTATCATGAGAGATTCGTTCATGAGGCGATCCACATATACAAACACAGAGACAATTTTAACCGAGAAGATGGATTCTGGCTTAGCAATCATTGGAAGGACGTAATAAACCATTTCGACACACATTAGGGTGGGTAGAATAATACATAGTGTTATATTAAATGTATAAGATATAGGTTGGTTTACAGCAATACAGTATATAATTTAATGTTGGCAGTATATAGTACGGTATATGCTCGTGTGATGCAATAGAATAAAGTTTAGATGGAAGCATATTATATAATTTTTACGACGTAGAATTGTAATGTATTACTTGCTGTTAGTAACTCAGCTTAGTGTAGAGTATAGTAAGTATACTGATGGTGCTATGCTATTTATACTTTAGTTTTTTTTTTTTATGTAGTTTATACTTTAGTTTTCTACGTGGTTGTTGAGTAACTGCAGCTACATATCATTAACATTCCTTTCCTTTGTTACTGCTAATCCCTGCACCCCCCCCCCCTTGGTGCTGTTGATCCTGCATAATGCATGGGCATAATATGACTTTGAAACCCCCCCGCCCACCTCCTACGCATTTTCCATGAATATGCTAAATTCCTCTTCATATGCACATTCTTTTGTTAAGGCGCTCTTTCTTCCACCTCCAACGCAGCTTATATATAAGCTCCTAGCTTGGCATTGTCTCATTCTTCACCTGAAGACGGCTGCTTGCGTTGTAGCCGAAACGTCGTGAGAATTATTTTATTTTATTATGTTTTATTTTTATTATTTTATTACTTCCCTTCTACGTGACTTTACCGAAAGAACCAAGAAGATGAATCCCTGCAGTCACGAAAGCTTTAAATCGAAATTTATGCGTGCGCAGTGTTCCTTCATCCTGGGCGACCGGGCCGCCACGCCGCCGTCAGCCGCTCGCTCGCGGGAGTACGCGCACCACCTGGAGCGGCAGCGGAGCGAGCGGGTGGAGCGCGAGGGCCGGCACAGGGAGCAGCAGCGCATCCTCGAGCAGCTGCAGAGAGTCCAGCTGGCTCGGGAGTCCGTACCCGGCAGCCTCTCGCACGCACATGCGCGCGCGCACGCATACGGGCACACGTGCACACTAAGCATGCTCACACGCGCGCACTCACACGCTCACACACACTCACATGCTCACAAGATCCCCTGTATAGCCTTAACAGACTGTTGGGGCAAGTGCTTTTAGCGAGCACCTATAAAGGTCGACACCACACCCGACCACCTTTGTCTCCCTAATGGCGATGTTTACACACACTCATTTGAGGCTGAGTCGACCTCGGGAAGGCCCAGGACTAGTTCAGAGCAGTGGGGCAGCGGTTAGCGCTACGCTGCGCTACGATCCCGGCGACCCAAATTCGATTCCCACTCGTGGCCAACACCAACACCGGTGACGATTATTTGAACTGGTGGAGCGTGCGGTGCTGTGTGGTGGTGGTTTGTGTGGTCTTCTTCATTCCTCAAAATGCAGAAGGCAGTGCAGCAAAAATCCATGGCTGTTGATGCACTCTCCTCCAGCCTTCGCCAGCCCGCATTCACCAAGGTGGTGAAGTACGCTCAAGTATCGTCAAAAATAACCCCCGCGACCAGCCTAAACCTCCCCACGCCAAAAATCCAAAATGTAAATAAATCACATAATTTAATATCGTCGGCAAACACACACTGCTGTCACTCGTTCATCATCTTGAATTAATAGCTCCAACAATTAGGCGTCATTATCTGCCTTGTTCCCCGGCAAGAGGCCATGTTGACCCCACTTCAAACAAGTTGTGTTAGGTCTCACCACGTAGCGATGACTAGGCCCTGGGATGTTTGAGATGTTAACTACCTCGCCTGGTATGCAGGAGGTAGTAGATTCGATCCCGACCCTGATGCCTGTGTATTTGGGTGGATCTTTTCTGGGTCCTTCAGTTTTCCCTCCACATTTAGAATCAACATGCGTTTAGAGTATTTGACTGCTGTTGTAGATTTCCACACGATGATAAGCCACTTCATTGGGCTATCATTTGTGATCGCCAGGTCGCTTCTGAAAAAGAGCTACATAGCTCAGTGGGCCTTAGCTGGTAAAATAATTTATTTTGAATTTTTAGCGTTACAATGAATCTCGCTACCGACTCTTGTCCCGATCCCCCTTTAGGAATGAGGATGTCCAGAATAATAAACACCTCCTCATTCGAGACCCAAACATTGCACACCTCCTCCTCCTGGCTTTGACATTCCTCCTCCTTGACGACACCGGTGGTGGAACCATCAACCGCATCAGAACACAACCCAACGATTGTGTTTCTCATGCACATCAAAATATTTTAGGCTTGTTCATATTTTTTTTCTTCCAGCAGCCCCGAATCAACTCGGAGGAGAAACACGATCTAACGGCAGGAGATGTCTGACGAGCGCATTCTGCTTAAGAATGCAAACGGGATGAGCAGCCGGGTCTCTTGTAGCGCTCTCTGCGTTGGCTGCCTTGTCCCCTGCTGCAGACTGGCTCTGGAGAGGGAGCAGATGCTGCAGAGCAAGGCGGAGGAGGCGCAGGCCTACCAGCAGGCCCTGGCGACTCAGGTGACCAGCGGCGAGCGCATCGACATTCGATCGATGCCGATGCCGATCGATGGTGACGCTGAGGGTTGACGGTGCTGGTGATGACGAGCGATTGATGCTGATGATGATCGATGATGATTCCGATAATTGATGCTATTGATGATGAATGATGATCTATGATGCTGATAATTGATGATGCTCGTGATGAGTGATTGACGCTGATGATGAAGAGTGAGTGACGTTAACGGACAGATGCTAACCCCCCCTCCCCTTTAACACGGTGCCCGCAGGTGCAGTCCAAGGCACTGGCGGCGTCGGCGTCGCAGGAGAGGGGCGCGGCGGAGTCGGCGCCGGTGTTTGGCGGTGACGACTCGACGGCGCGGGCGCTGGAGGAGCGGCGTGAGCGAGCGCGGGAGCTGCGGTGCGAGCTCGCTGGGGAGGCGGCGCGCAAGAGGCGCTCCGCCGTCGTCTCGCAGCTCGCCGAGCAGCGCCGACAGATGGAGCTCCTGGAGTGCAACCAGCAGGAGTGAGTGCTGCCCCCCTGCGAGTGAAGCACCAAACCGTTTGTTCGTTGATTCGCACAAGCGCCGTGGTGACGTCGCATTTAAAAGCGACGCGCGACGGGCGACCGCCTTTGGTCAACGGTTAGCAAAATGCCGCCAGACAATGCGAGCCGCTGACTCGCGAGTAGTCGTAACTCACCCCGCCCGCCCGTCACCTCCTACGTGAGCTCGGCAAGCCCCACGCGACTCAGTCGCCCGTCCAACGACTCGTTTTCTGGCAGGCTGGCGCGAGAGCACGTGACGCGGCACGCGCAGACGGTGGGCCGGAGGGTGGCCCTGCAGGAGGCGTGGGCCCTCAGTGCCGAGCTCAAGCGCGGCCGCAACCTCCAGCTGGAGATGCACCTCAAGTGAGTGGCGTGAACGCCGTGCCCGGGATGCCCTGTGGTGATTGTCTCCTGACGATGGTGAAGTGAGACGTTTTATGATTTTAGCCTTTGGTCTTCTTCTTTTCACTTGCGTGGGTTTTCTCGACAGACCCAGCTGTCATCGTTGACGTGCTTCTCACAATCCTATATATATAAAACATTTCCAGTTAAAGCCCACTGAGCTCTAAAGCTCTTTTTGAGAAGCCAGCTGACCACAAATGATATCCTAATGAAGTGGCTTATTGCGTGGAAATTTAGAGCAGCCAAATACTCTAAACGCACGTTGATTCTAAATGAAGAGGAAAAAAACTGGAGTACCCGGAGAAACATCCACGCGACCATGGGGAGAACATGCAAACGACAAATATACAACAGGGGCCAGGGTCAGGGTTGAACCCACAACCTCATGTATACCTGGCGAGGTAGTTAACATCTCGCCACTGTGGCACCCGTAATCCTGTGCACCTGTAATTATCGGTACACTAAAAGTAATCTGCTTTTTTATGTAAAAATAAAATTCTAAGGGTAAATGTATTGTTAGGTGTATTTTATATTACTTATGTTTTAAAAACCATTCTGGCAAAACAATTACATTAATTGGAGCATATTATGAAATCTGCGTGCGTGCGTGCGTGCCGCGTGTGCCGCGTGCGTCACCAGGGCTGGCGCGGGCCTCGTGCAGGAGCAGTGTGACAAGTACAAGCGCTGCCAGCAGTGCACCCGGCGGCTCTCCAACCGTGGGGAGAGTCACGTGTGGAAGGACTCGCGGTACCTGCCGGGAACTCGCATGATCCTCTAGTCCATGGTCACTCGTCACCTTCTCCTCCTCCTTCCCCTTTCTTCTTCGTCCTTCGTCTTCGTCCTTCTTCCACTTCTTCCTTCTTTCTCTTCTTCCTTCTTTCTTTTCCTTTCCTTCTTTCTCTTCTTCCTTCTTTCTTTTCATTTCCTTCTTTCTCTTCTTCCTTCTTTCTTTTCCTTTCCTTCTTATTCTTCCTCCTCCTTCCTATTGTTCCCTCCTCCTTCGAAGCCGAGAGTCCTATTGTCACGTGGGGTCGGCTGCTCCACGAGCTTTATACTCTGGGCGTCTTTGCCAGTCGCATCCACCGTCCTCCTCTACGTAGAGACCGGAACCAACCTCACTCGAGATCCAAACACGGTCGCATCTCCTTCTGGATTTGACATTCCTCCTCCTCGAAGACATCAGTGGTGGAGCCATCAACCACATCAGAAGATCATCACCAGGCAGATAAACGCACATCTCCACAAATGGGATACTTAAAGACACAACCCACAGTATTCTTTGGTTCTTTCGGTAAAGTCACGTAGTTAGAAAAAAATAAAAAAAAATTAAGTGCATACAAATTAAAATAATAAAATTAAAATAATAAAAACAAAAAAAACACTAATGTAGACTGTAGCCTGGTTCTTAATCGGAGTGAGTGTACTGGCAGTCTATAATGTAGACTGTAGCCTGGTTTTTAACCTCGGTGAGTCTACCAACAGTCTATAATGTAGACTGTAGCCTGGTTTTAACCTCGGTGAGTGTACTGGCAGTCTATAATGTGGACTGTAGCCTGGTTATTAAGCTGGTGAGCGTATTGTCAGTATGTAATGTAGACTGATGACGACCGACCGCTTGTGTTGCGATAGAAACGTCGTGGCTTTTTAAATTTATTTAAAAAAATATTACTGAAAGAACCAATAATAAGTCTACATTATAGACTGCAGTACGCTCACTCAGGTTAAGAACCAGGCTACAATCTACATTATAGACTACAGTACGCTCACTCAGGTTAAGAACCAGGCTACAATCTACATTATAGACTGCAGTACGCTCACTCAGGTTAAGAACCAGGCTACAATCTACATTATAGACTGCAGTACGCTCACTCAGGTTAAGAACCAGGCTACAATCTACATTATAGACTGCAGTACGCTCACTCAGGTTAAGAACCAGGCTACAATCTACATTATAGACTACCAGTACGCTCATTCAATTTAATGACCATTCGCTTTATTTTTTATGATTATTTTTCTACCTACGTGACTTTACTGAAAGAACCAAGGAATATGAATTCCTGCAGTCACGAACGTTTCAAGTCAAAATACAACCCACAGTAGTTACATAGTGGCCATGCAACTCAAACTACGGAGCATATGGTAATCCGCTGTAGGCTTGTGACCCTTTAACGGAAGAGTAGCACAACTACACGAACTCTCTCCTGAAGTCGTCTCTCGTCGTGGCCAGCAGACCTCGACATTGGCATCTCGCTCATAAAAAGAATGTAATATGACATTTAGACTTATAGACTCGCATCCAATTACATGAATCGTAAATCTCATAAGGGGGTCTATAGAATTAGAAAACTAACAACCTACAGACTCGCATGATCCACAGACTCACGTAGAGATAACAGGAGATCATATTCTGTGGTTCTTTCGGGAAAGTCACGTAGATAGGTTCCAATAAAATAACAAAATAACAAAAAACGACGTTTCGATCGCAACACAAGCGGTCGTCATCTTGTGTTGCGATCGAAACGTAGTTTTTTGTTATTTTCTTTGAACCTATCTACGTGACTTTACCGAAAGACCCAAAGGATATGAATTCCTGCAGTCACAAAAGCTTTAAGTCAAGAGATAACAGGAGACTCGCATAGACTGCACGATTCACAGACTGACATATAAATCCAAAGACTGACACAGACTGACATGATTCGTAGACTTACGCACACACTCGCAGATACACAAACCTACATGATTCATAGGACTCGCTAAATCCCCGTTGTCTACATCTCTTCTGCGATAGCATTGTATCTATACTCGTTGGCCTGTCGCCTGCAGCGTGTTTCATTCTGTGCTTCTATTGCATTCAACCACCAGGGAAGTTCAAAATCTGCAGGCCCTGCCCCTTCCATGCTAGGCCCCGTCCTTTCCTTGTTAGGCCCCGTCCTTTCCTCTTTAGGCCCCGTCTCTTCCTCTTTAGGCCCCACCCTGTTTGTGTTTAGGCCCCCGCCCCTTCCCCCTGGGTTGGTTTGGGTCGTATTGGGGTGAGTGTGAGCAGCAGTCAGGATAGTTGGTGGGCAGGGGTCAGGATGGGTAGGGGTGGGTGGGGTCAGAAGGGGCGTGGTTAGTAGGGGTGGGTGAGGTCAAGAGGGGTGGGTGAGGTCAATAGGTGCAGGGATGGATGAAGTCATTAGGGCTAGGAGTGGGTGAGGCCAGTAGGGCTAGGGGTGGGTGGGGTCAGTAGGGGTGGGTGAAGTCAGGAGGGGTGAGGTCAGGAGGGGTGGATTCAGTAGGGGTAGTGGTGGTTTGGGTCCCAAGGATTGGTGCAATTTCACCACCACGATGACCATAACCTCTCTGTGTGCAGCAATATGATAATAGATGTCTACAAACATTGCATCATCTTTCTGGGAGTTTATAGATTAAAAGATACCCCCCCCCCCCCAATTATAATATCTGCTTTAGGCTGCTCCAATGGGCCAGCACTGCGCGATTCATGGACCCAGCAACCTGTGTTAAATTGCTGACCGAGGCTAAAATCGGTGGCGATTGAAATCTGAACCGGTCCTGTTTGGGCGCCATCTCCTTCACCACCCTGCACTGCCCAACGTGGTGAAGTATGGTCAAACAACCCCCACGACCGACGTGGCATGGAAAGGCCTCATGCCAGCAGTGCAATTGGCAAGTTGTTTATGGATTTAAAAGGCGGCCTGTCGTTGCGAAGCATCGTTCGTCACAAACGTAACAGATTTGGGGACGGCCGCCGGGGTGCCTAGAACCAGGACCCTCTGCAATAAAGCGTAACAACGCACCCCCAAGGGCCTGGTCAGTCTTGAGACTCGGCCAGGGCGGTAGCCCGGATAACGATGATTCGATTGCGTTGGCTCTCGGCCCGATGGCAGAAGTTGCGGATATAGCCTTCGAGAGCGTGAACATATTATCGTGTTAAAAAAAAACATTTCTCCTGTGACCTTAAAGACGGGTAAGATTATATATTTTTTGTGGTTTATGTAATATTTCAATCAACTGCATATTGCACTGCTTAGTCTATTAAAATAAAGTTGTATGATCCTTAATACAATGTGATCCATTTACAGACACCCCACTGATTTCTGATGACCCTCTTGTCAACACCGATTGGATGTTGTGGCTGTAATGGCTCCGCATCTCACGGAGGAGAGCATCGAGGTTGGTTGGGAGACGTGCAGGGGGTTTGAAAGGGGAGTGTTATTTTATTTATGAAATTTAACTACAGATAGTCTCCGAGTTACGATGGTCCGACTTACGATATTTCGATCATTCGATGGCGATAGCGATACGCCAAAATAGTAAAATATTTTAAATTTCGCGCAGGAGGCAAACGCAGCAGCGTACGAGGTACGATACTGTACGTTGGGACGCTGCCGGGATGTACTGTACGCATCTCCCGCCTTGCGAGGTGATGCCTCAATCTCACCAGCGGTCGACGGATTTAAATTGTCTCGGTGTTAGCGCGTGTACTGTACCTTTTTTTGTTACTTTACATTTTACTGTGCAATACAGTATTGTAATTAATAAATACATACAGTATATAGTTTATACAGTATGGTACTGTAAATTGCTCTGTTTTGCTAAATTATCACCATTCTTTAAGACTCCTGGGTAGGCTAGGCCATCTTCGACTTACGATATTATTGACTTATGATGGGGTCGTCGTAACGCATCTTCATCGTAAGTAGAGGACTACCTGTACCTGTATATTCAACCATCTGCTGAGCAGAAAGAGGGTAATTAGTTATCAGTGGGGTGGAGATGGTTGGGTGACTCAGAGGTCACGAGGTCAGAGCACTGAGCCGGCATAACTGAGTTTCTGGGTTCGAATCCACGCGGCCTTCTCAGATTAAATCGGCTCTTCAAGTGTAGAGTTGAGGTCTCAGCCCAACGACTGGCACAAAAACACCCGTCGCATTAAGTTTGAATCTGATACTAAATTCGCTCTCCGAAAATGAAGAACATAGTTTTTTTTACTCTTCACGTGACGGACCTCACCCTCGTATACGCAGAGCGCATTGGGAAAGCGATGCTCTCCGTTGTGTGTGGATCAGAGATCGCTTGAGGCGGGCTCTGTGATGTCCGCTTCCGTGGACCGTTCCCCAACTTTAAAGCGTCGCACCGCTCGGAGAGAGATCCGAACCGATTCAGCGTCCGGTGAAGCGCCTCCTGTGGAGTGGCCGGGATCCAAAATGTTACAACAACCAAAACAAATCAAGTGACTCAATGAGGTGTCGAATACATGGATATGGCCCTGTATAGTTATGTCACGTGCTTGCTGCAGGATGAATGGGAATTTTGGACAGGTCGCCATTGAAAAAAAGCTTCTGAACCCAATTGAGCCTTAACCCAAAATAAACTGAACTGACACGATTAGGTTATTTACAAAGAGCACTTAAGTTCTATTTAGGGACTTTATACAAGACGGACGGGGGGTGCGGCGGTAAGGACGAAGTTCAGTGCAATGTTTACGCTTGGATTCACTCTTGGATTCACTCTTGGATTCACTCTTGGATTCACTCTTGGGTTCACGCTTGGGTGTGCAGTGGAGCGCGGTGCGAGATGAGCACGATGTTTGCGTGCCATCGCGATGCGCGCACGCATTTGGCACGGCAGATAATAAATTTGATTACGCGTGCATTCTCTGTGTGTGTGCGTGTGCTTCAACAACAGAAACCGGTTGGCGCACGGACAATCCCCCAGTTTAACACGTATGCTTTTGCGACCAATATCATCCATAATAGAGTTTTTTTTGGGTTAAAACCCGCCACCACCCGACACAGCCAACTAGTGAGGGTTGTCACGTAATGTTCTGTTTACGTCTTCTATTTACATGTTCTATTTACGTGACAACCCTTACTAGTTGGCTGTGTCGGGTGGTGGCGGGTTTTAACGACACATTCATATTTACACGATCTAACCCAAAAATACCTATTATGAATCAATCCCCAGTTTGTTGCCTCTTGTTGTTTTAGCCTTCCGAGTGATTCTGACATTGTGGTAAATACAAGGCCTTGAAGTTTTCGTGACTGCAGGGATCCATACTCTTTGGTTTTTTCGGTAAAGTCACGTAGGTATAAAATATGCAATAAATTAAATCACGACGTTTCTGGCGCAACACAATTTCCCGTCATCAGGTAGAACAACCACAGCAATAGACAATTGCTGAAGCTGGCAAGAGGAGGCTGCTGGTAACAAGAGGCTATATGTAAGTAAGAGATGGGGGGAGCCAGGGAGGAGAGATAGAGAGGGTGGGGGTGTGAGGTAGGGGGAATGGGGGAAGAGTGCCTACTCAACACAGAGTAAAGCACAATGCTGGGGCTGGGAAGTGCAAGATCCAACAAGTAAGTGAGCCATTCGGCTCACAGGGCTATACCAAAAACCAAAAACATGAACAAGAAAACATCTTAAAGTGACTATGCGCAAACAGAAAAATCCAGGAAAAAACTGCAAATTCTTCCAGAAAAAGCACCGTACACCAACGCTGTGTGCAACAATTCCAGTGGGATGCAAGTCAAACAACAACAACCACAAGACAACTTAGATTAAAGCCATCAGTCTAACTCCGTACTACAACAAACAAAACATGGCCAAATCACCAAAATAAAGCCATACGCAATGTAACAGTGATCATATGAACTGTGACCGAATTTTCACAATAAACGACATAAACAACACGTACCACCAAACCCTGTAGCCATAGCTGGCTGAATGAGTCACTCCACAATAGCAGGAGCATCAGTAGGAGTATAAACATTTTTCAATGCACCTTTAAGATCAGCACACTAAATCAAAACACAAGATCATACTTTGCAGCAGTCATCTGGAGCGAGAACATTTGATTTTAGGCCACTTAATAGCAGTGGCAGCTAGGGGTGTAAACTCCGCTAGAGCAGTTTTGAGTGAAGATCTCATAGGTAGTGATTCAAGTTTCAGTTTATCCAACACGAGTACGACAAAATTCTGGGACTGGGAAGTGAGCGAGGCTTGGGGGTAGGAAGCTGAAGAAACTGGAGATGCGGATATGAAGGCAAACTATAAAGCAGTTAAGGTTTCACCTGGTTAATAACATCCTTCCAATGATTGCTCAATTTGTATCCATCTTCTCGGTTAAAGTTATGTCTATGTTTATATATCTGGATGGCTTCATGAACAAACCTTTGATGGTAGCCCGAAGGTTTGCAGAGCACCTTGGTCTCGGAAAAAAACAATATCATCAGAGACCACAGCGTTATAGCAATGGTCGGCCACAGCGGAGGTATTAGTCCTGCTGTGTTTCAGATCTGCCTTGTGCTCGCGAACACGGTCCGACACATGCCGTTTCGTTTCCCCTAATGTAACAATCACCACAGGAGCAACTTCGTTTGTAGACTCCCGAATATTGCGTGTCAGGAATGACATCCTTCACACATGGGATTAGATCACGGATTTTGTGTACTGTACTCAATCGGACCTGGATCTTGTGTTTGTTTAAGATTTTGGCAATCTTTTTGGTAACGCCCGCTATATATGGTAACGTGATGGTTTTGATCGGCATCTCAGGGGGTTGTTTCTCCATGGTTGGAGAAACCGCTTTGCGGATAATGTGATCCGAATATCCATTCATCTTAAGGGCTTGGTGTACGTGTTCCAGTTCACTGGCTAGGTGGTGTTGGTCTTGTTACCAGCAGCCTCCTCTTGCCCGCTTCAGCAATTGTTTATTGCTGTGGTTGTTCCACCTGATGGCGGGCACTTGTGTTGCGCCCGAAACGTCGTGATTTATTTTATTTTATATTTTATACCTACGTGACTTTACCGAAAGAACCAAAGAGTATGCAAGGCCTGGCTGTAATACTTGGGTTCCTACGTAATGCTAACTACGGCGAAAGTCGCTTGTGTTGTGGGTAGCAGCAGCAGAAGTGTCAGCTTTGGAGGTGAATATGATGGGAAAGCATGGGTGAGTGTTCACGTTGAAGAAGCGACTGGCATCTCTATTATTGAAAATAAAAGTAAACATTTTTTTTTAACCAGGTAAGGCCTACTGAGCTATATACTATAGTTATTTCCCAGAATCGACCTGGCTATCAGAAATGATAGCCCAAGGAAGGGGTTTATCATCTTGTGAAAATGTATCGCAGCCAAATACTCTAAACGCGTGTTTCTACATGTAGAGGCAAAAACCGCAGGACCTGGAGAAAAATCCACGCGACCACGGGGAGCGAGAGACACGCAAACTCGAAATATACAGCAGCAGGCGTCAGGGTCGGGATCGAACCCACGACCTCCTGCGTACCAGGCGAGGGATTTATCTCACCACGACTACCTCTGTTGTGGAGGAAGCTGCCATGGTTGTAATGGTTGCCACACTGGACAACAATCCAGAGGTTGCCGGTTCGATTCCATTTCCTGACATCCCCCCGTCACCTCTGTGCACTCGGCAGTGTAAGCGGTTACACGCCACAGGCCGCGTGTGGGTGGGTAAAGTTGAGGTTGCCCCCCCACCACCACCTTCCAGCTTGAAAGAGTACGGGGCCAAGATATTCTCGAGGGAGAATCTCCGAGCAATTGCATGGCCGTGCCTATTGCAATCTCTTTTTGTTTTACGGAGTCGGACGATGTGAGGTGGGGGGGGGGGACTGGGCACGGCGCGAACCTCATTTTGTTCCGGATGGGTCTCACTCAATAAAAAAAACGAATCGTTAATGATGGAAGGGCGACGGGGCCTCGCCTTTTTACCGCTCGCCTCTGAAGGAGTGGCGACGCGAACGAAACAAAACATCCCGCGGCATTTGAAGTGACGTGCGGAATTTTACGTGGTCTGACTTCGGCTGAGAGCTCTTGTATTGCATACAATTGATGTGTTGCTCAAATCTATTTGTGTCCAGTCTGATTCATTGTCTCCGCTGAGATGGGGTTCTCATCATTTACAAATCTTAATGAGTTAGCCCCCGAGGCAAATGCAATTTGTGGTCCCCATAATATGAAGGTTATGTGCCTCTCTGTTTAACACGTAGGCTTTCGTGTTAAATACTTGGCAACGTAAAACTACTGCTGTCATTGCAAATTCATGAATTCCCAAGGGTGAGCAATACCAAATTAAACCAAGGGCCTCAAAACCTAGACTTTACGGGTTACCAAATATTTACTAAATTGGTGTCCATTTAAGACCCATAGTATGTACAATAAGCTCTGCCACATGTAAATTAGCACAATATGTAATTAAACACATACAGCCCTACATTGGTAGGACATCTTAATTCATAATAAACTGAACATCTTATGAAGGTGATTAGAGATATTAAACTTAACCCTCATGCTATTCTGGTAAGCTTTGATGTAATTTCTCTATTCACGAGGGTTCCGGTTAACGAGTAAATTAAATTACTCAATACCCTGGTAAATAAGGCAAGTTTACCAAAAGATGTTCTAAAATGTGCTGAGCATTGTCTAAATGACACTTATTTCGTATGGAGAGGTGATTTCTTTAAATAAAAGGAAGGAGCAGCAATGGGCTCTCTTTTGTCTCCTGTCATTGGGAATCTGTACATGGAAAACTTTGAAGCAAGAGCACTTGCTACAAGTACACTAAAACCTCTTTTTAGTTTAGATATGTGGAAGACACTTTATACTAAAGATGAACTGCCAAAGTTATCAACAGAAGGTCTGCATCGGATTAATTTCTCGTGTGGTAAATGCTACGTTGGACAGACGTGATGTAACATTAGCGTACGACTAAAAGAGCAATACATATTAAATACAAACATAACTATCGGCAGTTGCCGAACATGCTTGCCAACAAGGACATACAATTAATTTTTACAACGTTCAAGTGTTGTGTAATGCGAGCAAGGATTGAAGGGGGGCGGAGTCTGGGTCACGTGGGGAGAGGGAGGAGTCAGGGTCACGTGGGGGAGAGGATTTAGGGAGAGAACCGGAAGGGGAACGGGGAGTTGAGACGGAGTGAAACGGGAGGAGGCCACGCTGGGCAGTACGGGGAGAGTGGCGCGGTTGCCACGCGGTGGGAGACGTCGACACCGTCAGCCATCGGTGTCAGACGCAGAGAGCTAGCGGGCTGTGGGAGGCTAGCTGTATACGGGGTAGCAGTGAAGCTGGAGAGCGGAGCAGCGGTGTGGCTGCAAGGCGGAGCAGCAGGGAGACTGCATATTGGAGCAGCAGAGTGGCTGTGGAGTGATCGTCGGGAGAGACGCGGGCCTGAGCGAGGACGCCGTGGTAACGAGATTCTACGAACCCAATAAAGGACAACGGAGATCGACATATGAGAAAGAGTCCTTTATTACAGTTGTGTAAAACTAATTATTACTGGCCGCGACTGATTCGGAAATCTATTGAAATTGAGAGAAAAAAATGATTTTAGGCACGTTCACAGCTACAGGCTTAGTGCGGCCTGGAGTCTTATTATTAAGTAATTCACCTTACAACGATATTCCTTGTCAAGGCAACGCGTGCAAATCAACTGTGATTAGCAATCTATTGTTATATAATTACAATAGCCCTCCCCCTCTGCTCTCCGCACCTGATTGGCTCAGTGGAGACGTCATCATGCAGGTGGATTGCTTCACTATTCTGGCAAATTGCCTGATGACGCTGGAAGCAATTACCAGCGAGAAGTCACGGTACTGGAATTGTAAATGTTGCGGGTTT